TAATCCCTCCCCACAAAAAATAATAATTTGGTCACTGAATCCCCGGATGTTTGTGGGACACTGCTGTGCGAAATTGGTTGTCACGTTTTGTCCACAAAATATAGTCCATTCACTTTACAGCATATTCTGTGAAGTGCTTTCAGACATCTCAATGAAGTGATAAGGCGCTATATCAAATGCAACGATTATTATGCGATTAATAGTTATGATTTGTAGAAATCTACCTGTTTGCTTTCCTGATAAACTTCCAAGGTAGACATAATGATCTTCACCATATCCTCAGTACTGGTTTACCTCACTAGATAAGATCACAGTACCATAAGGTGTGACATAAGATCATGCTGTTCCTCTAGGAAAGTATTCAAACTGCCATCCTGTCGGGGTATTGATCCTGTCTGTGTACAAGCAGTAAGTGCAAGGGCAGCATGGACGTTTTTTAGACTTGTGCTGCCCAGAAGTCTGCCCACACGACTGTTTCTAATACAACAACTGACTGGGCTCAAAATTGATAAGTCACCAGGACCAGATGGGTTTCTCCCCAGGTTGCTGTGGGAGATACGGGTTTTGGCCATTATATTTCAATCGTCATTGGACACAGGAGTGGTGCCAAGAGACTGGAGAGTGGCTAATGTTACCCCACTCTCCAAAAAGGGGCAGAAAGACAAGCCCGGAAATTACAGGCCAGTCAGCCTAACCTCGGTAATAGGAAAGCTACTGGAGACCGTAATCCGGGACAGAATAAATCTCTACTTAGAGGAACACCAGGTAATTAGAGACCCTCAACATGGATTTGTTAAAGGCAAATTTTGCCCAACAAATCTAATAGAATTTTTCGAAGAGGTGACTGCGAGGGTTGATGAGGGAAATTCGGTGGACATTATTTACATGGGTTTTAAAAAGGCTTTTGACACAGTACCGCATAAGAGGTTAATAAAAAAACTGGAGGCCCACGGTGTTAAGGGGACAGTGGCCGTTTGGATTAGGAACTGACTGAGTGACAGAGAGCAGAGGGTGGTGGTTAATGGGCGTTTTTCGCAATGGAAGGAGGTGTGCAGCGGTGTCCCCCAGGAATCGGTATTGGGACCACTGCTCTTTCTAATATATTAATGATCTGGACTTGGGCATAAAGAGCACTATTTCCAAGTTTGCAGATGATATCAAGTTAGGTCGGGTAGTTAATAGTGACGAAGATTGTGACGGACTGCAGGCAGACATACACAGAATGGTGGAATGGGCTGACATGTGGCAGATGGATTTCAATGTAGATAAGTGTGAGGTGATACACTTAGGTAGGAAAAATGATAGGAGGCCATATAGACTTGGTAGCTCAATCTTAAGGGGGTGAACGTACAGAGAGATCTGGGCGTTCAAGTAAGCGATTCATTGAAAGTGGCAGAGCAGGTAGATAGGGCAGTAAAAAGGGCATTTGGTGTACTGAGCTTCATTAGTAGGGCATAGAGTATAAGAGTAGGGGTTATGGTTAATCTGTACAAAACACTGGTTAGGCCTCAGCTGGAGTACTGCGTCCAGTTCTGGGCACCTTACCTCAGGAAGGATATTAAGGCACTGGAAAGGGTGCAGAGGAGATTCACGAGAATGATACCAGGAATGGGGAACCTTAGCTATGAGGACAGGCTGGAAAAGTTAGGACTTTTCCCATTAGAGCAGAAGATCATGAAAGGTTTCGACAGGCGAGATAGGGAAAAGCTGTTTCCGCTGGTTGGTGTGTCTGTGACTCGTGGTCACAGTCTTAAGATATCTACCAAAAGAAGCAGAGGGGAGGTTAGAAGAATTTTTTTAACTCAGCGAGTTGTTAAAATTTGGATTGATCCGCCCGAAAGGGCAGTGAAGTCCGATTCGATAACAGCTTTGAAGAGAGAACTGGATAGGTATCTGGAGAAGACAGGTTTGCAGTGTTATGGGGAGAAAGCTGGTGAGTGGGGTTAATAAAAGTCAGTTGCTCTGTCAAAGAGCCGCACAGACTCGATGGGCCAAATGGCCTCTTTCTGTGCCGTAACATTCTATGATTTATATAGCACCCTTCACATGAGTAGCACCTTGGAGCATTTAACAGTGGAGGACCAACATAAAGCAGCTACTTAAGAACTCTAAACAATGTTCATTGAGTGTGAAACTGTCAAGCATCATACAACAATTAACAGCTGACTCCAAATGGTGGCTCGTAGCACATGGCGGGGAGGGGAAATGAGCTGATTTGTAATAGACACCTGTGAAAACAGCTGCAATGGTAAGAATAAGTTGTGGCAAAATTGTTCTTCTAAATTCCCACTGAAAAATTAAATCAAAGTAAAATCTATAGCCTTGCTTAACAGTCAGCAAAGAAATGTCTGCAGTTGCTTATCCGTATCCTGCACCTGATACTGGCTCTTTTGAAATGAAGAACAAGACCTGAAACATCCAGGATAGCTCGCTAGTTACAGTGAGTTCTGTCAGCAGTCACATGCTGAAAGAACAAGAAGTTCCATTTATATAGCACCTTTGCAGTCTTGGAGCACTGTACAGCTGGACATCGAGGAAGGGGAAGGAGGGAAAAGCGCAGTTGAAGAGATAGGTGTTCAGGTGGGATTTAAAGATGAAGTGCAATTCAGCATTTCCAAACAGAATTAATACTTAATCTATGAAAATATTAAATGAGTCTAACTTATTGCACTTCTTAACATTATTTCTCACAATAGAGGTGGATCAATTATACCCTCAAACATCATTGTTTAATTCAATTTTCAGTCTCACATCGCTGAGATACATTTAATATACAGTGATCAGATACACCCAAAGAAAATAGGAACTTTTTTTAAAAGAGACATGCAGTGATTGATTGCAGTTTCAAAGTGCTTGATCATTAAAATGATACTCATTTCCATAAATGTTTCAAGTTCCATAAATATTTCAAACATTAACATTGACAACGCCTTTTTGTTCTGGTGGGGACAAAGGAGTATTGGAAATTCTTTCTGCTGTCAGTATCAGAAGAAAATGCAGTAATCAGTTCAAAGCCATCTGCACCGGTGGTCCAGGAAATAAACTCAGCAAGAATCAAAGCGTGAACTGGAAAACTCATGCACCATCAGATATGCTGCCCTCCATGACCTCACTACTTCCACCCAGTACAACCTGCAAAATAAACCACAATTTGAGGCTAATTTTTTTTTAAAATCCAATAGTGATCAAGAATACCCAAGGAAATTGCTGTAGGTTTAACTTTACTTCTCCACTTTACATCCCTATAACTATGAAGGATCACTGGACAAGAGGATCCCAATAACAAGCCTATGGTTCACAGGAGGTAGATGAGAGAGGTGTGAAGTGGACAACCCTATGATTTTCCAACTTTCAGCGAGGAATAGATCCACAGATTTTTGCCCCAACTCCCCTGTAACTATATCTAAGCCAAGACTGTGATTGAATTGGAGTCCTCATATGAAGTCTCTTCATTTAAATCTTCTCAAATATTGATCCCCTTTCCTTCATCCGATCACCACTGGCTAAGAATCTTTCAGCTTCCCCACTGTTGGCCATAAAGAGCAATGACTTCCCAAATGACTCCTGTTGTCACCAATGCCTCCCTCGCTGGATGGTGTACATTGGATACGATAGTAGACTATCTGCAATCAAACTAGCGGGTCAGCTAGAAATACAACAATTCCAGAACTTAGTCAGGGAATAAATCAGTACATTTATGGTCGGACAACATGAATGTTGTATGTACAATAAAACGAGCCAGCCTGATTGGGTTAGGATAATTATAATTGGGCAAGTATATTCCAGCATGAGTCAACACCTGTTTGTTTGAGGATAAAAAGTATTTTTTGCCCAAACCACAAAAGCATAACAAATCATGAATGTTTTCGATGCCTGAAATGTAATATTCCACCAGTGGAGGGTTAACTGAGGATTAAAAGTTACTGGCTCAAAATATCATTTTTGATACGCTTCGGTTCACTTCCACCACTTCCTAGTTCTGTGAATTCAAGATATTACTGTACCAAACACTCCACTTCAGCAAGCAGGTAGTCAAGAACATTTGCTTTTTGCTCAAGAACTGTCCAACTCATAAATAAAGATTAAAAATAAATTCCGCCCTTTGGTTTCCTTATTACCACAATATCAGTGCTCTCTGAAATTGCTGAAGATGAATTAGATGAAAATCCACCATTGACTTTGTTGGCTTGTTAACAAAACAAAAATTGATTGTTCAATCTGATGATACACTTGTTAAAATTCTGTTCAATTGACTGAGCAAAATGAATATGTGGATCACAATTCAATGGTGTGTGAGCAAACTTGAAATTTGTACCATTGCTTACACTACAGGCTAATAAACTGCTTTACGTGCTGTGTATTATTGACAAACGTATGGTGGTGAAAATTTTCACATCTCAGATCATTTTGCCTCATCACTATGTGGCCACTCCATCCCCCACCGCCAATTCTGTGACAAAACCATTGGACATGTCAGGCCACAAGTTTGTTCAATATATTCTGAGGTGACTTCCCGTTTATCGCATGCATCTTAAAATATTTATTCAGCTTTTTTGAAATATAAATAAATTTAAATTACTATATACCCAATGAACTAAACCAAAAATATGTTAGGCACTCATTAAAGACATCTGGCAAATTAGGCTGACTGGATTAACCATGTATTATTTGGTTAGGTCGGCCTATTGTTCAAAATGTGTTCTCTTTATTTCTGTCTTGTTTTTTAAAAAAAATATGTTTAGAACATTCAGAATATTTCTATTTTTCTTTCTCTGAAAACAACTGACTTCCATATAAACAGTTGTGATTGCACTACTCCCAGTGACTTGCAATTTGTATCGCCACAGACTAGAGCACAAGAACAGTTGAAATAAAAACGAAGGTCACCGGGAACACACAGCGGGTCTTTTGGTCATTGACCTGAAATTTTGACTCCCTTTCCTCTCTGTACAGGTGCTGCCTGACCCGCTGAGTGTACAGGTGCTGCCTGTACAGGTGCTGCCTGACCCGCTGAGGGTACAGGTGCTGCCTGACCCACTGAGTATTCCCGGACACTTTGGTTTTTAATTCAGATTTCCGGCCTCTGCAGTGTTTTGCCTTTAGAACACAGATGGATTGATTGGAATAAGGTCGGGAACTTTGGGAATTTTTCACGGGTACAATTGTATGGCACAACCTCACTGCACCAGCACTGTGCACCTCAGTTTGAACACTTTGTAAACATCTGACACCCGACCCACAGGGACTCCTTTTCTACAAAGAAATATTGAACAGAATGAATAAACTTTGGAGAGATGGAAACGTCCCTCCCATCGCCCACATTATAAGATGCCGTTGTGTATGTTTTGAACACCTCTCAGTCCTCACTGGAACTGAACTCCTCAAAGTCGGACAGGCCGCCGGGCTCGGGCTGCAGGGAGGGAAGCTGCCGCTCCGCGCGCTCCGGCTGCTTTTTTGGCGTCTGATGGCCGCGGTCCTGAATGAGCTGCCGCGGGAGTGTGAGGACACAGCAGGACATCCCGGAGTTGGCGCACTCTATGTCCGGTCCACTGTCCCATCGGTTCTCCTCCACATTGTAAATGTGGACAAAATCAGTGCGTGTGTAGCGATCGTGAGACCGGCCACCGAGGACGTAGATTCGATCCCCCAGGACGGTGATGCCCGGCTCCCCGTGACCAAACGGTAGCTGCGATATTGTCAACCACTGGTCGTGCTCAGTGTGGTAACAGGAAACCTTCACAACACACACACAATAAAAACAATACACACACACACACACAAATAAATAATTAAATAAATAAATAACGAAACCGCAGCCCGGAAACCGCAACTTTATACAACTTCTAATAGTACATGTTCCCACTGCGCCATCCACCCGCCCACCCGCCCACTCTGTGCTCCCATTGGGCCGCCCACCCGCCCACTCTGTGCTCCCATTGGGCCATCCACCCGCCCACCCGCCCACTCTGTGCTCCCATTGGGCCATCCACCCGCCCACCCGCCCACTCTGTGCTCCCATTGGGCCATCCACCCGCCCACTCTGTGCTCCCATTGGGCCATCCACCCGCCCACTCTGTGCTCCCATTGGGCCATCCACCCGCCCACCCGCCCACTCTGTGCTCCCATTGGGCCATCCACCCGCCCACTCTGTGCTCCCATTGGGCCATCCACCCGCCCACTCTGTGCTCCCATTGGGCCATCCACCCGCCCACTCTGTGCTCCCATAGGGCCATCCACCCGCCCACCCGCCCACTCTGTGCTCCCATTGGGCCATCCACCCGCCCACCCGCCCACTCTGTGCTCCCATTGGGCCATCCACCCGCCCACTCTGTGCTCCCATTGGGCCATCCACCCGCCCACCCGCCCACTCTGTGCTCCCATTGGGCCATCCACCCGCCCACCCGCCCACTCTGTGCTCCCATTGGGCCGCCCACCAGTTATTAAAAGTTATTAAAAGTTGCAGTTGGGGCTGTCAGTTTGTTACAGCCTTTAATGATAAAACACTCAATGTGAACACTCAATATATAAACTATCTGTGTAACAAGTTGTCACCTGTCCACTCTTTCAGCCAAAGCATTAGGCCAAATGTGCACTTATTTAGCACCTTTCATGTCAGGTCACCCTATCTGCTGGACAGTCCAGGGTTCCTGAGCTGGGGGGAGGGGGAGCCAAAGGGGATTGGGTGGGGGGGTGGAAAGATGACCGAAGGAGTGGTCGAAGAGGAAGGTCTTGAAGGAGTGAGGGAAAGTCATAGGGATGCCTTGGAGTTCCAGAGAATGGGGGCAGATAGGATAAAGCCTGACTGCGAATGGTGCGTCAGGTAGGTCTGAGGACATGAAGTAGGTCTGTGCCCGCTGACATTTGTAAAGCGCCTTTCGCATCAGGAGGATGTCCCAAGGCGCTGGACAGTGTTTCGGACCCAAGCTGGGGGTTGGGATTGGGGAGGGGGCTCGGGATTGGAGAGGGTGGAGGGCGGGTGGGGGGGAAGGAGGGTGATCGAAACTACTATTGAAGAGGAAAGTCTTGATATGGGGCTTGAAGGAGGCAAGAGATAGGGCGAGGTGGAGGGACTGTGGGATGGAATTCCCGAGGGTTGAGACAGAGTGGCAGAAAGCCTGCCTGCCGATGGAGCGAGGGACGTGAAGCAGGCCGGAGCTCGCTGAGCGGAGGGAGCGGGCAGGTTGAAAGATGGTTAGGTCACAGGAAACAAGGCCATGGAGGGCTTTGAAGGTGAAGCCGTTAGAAGAGACAATGTGGAGACGCTGGGAATGAAAGAGTGAACAAAAACAAGATTTCATTTATAGAGCGCCTTTCACTTGGAGGACGTCCCAAGGCGCTGGACAGTTGGGTCGGGACCCGAGCAGGAGAGAAATGGTCAGGGTGAGGGGAGGGAAGGGAGGGAGCGAGGAGGGGATAGAGAGTCGAGAGGGGAGCTGAAGGCACAGTCAAAGAGAAAGGTCTTGAGACCGGCCTTGAAGGAGTAAAGGGAGGAGGCAGCGAAGGCACTGGGGGATGGAGTTCCAGAGCCTCGGGGCTGAGAGGCTGAAGGCCCGGCCACCGATGGTAGGGCGATTGGGGCGGGGGATGTGGAGCAGACCGGAGCCGGAGGAACGGAGGGTACGGGCAGGTAGGTAGGGGGATAGTAGGTCGAAGAGGTAGGAGGGAGCGAGGCCGTGAATGGCCTTGTAGGTGAGGATGAGGATCTTGAATTCGATCCTCTGGGGGATGGGGAGCCAGTGGAGGCGAGCGAGGGTGGGAGTGATGTGGTCGCGGTGCCTGGTGCGGGACAGTACACGAGCTGCAGAGTTCTGAATGACCTGCAGCTTGTGGAGGGAGGTGGCGGGAAGGCCGGCGAGGAGAGAGTTCCCATAGTCCAGCCTTGAGGTGATAAAGGCGTGGACCAGAGTTTCAGCAGCGTGAGGGGTGAGGTAGTGCCGTAGTCTGGCGATATTCCAGAGGTGATGGAAGGCGGTGCCAGTCGTGGCGCGGATATGAGGAAGAAAGGACAGCTCAGGGTCGAACAGAACACCGAGGTTCCTGACCGGTTTTGAGACGTGGAGAGTGCAGCCTTGGATGCTGATACTGAGCATCTGCCTGAGGTGCGGAGGCGCTGACGTGAGCCAATCAGGAGGGCCTCAGTTTTGCGCACGTTGAGCTGAAGAAAGTTGTCTCTCGTCCAGGACTCAATGTCGGACAGACAGCTGTCAGGACATCGGGGGTCGTGGAGTTGAGGGTAGAGGAGGAAAGGTAGAGTTGGGTGTCATCCGCATACATGTGGAAGTTAACCCCATGTCTGCGGATGATGTCACCACAGGGGCAGCATATAGAGGGTGAAGAGGAGGGGACCGAGGACAGAGCCCTGAGGGACACCGCACAAGACAGTGCGGGGGACAGAGCCCTGAGGGACACCACATGAGACAGTACGGGGGGTGGAGGAAAAGCCATTTGTTGAAACAAAGTGAAGACGGTGGGAGAGGTACGACCTAAACCACTCAAGGACAGGGCCTTGAAGGTTGAGGTGGGAGGACAAGCGGTGGAGTAGGATAGCGTGGTCGACCGTATCGAATGCAGCCGATAGGTCGAGGAGGACGAGGAGGCAGAGGGAGCCCTGGTCGCAGATGGTCAAGATGTCATTAGTGACCTTGACCAGGGCGGTTTGTGTGCTATGGGCAGCACGGAAACCCGACTGAAGGGGTTCGAATAATGAATGGGTGAAATAATGAAATTAGGAGTGGACAGAACCATGAAGGTGGAGCTGAGAGGAGAAGCAGTGGAGAAGAACAGTGTTATCAAAAGTGTCGAAGGCAGCAGAGAGATCGAAAAGAATGAGGAGTGAGATCTAGTCACAGACAGAATGTCATTGGTGACTTTCACCAGAGCAGTCTCGCAACTGTGGGTGAGACAGAAACCAGATTGGAGGGGTTCAAGCAGGGAAAGGAAAGAGCGAAGCTGAGAAGCAACAACTCGTTACAGTACCTTGGAGAGGAAAGGCAGGATGGAGATGGGGTGGATATTAGGGAACAGGAATGGATTGAGGAATTGAAGCTATACAATTCCATCTAAGGCCCACATTCCACATACTCAATCTGTTACTTTCACTGTTTAGTGTTGGGTGGGGGAAACAAGATGAAACAAGGTAGAAAGAAAATAGAAGTGGCTGGGAACACTCAGCAGGTCAGGCAGCATCTATGGAGATAGGAAAGTGGGTTAACGTTTCAGGTCGATGACCTTTCGGCCGTTCTGATGAACCATCAACGATCTGAAATGTTAACTCACTTTCCTCTCTCCACTTTCCTCTCTCTGCCTGACCTGCTGAGTGTTCCAAGTGACTTCTGTTTTTATTTCAGAATTCCAGCATCCGCAATATTTTGCCTTTGGAAAGAATGTGGAACCTGATTATAGAAACACAAATAGATAAAATTAGTCTTTTGCTGAAAACTCACATGCATGATATCCTGCCTGTATCCATTGACATTGTTGCTTCCACCAAGGAGGTAAAGTTTTTCTCGAACAGTAGCCATTCCATGCCAGGCCCTTTCAACAGGAGCGTCAGCCTTAGATTCCCAATGGTTTGTTTCTGGGTCGTAACAGAGCAGATCCTTTAGGTAATTTCTGCCACTCCTCCCACAGGCTATGTACACCTTCCCTGCGTGCACTGTTCCAGCATGTGCATATACCTAAACATTAGTGGAGAAATATCATTTTATTCAAAGTATAAATCCTCATTCAATTAGACAGCTAAAAATGTTACTCCAGCAGAATGTAATGTAGTGATGATTCTTAAGCAGCTCTTCACAATAATAATATGATAATAATAATCCTTGCATTGGATAAAGCGCCTTATCATGTCTTCAAGACGTCTCAAAGTGCTTCACAGATTATACTGTAAAATGTAGTGACTGTGTATTTTGTGGACGAAATGCGTCAACCAATTGGGCACAGCAGTTTCACAAACCAAATAACTTACAAAGCCAGTAGGAAGAGGTAAAAGATCTGCAATGTATTGCTCTAATTATCCACATCTTCTTTTAACACCACTTTACTGTTTCTCTCACTGAACTAAAACAAACTGAACAGCCATTAGACATCTCTGCCTTATAGCGTAGAAGTCTCTAAACAAAATGGAGAGTTTCTTCTGACATCAGTGACAAAACACAAATAGATAAAATAGACAAACAGATTTGCTGCCTAAATCTTACTAATACATGGAGGATGCTAGAACAAAGAGGGGATAACTAAGTGTGGATAGCATAAATGAAAGAAGTTTCTAAGTTAATTTTGTTTTAAATTATTTTTTAATTATTCCCTTGAGAAAGCAATCCTTTGGATTTTGGTCATCCCTGTATTCCTGCTTCCCTCTTGATAACAGCTATACAAATAACACTTAGTTAATTCCAGCAAATACAAATATTTAAAACAGAAACAATTCCTAATTCCCCCCATTTCTTCTTTTACTTTTTAAGATTCCACTGAGATCAGACATGCCCTGAACACTAGACTACAATAACACTGTGGGAAGGGAATAAAGTTTTAAATGATGCAAACATGCCGTCATCATTTATTAATTAGAAGTGAAATAAGAATTATTACATACCTCTTTCTTTAAAGGCGCCACATATTCCCACGTGTTTAACCTAGAGTTGTAGCGCTCCACCACATTTAATTCCTGGTGGTAATCTCTGCCTGCGATTGCATACAGGCAATCACCGACTGCACAAATGCAATGGTCAGCGTGTGGCTGCTGCAGGGACTGGATCTGAAGCCACTTGTTATGCCGTGGATCATACCTTAAAATGAAAATAACAATAATAATTCTTGAATTTGATATAGCGCCTTATCACATCTTCGGGACATCGCAAAGTGCTTCAAGGAATATACTGTAAAGTGAATTGACTGTATATTTTGTGGGCGAAACGCGGTAGACAATTGCACACAGTCAAAAGTGAAACTGATAGTCACATAGAGGTGAGGTAGATTCCACCCCTAAGATAAACTGTTTTGACATTATTAAGCATAATGGCAAAACATTTTTGCCAATATGCTTAATGCTTATGAGGGGTTTTGATAGAGTAGATAGGGAGAAACTGTTTCTGCTGGTAAGTGGGTCGGTAACCAGAGGACACAAATTTGATCATATCTCACACCTAACACAGCTGAAACCCTTATTCACACGTTTGTCACCTCCTGCCTCCCAATTTTTCCAATGTCCTCCTTGCCATTTTCCGCAGCTCCACTACTCATAAAATCCAACTGATTCAAAACTCAGTTGCCTGTATTCTCACCTGTACCAAACTCCGCACTCCCAATACTCGCCCTTCAACCCCTCCCCAGTTCTTGCCAGGCTCCACTGGCTCCCTATGATTGAGGACCGATTGATTTCAAGATCCTCAAACACACTTACAAATCATTTCATGCTGTAGCATCTGCCTACCCCTCTGACCACTTATCCACCTGGAGCGCTTTGCCTTAATCCCTCTGCCATTTCCCCTCCTTGCTCATCTTCAGATCTTCCTCTCCAATTGTGCCTGTGGTCACCTCCCCTTTCTATCCAGCTCAGCATCAAGCTCAGTCACTCTTATGCACTCCTCCTCCTGGGACACTACTCCTGGTGAAAGCCGCTACAGTAAACAAGTCATACAAGTCATATCAGTTGGAACCATACATTTACAACAATATTAGTTTAATATGAATTATGAGTTATATCATACTTGCATCAGTCTCATCATATAGTTATATGACTTATGTTAAATTGGATTTTATATGACTTGCACATAACAAATGCACAAGTACCTAACTGGCTGGTGACGTTATGGCAAGCTTTCAAAATAGAAATTTTCAGACCTATCATTTTCTGGAACAACCATTTTCATTTTCATGTACTTTTCAACCTGTAAATGTTTTATTTGAATGTTTCTGTTGCCTTCCCTGATTTTACTGTACTTTTCTTGCAGTGGGAGATGATACAAACGTATGAGTTATCTAACAGTTGATTTGGACACTTAAACGAAGAGGACAGCCATAAAATACAGACGTAGACATATAGACATTCAGCCAGGTCCTGTTATTTATCACAAGAGGTCTGGAATATAAAAGAAAGGTGTTTCTCCAGTTATATAGCTCGCTGGTCAGACCTCATTTAGAGCACTGTGTTCAGTTTGGGGCACCCAATCTTAGGAATGCTGTAGAGGCCTTGGGAGCTGTCTAGTGACTGTTCAGTAGAATAATACAACAACAGAACCAACTTGCATTTATATACAGTAAAACTTGCATAAGGCTCTTGGTGGTAGTTCAACAACTATTGAACTACTATTGAACTATTGAACCTTGATATCTCAAATGAAGGGATTCTACTATGATGAGAGGCTGGGTACACTTGTGTTATTTTCCCTAAATACAAAAATGTTAAAGAGGGGATCTAATTGAGGTATTTAAAATAATAAAGGGAATTGACAAGGTATAACAAGGAAATTTAAATTACTGTACGTGTAAACTGGTTAGAAGCAAAACTAGAAACCATTTCAGCACACAAAGAATGTGGAATGCACTTGCCAAGGAAAGCTACAAATATACAACAACAACAAATTACATTTGTATAACAATCGATCGAGATGTGTAAAAGAGAGATAAATATTGTACTGTGATACAAGTATATTAAAGCACATGGAGCTGGGAAATGGGAATAAAAAATAAAGAGCTGCCATGAGCTAATAAAATCAAAATGCTACAGCATGATCAATCAAAACTCTTGTTCTTACATATTTATTGAAACACTAAAATTTACATACCTCCAGCAGCTGGCTTCTGCTCTATATCCTGCAGTGTTGTTATCACCACCCACAAGATAAGCAAAGTTATTTAAAACAGCAATACCCTGATTTGACATATTTGGCATTTGGGCCGGCGTAAGAGTTCTCCATTCCTGAGTCAACGGGTTCAGAAACTTAACCTCATCACTCATGTCTTCGTCTTGAGAGTACATTCCTCCAAATCCCACCACACAACAGAATTCTGATCTTAACTGTGTCAGTGGGCTCTGAAGTACAGGCTGTAGTATTTCATTCTGGTGGTAGGCCAAGGCATCTGCAAGGTTCTCTTTGAGAGGACAGGGGCTCAGTTTGTCATAGAGTTTCAGAAATGTCTGTTGCTCAATCAGTGCAAAACGGACCATCTGCAACAACTTTGGTGGATCTTGTAATGATACTTGATCCTTTTCGATCTCCTCAGGGGTATAATTATAGAGCAGAGCAGCTTCATAGACCTCACTCTCTGAATTAATCCAAAGTTTGTCACTGCTTAATAAGGTTTGGACTTTCTTCAAAGGCATTTGACGGTAGGTCTCTGTCTTACTGAAGGAGAGAAAGTTCTGAAGGATGTATGAATCAATTTTGTCACTCAATTGGGTCAAACTGTAAAGTTCGGCCAGTTCATACAGTGCCAAAATGTTGTCATTATCAATCCAGGACATGAGAAAATCACAGCAGAATACAATTACCTCTGGAATCTGCAACAAGAAAACAGAAATATCACGTCATGAAAAGTTGCACTACATTTGACAATAGTGCCTTTCACATTAGGAGGACGTCTCAAAGGGTTTCACAAGATAAACTGAAACGTTTTTACAGATTGTGTTTTGTAGGCAAACACAGCAGCTCACAACAATGATCCACAATAGCCATGAAGTGAATGACCAATTTTATTTGCAGGATTGTTGGCCAGGAAACCAAAGAGAAATTCCCTTTATTTTTCAAGTAGTGCCATGGGATATTTAACATCCATCCAAGCAAGCGGATGGGACTTTGGTTTAATGTCTTATCCAAAGGACGGGACCTCCAACACTGCACTAGAGTGTCTAGACTGTAATTCCAAAAAGTTCTATGGCCATGCCACTGTAATACGTTGGAAAGTTTTTCTGTAGGCCACAGTCAAATCGAATGAAGATCAAGCAGTCAAAAAGCCCATCTTTCATTCTCTGAAAAAAATAGACCACTGTGGTCTATTTTCTAAATTCATAGAAGCCCGAGTTGAACATTTTACGAGGAGTATTTTAACTTAAAGCATATTTATATATCCAAAGGATAATTATTGACTGGAACAAATTGCCAAGAGTGACTGTTGAGGCTGGGAACTTGCCTTATTTAAAAGAAAACACTTGATGCTGTGTTGGGAACCCAGTAGGGTGAGGATTCAGGAAGGAATGAGATAAATAAGCCTGAAGGGCTTGTTCATCCGAAAGAACCTTGTGATTTTGAGCTTTTTTTTCAACTCTTCCTGTCTGTATAACTACAATACAATGCAATTTACACTGATATAGTACCTTTCACGTCTACTCGATGTGGAGTCGATTTTAAACTAAGAATTAAAATTACTTTGCATCAATAAATCCCTCCAAAAAACCAAAAAACAATAATAAATTGGTCATTTTTAATCTACGACTGTTTGTGGGACATGGCTGTGCACAATTGGCTGCCGCGTTTGCCCACAAATATACAGTCAATTCACTTTACAGTGTGTTCTGTGAAGCGCTTTGGGACGTCCTCCTGACGTGAAAAGCGCTATATCAAATGCAAGGATTATTATTATTATTATTATTATTATAAAACCAGCTTTTCTGGGAATTACAAAGAATTTACAGCATGGAAACAGGCCATTCAGCCCAACCAGTAACTGTTTATACTCCACACGTGTCTCCATCCATTTTTTACTCCTTCCTTCCTTCTATTCCCTCTTACTCATGTGAAGATCTATTTTCCTCTTGAATTCATCTGTACTATCTGATTCAACCACCAATTCAAACAGAGTTCCAGAATTTCGCTACCCTCTGCTAAAAGCAGTTTCTACAAAATTCTCTTTTAGATTCCCCTATTCACTATCTTTCTTATACTTGTGTCCCTGGATACAGACTCTCTAAACAGTGGTAACAGTGCTATCTTTATTGAACCCTTTTATAATTTTAAAGACCTCCTCTTAAACACTTCCTCATTTTGGTGTCCTGTAGCTAAATGGTTAGAGCACTCGCCTCGCAAGCGAGAGGACTTGAGTTTGATTCCCAGGCAGGGCGAAACATTGGGCAAGTTTCATTACTCTTTAAGTTATAATTACACACGCCTCTGTTTACTTAGCAGTAACTAGGAAACCGGTTGTTAGTCAATTGGTGGATCGCTTTTCTGGGGGTAATAACCCCTTAAAAAATAATAATTTGGTCACTCAATCCACGACTGTTTGTGGAACACTGCTGTGAGAAATTGGCTGCCACGTTTGCCCACAAAATATACAGTGAATTCACTTTACAGTATATTCTGTGAAGCACTCTGAGACGTCTCGAAGACGTGATAAGGCACGCTATCAAAATATTATTGTCATCTTCTAGCGAAAGAGGCCTAATCTAGCCAGAATCTCCTGATAGCAGTAACCTGGCAGTCCTGGTATCCTCCTACTTAATCTATGCTGTATTCTTTCCATTGCTCCTATATCCATCTTATAGTGTGGCGACCAGAATTGTACACAGTACTACAAATGTGGTCTAACTACGTTTTGCACAAATAGGTTTAGTAGCTTTTTTCACTTGAAAAGTAGAGATGTTACATGTCAAGGTCAGTACAGTTCTAATCTGCTTACTTCCCTTATTTACAAATGGTTTACTCATTGCTCAACAGAAATTGAACATTTCACAAATTCCACAATAATAAACCCTCCAAGTATAACAGGTTAAAATTCCCTTCATCAGTACAATATTTTTAAGAAGCCCTTGGGCAAGGGCATAGGAAGATGGGAGTATTAGAACTTAACAACAACAAGATTACATTTGTATAGCGCCTTTCACGTCAGGAGGACGTCCCAAGGCGCTGGACAGTGTACAGCTTAAGTCAATTACCTGCAATTGGCAAGCAGTCATCAGCATGTCCTGCACATTTTCCAGGTTCAAGACCATCTCAGAAGTATATATGAAGTCCAAAATTTTGCACATGGCTAAATAAGACACCCCATGTAAAAAAACCTCTTTCTCTTGTGTCTCCCGCAGCCCACCAGCAAACATTCCCCTAGAAATAAGACAAGCATTGATCAGTCTTCAAACACAGTGGAATTAAGAATAATTCAATCTGGACAGATGATAGGGAAAGAATAGTTTTTCAGAGAACAGGAGCAAACAGCGGGGCAGGCTCGAGGGCCCAAATGGCCTACTCCTGCTCCTAATTCTTAACAGCAACATTAAACACAATGGATCGAATGGCCTCCTAATGTGTTGTATCCACATGTTCATCACATCTAGGCTCGACCACGCCCCTGCTTGTCGGCCTTCCCAACTCCTCCCTCCACAAACTGCAGATCATTCAGAACTCTGCAGCTCATGTCCTCTCCCGCCCCAGGCTCTGTGACTCTATCACCCTCACTCAGTTCCACTGGCTCACCATCCCCCAGAGGATAAAGTTCTATTTCCTCGTCCTCACCTTCAAGGCCCTCCACGGCTTTGCTCCTTCCTACCTCTGTGACCTGCTAATCCAATATCAACCTATTCACTCCCTCCGCTCAGCAGGCTCCGGCCTGCTCCACATCCCCCTTCCCACCATCGGCGGTCGGGCCTTCAGCATCTTTGCCCCCACTTCATACCTCGCTCCCTCCATTGTCTCCTCCCTGACTGTGCCTTGAACCACCCTCCTGCCCTACCCGCTCCCTAATCCCAACCCTTGCTCAGGTCTAAATCCCTGACTGTTCAGCAGCTTGGGACATCCTCCCGACATAAAAGACGCTGTGTAAATGTAATTTTGTATTGTATTGTAGATTTCTATGGTTTTATGGATTCATTAGGTCAGATATTCCAAAAGGAATATACAAAAGGAATCATAACAACGTTTATCATATTCCTCCAACATAGGAGAAAAACATATAATGACCCTGTAGCTGAATATTAAGAGTATTTATTGTTCATCATTAGGCACTAAAGAGGTTTCAAACTCCAAAGTCCCATATCTGCCAGTCATTCACATCTGACAGTCAATAAAGTCTGCCACTCTCAACGGTAATTACAACTTACATGTGCCCTTCTCATGCAGGATGCACCTAGCAAGGGAGAAGGGGGAGGTGACCAGAAGGACAGTCCAAGAGGTAGGTCTTAAGGTGAGATTTAAAGATAAAGGGTGTGCAGTAACAGAGAGATCTGGGGGTTCAGAGGAGATTTACAAGACTTATATCAGGGATGAGGGAGTACAATTATGTGGAGAGACTAGAGAGGCTGGGATTATTCTCCTTAGAGCAGAGACGGTTGAGGGGAGATTTAATAGAGGTGTTCAAAATTATGAGAGATTTTGATAAGAGTACATAGAGGAAAACTGTTTCCTCTGGCGGGTGGGTCGGTAACCAGAGGACACAGATAACTGGCAAAAGAACAGTTTCATACAGTTTCACTGGGAAAGCCAATAGGCACGGGCATGCTAATCTGAAACTTATAGTTTGGGCAACCATATGATGAGATTAAAAATAACTAAGTCTGTTGAGCTTTTAGGGGGAAATATTTCAGATAATTTCTCAATGTATAAAAGTCTTGATATATTTACTTTCTTGTTTAAATAATGGCACATTCATGAATGAACAATAAGATTTTGCTCCCAGCACTGTGGTCCCCAACAACAATTTATACACAAAAGAGAACAGCAGATGACCTAAAGACGTGTACGTACCTAAAATAATCACATGATGCTGCCAGAAGTATACGGTGAGCTTCAATTGCCTTCCCCTCCACTATCAACAAAACATCAAATAAGCTGCTACTATTCCGGAGTGCAACCAGTCCGTCCAGCAGAGACTGTGAATGTGTTGAACTCCGATATGTATGGCTCAGCCGTTTCTGACTTTGCTGTTTTGCTTTGTGCTCCTCCGCCATTGTCAATCAAATGCTATCAGGCACACAGGCTTCATGGATGTGGGCCGTCAGTTCAGGGCCAAGAAATAACTGGACATGCGGTCTAAAAAATATCAGAGATACAATCAAAATAATTCAGCTTGCAAGGACAACCAAATAGACAGACAGGAATATCACAGATCAGGGAAGTCCCATCTTTGGTGCATTGTAGAATCATAGAATTATACAGCACAGAAGGAGGCCATTCAGCCCATCATACTCATGTCAGCTCTATGAAAGAGCTATCCAAATTAATCCCACTCCCCGCTCTCTCCCTATAGCCTTGCCTTGCTAATTTGTCCTAACCAAATTCTATCCAATTCTTGCTTGAAAGTTTTTTTTTATCAAATCTGCTTCCACCACCCTTTCATTGTCTGTGCTAAATTAGTGGATGATACAGTGAACCTCAGCATTGATAGACAGGGACTGGGAAGAAACAGCTGACAAATTATGGATCAGAACGGTGACTTTCTGGTCTGTGATGTACCACATCACTTAATACATTAATCCAATCTTCAGAAGATCCCTCAACTCCCAACAAAACATCTAACTTCATACACTCGTCCTTAAATTTATACCGATTTTTTTTGTTTCAAACAGCTGATCCTCATAGTATTGCTTCCACCTCAATATTCAAATGAGATCAATAATAAGGTATCTTTTTGGTTGTGGAACTTTAATTTTTTATAACAGATTTCTGTGTTTTTACAGACATTATCTTTCCTTGAGCTACATTTCAACTGTGTATATTGTAATTAATATGTACAATCAGCTTAACTGAACTCACAGGTATGCTATTAGCTATTCAAATAAGAAGAAAATAACATTCTAGAATTTAAATCAACACCAGAAACGCAAGCCACAATGACAAGGAAATGAATACAAAACATCATTATCATTAGTTTAGCCAACTAACAACATTATTAATAATCACCTTTGCATTTAATGTGACGCCTTTCAGTCGGGAGAACGTCACAAAATATTTCACAGGATATTACAGTAAAGGGTAGTGAATGTGTTTTGTAGACTTTGTTTCGTTTCAACAAAAAAATGCTCATAACAATGTACAAATTCTAATTTGAATCACTTACAGTTGCAATGAACTTTTAACATTTCATAAAAGCATGAAATTGAAAAGGCCATTTAGTTAATAAAGCACACAATATCTACAAACTACACACAATACTTTACCTTTCAGGTTTTAAAATTTGAATCATTGCTTGTTGGTCACAAAACACACCTAGGGATCAGTCATACAACATTTTGAAAAGCGTAGAGAATGCAACACAACCACAACCACTGAAGCTTATTTTAGCAACACAGGAAGGTCAAAAATTACAGCTGTCCAACCCAATGACTCAGCCTACAAATGGCTTCAGAATCTTCAATATGCACCTTCTATGTAGTTGTAAATATTGAATCATTCTGCAGTGCGAGTTCACCTGAGGATGTAGTCCGGCTTCCAAAAGCAAAAGGAACAGAATGCAAACATTTTAAATGTGAAAGCATTTTGATATAGATCTTTTAGCAGTGCTGAGGTCTGGGAAAAAGGTCGATACTTTCACTTTTACTTTAGACGTTTGGAGTAAACAAGATTTAAACATCATACACAAGTTGTTTATCTTGTACTGAACTGCCTGCGATTCAAGGGGAGTAAATCAGAACAAATCTGCAGAAACACTACTTCAGTGAGCAAGTAGTAAACGTATGGAACAGGCTCCCAGGGAGACAGTGGAAGCAGAAAATGTTGTTTGTTTCAAGAACAAATTAGATAGATTTCTGCTAAAAGGGGCGCGAGACAGGGTCGCGGGGCAAGAGATGGGGTCACAGGGGGAGAGACGTGGTCGCGGTGGAGAGACTGGATCGCAGGGGGAGAGACGAGATCACGAGGGGGTGAGAAATGGGGTCGCAGGGGAGCGAGAGATGGGGCCGTAGAGGGTCACGGGGTGGCGAGAGACGGGGTCTCGGAGGGGCGAACGACAGGGTCACGGGAAGACGGGATCGCGGTGGGAGACACGGGATCGCGAGGGGGTGAGAAACGGGGGGACGGGGGGGGAACGAGAAAAAGTGTCGCGGGGGAGATAGGATCGCGGTGGAAGAGACATGATTGTGGGGGGAGAGACAGGATCGCGAGGGGGTGAGTAACGGGGTGCCGGGGAGGTAAGATACGGGGTTGCAGGGGGAGAGACAAGGTCGTGAGATATGGCTCGCGGGGGCGGCGAGAGAGGATCACAGGGGGTCATGACGGGGAGAAGGGGGTGAATATTAATTTGTCCACAAAATACACAGTGAATCCACTTTACAGTATATTCTGTGAAGCGCTTTGAGGCGTCTCAATGACTTGATAAGGCGCCATATCAAATGTAAGGATTATTCTTCTAAATTTGGTATAGTGCCTTTCATGTTGGGAAAACATCCTAAAGAGCTTCGCAAAGATAACAATAATAATCCTTGCATTTGCTTTAGCGCCTTATCATGTCTTTGACTGGTGTCTCAAAGCACTTCACAGGATACACTGTAAAGTGTAGTGACTGTGTTTTTGTATATATTTTATATGGGGTAGTCAGGGGGATAGAGAGGGGCGGGGTGGGGGGGGGAGAACCAAGAGAGAGAAATGCTAATCATTATTATTATGTGAAACGTCTGTCTGTCTGTTTACCTCAACACAAGCACAGCTGGAGCCGGACTGACTGGGACTTAAACAACAACAGGACACCCCCAAATAAAACATGGAGCTCCAAATCCAATCCAAATACAATGCTCCCCCAACCAATACAACACCAGTGACAATCTGCGGGCCCTGTTTTGCCCGTCACCCTGTGGGGGAGACTGCTCTCTCTCTCTGTCTGTCTGTCTGTCTCCCTGTGGGGGAGACTGCTCTCTCTCTGTCTGTCTGTCTGTGGGGGAGACTGCTCTCTCTCTCTGTCTGTCTCCCTGTGGGGGAGACTGCTCTCTCTCTCTGTCTGTCTCCCTGTGGGGGAGACTGCTCTCTCTCTCTGTCTGTCTCCCTGTGGGGGAGACTACTCTCTCTCTCTGTCTGTCTGTCTGTCTCCCTGTGGGGGAGACTGCTCTCTCTCTGTCTGTCTGTCACCCTGTGGGGGAGACTACTCTCTCTCTGTCTGTCTGTCTGTGGGGGAGACTGCTCTCTCTCTCTGTCTGTCTGCCTGTGGGGGAGACTGCTCTCTCTCTGTCTGTCTGTCTGTCTCCCTGTGGGGGAGACTGCTCTCTCTCTGTCTGTCTGTCTGTCTGTGGGGGAGACTGCTCTCTCTCTCTGTCTGTCTCCCTGTGGGGGAGACTACTCTCTCTCTCTGTCTGTCTGTCTGCCTGTGGGGGAGACTGCTCTCTCTCTCTGTCTGTCTCCCTGTGGGGGAGACTACTCTCTCTCTCTGTCTGTCTGTCTGTCTCCCTGTGGGGGAGACTACTCTCTCTCTGTCTGTCTGTCTGTGGGGGAGACTGCTCTCTCTCTCTGTCTGTCTGTCTCCCTGTGGGGGAGACTGCTCTCTCTCTGTCTGTCTGTCTGTCTCCCTGTGGGGGAGACTGCTCTCTCTCTCTCTGTCTGTCTGTCTCCCTGTGGGGGAGACTGCTCTCTCTCTCTCTGTCTGTCTGTCTCCCTGTGGGGGAGACTGCTCTCTCTCTCTCTGTCTGTCTGTCTCCCTGTGGGGGAGACTGCTCTCTCTCTGTCTGTCTGTCTCCCTGTGGGGGAGACTGCTCTCTCTCTCTCTCTGTCTGTCTCCCTGTGGGGAGACTGCTCTCTCTCTGTCTGTCTGTCTCCCTGTGGGGGAGACTGCTCTCTCTCTCTCTCTGTCTGTCTCCCTGTGGGGGAGACTGCTCTCTCTCTGTCTGTCTGTCTCCCTGTGGGGGAGACTGCTCTCTCTCTCTCTGTCTGTCTCACTCACTCTATCTGTCTGTGTGTCTCTCTCTCTGTGTCTGTGTCTCTGTGTCTGTCTCTGTCTGTGTGTCTGTGTCTCTGTCTGTGTGTGTGTCTCTCTCTCTCTCTCTGTCTGTGTGTGTCTCTCTCTGTGTGTCTCTCTCTGTCTGTCTGTGTCTCTGTGTGTGTGTCTCTCTCTCTCTCTGTGTCTCTCTCTCTCTCTCTGTGTGTGTGTGTCCGTGTCTGGTTAATCAGTACAACACGGCAGTGTTCGTTCCAATAAAAGTGAGTTTCGCCACTTACCCTCGAACCCCCACCCCCAAACAACCCCCAAACCGAACCCGAGGCCGAGCAGCGGGTGCGTCGTCCGGGTTTAAAATCGCTCGCTGTCTTTTCACGAGATGTGTGTATGCGTTTAGTGTGTGGAGTGTGTGTCTGTGTGTGAGTGCGTGTGTGCGTGTGTCTGTGCGTATATTATTTTTTATATTTTTAAAAAAAAATCAAAAAATAAAATAAAATTCAAAAGACATTTTTTTTTAAAAAAACGACAATAACAATAATCAAAAAAAATAAAATATAACCAGAAGAAGAAGATCAGCGTTTATCGCTTAAATCCTCGGAGGGGGAGGAGGAGGGGACGCGTGTGTGTGTGTGTGTGTTTTTTTTATATAAAAAAGAAATCCGCTCGAAAAACATTGGCCGAGAGGAGGAGGAGGAGAGAGGAGGAGAGTGTGAGGTGACGCCCGGGAGGAAGGCGGTGAGAGACGCTCGCGCCAACATGGCGGCCGCGCCTGGAAGGCTCTGGAAAAGGCGCGCGGCCGCCATGTTGGCGCGGCCGCCATGTTGGCGCGAGCGTCTCTCACCGCCTTCTTCAGGCTCCGGAAAAGGCGCGCGGCCGCCATGTTGGCGCGGGCGCCTCTCACCGCCGTGCGCTTCAGGTCGGTTTCACTTTTTTTCTCTCTCTCTCTCTCTGTCTCTCTCTGAGGTGACTCCCAGGCTCCTCCCGCTTTCATTTACGATTATGATCGCCGCCGCCGCCGCCGCTGCTGCTGCCGTCGTCGTCCGTCGTCGTGCTCGTCGTGTGTACGATACCGCGCCCCCCTCGCGGCCTCGAGACGTCTCCTCGACGGCGCTTGGCTTGGCGGGGGGGGACGGGGGCGAAACCTCCCCCACACAAACGGCCGTGGGTTGAAAATGACCGATTTATTATTTATTATTGTTTGTTTATTATTGTTTTTTTTGGAGGGATTATTATCGGGCGCGGAGTAAGGAAACTTGCCCAAGGTTTTGCCCCGCCTGGTACTCTATACACGTGCGGATATAAATGCCGACCCTCCTCCCCACTGACTCCCGCTATACACAGGCTGAATAATGCCGAGCGAGAGCCGCCATCCCGGGGCACGGGCGCCGCGTCATAAGGGGGTCCCCGAGACGCACTCGAAGCGCTTCGTGGGGTGGGGGGAGACGGGACGTACGGGGAAGCATAGCGACGGGCGTGACTTCCAAAAAGGAAGGCGCTGGAAAAGGCGGGCGGCGCCGTGTTGCTCTCTTACGACGTTGCTCTGAAGGTCGGTTAACTTTTTAAGGTGACTCTGAGGTACAGTTTATTATTATATGTATATATATGTAAATCCCCCAGCGATATCGGACCTCACACTAACTCCTGACTCCATTATAAACAGGGAAATAATAATGAATAAGCATTACAATCCTTGTGTTTACAGGGTACAGCGCCGTATCGGGTCCTCGAGGCGTCTCGAAGCACTTCGCGGGGACGTACGGTGAAGTGTACAACAACAACAACAACAAAATTACACTTATAGAGCGCCTTTCATGTCGGGAGGACGTCCCAAAGCGTGTAGTGACTGGCGTGTTTCGCAGGCGAAACGCGGCAGCCCAAACTGGTGCTCATCGACATCCCACAAACGGTGGTTTGAGCGATTGAATTATTAAAACGCGGCCATATGTCAAAAATTGTTCAACCACAGAACATAGTTTACTTTACGATATATCCCGTGAAGAGCTTCGAGACTCCCTCCTGAGGGGTGCGAGGCGCTCTGCCAAATGCAAGGATTAGTGTTATTTTTGCATTATTTTTTCTCATTGGCATACATGTGCCTCGGTGCTCCCAGGCCCCAACACTGACCAACTGCCTTGTTCTGGTTTGCAAACCTTGGGCAAGTTTCCTTACTCCACACAGAGCCTAATAATAATCCTCCAAAACCAAAAACAATAATAAATTGGTCATTTTCAATCTACGACTGTTTGTGGGACATTGCTGTGCGCAATTGGCTGCCGCGTTCGCCCACAAATATACAGTCAATTCACTTTACAGTGTGTTCGTGAAGCGCTTTGGGACGTCCTCCCCACGTGAAAATGCAAGGATTATTATTATTATTATGTCCCTCGCTGCTCCCAGGCCCCAACACTGACCAACTGCCTTGTTTTGGTTTGCAAACGTTGGCAAGTTTCCTGACTCCACACACACGCCTGTTTTCCTAGCAATAAGAAGGAACCCGGTTGTTAGTCGATTAGTGGATCGCATCGCATTTACAGGGATAATAATTCCTTCAAAAAAGATATAAATTAGTCTGTTTGTGGGGACACTGCTATGCGCAAATGGTTGCCAAGTTTCGCCCACAAAATAGACAGTCAATTCACTTTACAGTGTATCCTGTGAAGCGCTTTGAGACGCCTCAAAGACATGATAATGCTCTGTATCAAATGCAAGGATTATTATTATTTATTATTATTGACAAAGTGCGGTCAAAGAAATATGGTCATGAGTTGGGCCTTGATTTGAGGTGGGGGTTGGGCCAGGGTGGGGGCCAAGTCAGAGGAGATCCAGAACAACAACAACAACTTGGATTTATATAGCGCCCTCCACGCCGGACGGCATCTCAGAGCGCTTCACAGTAATGAATCCCGGGCGAGCGAGGGGGAGGAAGGTGACCAAAGGCGCAGTCGAAAAGAAAGGTCTTCAGGAGGGACCTGAAAGTAGGAGGCGAGGAGAAGGGAATGAGGAAGGGAATTCCAGAGCTTCGGGGCATAGTGGCTGAAGGCAAGGCCGCCGAGGGTGGAGCGGAGGACTTGGGGGACGAGGAGGAGGCCAGACCTGGAGGAACGAAGGCAGCGGGTACTGTTTTGAGGAGAGAGGACGTCGGAGAGGTCGGGGGGTGCAGAGGAGTGGAGGGATTTGAATACAAGGGTGAGGATCCAATGGAGTTCCACAGAGTGGAGGCAAAGCAACTAAAAGCCACCAGCCGATGATGGGGTGGATTGGGCAGCGGACATGAAGCGGGCCGGTGCTTGCACGGGAGTGGCCGAGTTGGTAGGGTTGCAGATCGCAGATCGGTAGGGTGGGATGAGACCCTGGAAGGATTCGGAAGTGAGAATGGGTTTCTGTGCAGAAACCAGAATGAGGATCTTGAACTTGGTCCACTGAGGAGCCAATGGTGCCAAGCGAGGGTGGGGGTGATAAGTTTACGGAGCGTGGTGCAGGAGGACATGAGCTGCAGAGTTCTAGAAAATCTGCAGATTGTGGCGGGAAGAGCTGGATCATTCCAGCAGGTAGTGTATTGGCTTAGACAAGCCTGGATATAATAAAAACTTCAGATGCTTCAACATCTTCAAATGATTGTTTATTAAATAATACCCTCCTCCCTTGCTTTCCCCCAATTCTTTTGCTCTGAGTTTGACACAATTCCCGTGAGACGCTCTGAGATGTTATCCTAGGTGAAGTGCCCATTGTAAATACTACACACATTTTTTTCCCCATTTTCCTTTTTTTCCATTTTCCTCATTTCCAGGACTGTTCAACTGAATTTTCTTCAATATCTTCAGTTCGGAGAGCACCCAGGCTGCATTGGTCAACAGGATGCCCCAGTCTCCTAACCTCGCCTCCATGGTGTCAAAATTGTTCCTGAAAACATTGTTCCTGAAAAAATTCATCATCTCTGTATTCTCCCTCAACCTCCCTACCTCATCCCTGCCCAAATTTCCCAAACTTAAGGAAGATTTCCAGAGAGAGACTGACACAAGGACAGATAGGCACTGAATGAATTTGAGTTTAGTCAAATTTAGTTTAGTCATAGAAGCGTCCTTATGGGAAAATATTAGTAATTTATTGTGATCTCGTCACCATAACCTTCTGCTGCTAGGAGTTCTGGTGTATAAGTCACACAGTTGTGCATATGTACAATCTGAGTACTATGAATTTTGTTGTTGTTCAGGGCAGGGGGAAGTTTTAACCATACATATCGTATCTAATTTAGGCACCAGTTTGGTTTGTGCACCAGAAACCCATTGTCTTAGCCTTAAGACATTTGGTCACTCAATCCACGACTGTTTGTGGGACACTGCTGTGCGCAATTGGCCGTCGTCGTTTTGTCCACAAAATACATAGCCAATCCACTTCACAGATATATTCTGTGAAGAGCTTTGAGACGTCTCAACGACATGACATACCAAATGTAAGGATTATTATCATTATAAGTTTGTTATAGCGCCTTTTATGTTGGCAAAATATCTCAAAGAGCTTCATAAGGATAATAAGAGCCCTTGCATTTGATATCACATCTTCTAGACTTCTCAAATTGTTTCACAGAGTATAGTAAAGTGAATTGACTATATATTTTGCTGACGAAAATGATTTACTAAAAAAGTGCTGTGATTGTGTGTTTTGTGGGGGGGGGGTTGTGCACAGGTAATTAATTGCTGTCATGTGTAGTGACTGAATTTGGAGATAAGGTGTAGGAGAGGTTAATAACGTTGAGCAATTGGGGAGGGAGAGGCGTGGGGATAGGAAAAACTGCAATTCTTGCTGTTTTCAGGGNAGACGAAGGTCGTTCCTGTGACAGGAGGAAGTGGCTCCTCCAGCCAATACTGGCTGCTCTCACCGACTCTCCTCCAGTCCCACCTCCGGGTCAGCCTTCTGGCTGCAGCATTTTCCAACCTGATTTTTTTNAGAAGGTCCTGCAAGAGTGTCCTCGATGCCTTTCATAGAACTGGAGAGTAACCTGCCGGCGAGCTGCATCCCCGAGGAGTTGGTGAACAAATTATGTTCCGTGGCTGCCGAGGCACTCAGCAAGCCAGCCGAGGCGAGTACCAGCTCTCTGGCGCACAGTGATCAGTGCATTCAATACCGGCACTGGGATTGTTTGAATCCCTCAAGAATAGACAATAGTGAAGGGCAGCGAGGAGGACTGGTCAGGGTGGCATTGACGTTATGTGCAGTCACTAGGAGAGGTGGGGGTGGGAATCTGAAGGCCCGCGGACAGTTTTTAAAAAAAAATTTTGGTTTGGGGCCTGGTCCGGCTACATTTCGTCCACAACATATGCAGTCAATCCATTTTACAGTATACTCTATAATAATCCTTGCATTTGATATAGCGCTTTTCACGTCGGGAGGACATCCCAAAGCGCTTCACAGAACACACTGTAAAGTGAATTGACTGTATATTTGTGGGCGAAGCGCTTTGAGACGTTTCAAAGACGTGATAAGGCGCTATATCAAATGCAAGGATTATTATTAATCTATTCCAGATCCCCAGGAAGGTGGAATTTATACTGTGTTGTCAACTCACGGGTCCATCGATCATCCCCACCTTTTTCTTATCTATTTGGACTTGGGTCTTGAGCCTGAGCAAGGTAGAGAAATGACGGGATTGGGGGAAGGCGACTGAAGTTGGGATTAAAGAGGTGGGTTTTGAGAAGAGTTTTAAAACCAAGAATTCTAAGACAGAAGGTTGTTGGTTTAAGCACCATATTGGTCAACAATCCAGCAAATAAAATTGGTCATTGATTCATGGCTATTTGTGGGACATTGCTGTCTGCAAACTAACTGCTGCAGGTTGTTGGGTTCACAGGGATGGCCAGCGTGGAATTAACCAATCTGCTTTATCTGTCAATAAACTGTGGCCAGAATAGATCAGCTATTCTGTGTAGCCAAAGTATAGAATCGGGAACCCGAGACAAGGAACCAGAATCACCTGTATTTTATGTTTAACATCTCATTACTGAGGCAAAGGTTACAGAGTTTTGTATTAAATAAATAAGCAGGGTTACAACAGGCAGTATCTCATTACGCCATTATTCTCGAGTATAGTACATCACCTTGATGACAATATCAAAGTTCACAGGGAGCAGTCAAAATTCTCTTGGTTTGCGAACACTGGTACTGAATCTCTTGCAGCTGTGGTTGTTGTATTGTTGACATCCTTTTTCTGATTTTATTTGAATCTCAGAACTTCAGTTGGGAATTCTGCCCTCCTGGATGAGCGAATGATGAACTCGCTCTCTCCCACTGAGCCACTAACGTGTAGTAATAATAATCCTTGCATTTGATATAGCGCATATCATGATTTATCATCTCAGTTATATTCTTTATAACCTGGTTATCAACTTTAGGTCGATCAGTGCACCTATTCACCCATCTGATTATTTTAATCACGTTTGCTTTGACTGATTCTGATTAAACTGTACCATACAGAAGCTCTAAATTCACAAAATGACAGATTCAACAAACTGCAGCTGTATATCACCTGGACACTAGCTAACAAGCATAAACATACCGAACTGTGGAGTCCTGTAGCTTAGCGATTAGAGCGCTCGCCTCGCAAGTGAGAGGACCTGGGTTCAATTCCCAGGCAGGGTGAAACATCAGGCAAGTTTCTTTACTCCAGACGTCTCTTTACCTAACAGTAAGTAGGAATCCGGTTGTTAATCGAGTGGCTAATCGCTTTTCTGCAGGTAATAAGCCCTACAAAAGAAAATAATAATTTGGTCACTCCCAATTATTTATTGAAAAACCTAGGCGGGAGATAACAAAGGTGTGAATAAGGTATTCAGCTGCATTTGGTGAGAGGTGAGCAATATGGCAGAGTGGAAGAAAAGCAGTTTTGGTAAAGGAATGAACATGAGGAAGGAAGGAGAGCCGAGGATGTGTAATGAGGATGAGGATGTTCAATAATTTTGCGGGAGAGGCTAGGAGGTTGAGAAAGTCAAAGCCAGAAATGAGGATATTGGCAGGAGTCAAGTAAATAATAAAATAATCCTTGTATTATGTATTGTGCCTTTCACATCAGGAGGATGTCTCGAGGCTCTTCACGGGATTTTATTGTAAAGTATAGTTTTGTGGGCAAATGTGGCAGCACACACACAGAACCTTGAAGTGAATGACTAATTTTATCGGATTGTTGGCCAGGATACCAACATTGCAGGTTGGCTTCCATCCACGTTTATCTGCACGAAATTGAGGTTCATCCAGCCTTGATGTCTGACAAGTGGGTGGACAAGGGTGGTTTGGGTGTCATGATCTACATGTGGAAGTTAACCCCTTACCTGCAGCTGCCGTTACCATGAGGGAGCATGTAGATCAGGAAAACGCGGGAGCCTTGTCATACTCTGCAAGGAACAATATGAGGGTGAGAGGAGAAAACATCAGAGGAGATAAAGGAGAGGCAGTTGGGATTGGAACCAAGAGAGTGTGCTTTCACAGAGAGAGATATTGAGCAACTGATCAACAGGGAAGAGGGGTATGATCATGAGATGAATGATTTAATCTGGAGGACTGTTGACTAGGACAACAGTTTTACAGGGAGTTTTATAATAATCGTTCTTAAAAACATGTTATTTTTCAATTTATTTATATTATTTGTAAATAAAGTTTTATTCTGTACTTACCCATGTCGTTCGTACCTGACCTGGAGGAATTAAGTTCTTCACACTGCATGATGTTTACCTACCAAACACACAGTCACTAAACCTTGCAGTAAATCCTGTGAAGCTCTTTAAGACGTCCTCCTGAAGTGAAAGGCGCCAAATCAAATTTATCTATTATTGTGATATATTGTGCATTGTTCATTTCTGCTTTATGCTGTTTATTTCAAACGTAAACACTATTATTTCTGAAAAAATCTGTCAAATCTTTTTACAGAGAATCAACATCACAGTGAAAACTGGTTTAGCCATGCTAATTGCAGGCTCCATGGCTCCATGCGTGCAGCTGACCATTTCATCCATTGGTGTGGTGGGCAGTGCTGAGCAGAACAAGCAGCACAGTGCCAAGTTCTTTGAATTCCTTACCAAGGAGCTGGGCCTAACAGCAGACAGGCACGTATGGAAATCAAGAGTATTAGCTTCACTCTTTCACTGATAATAATACAATAACCCTTGCATTTGATATAACGCCTTATTACGTCTTTGAGACGTCTCAAAGCGCTTCACAGAATATATTGTAAAGTGAACTGACTGTATTTTGTGTGCGAAACGCTGCAGCCAATTGCACACAGCAGTGCCCCACAATCAGTCATGGATTGAGTGACCAAATTATTATTATTTATATTTTGTTTTGAAGGGATTATTATCCCCGGAAAAGCCAACCGCCAATCGACTAACAACCGGGTTCCTGCTAGGTAAACAGAGATGTGTGGAGTAAGGAAACTTGCCTAATGTTTTCAGGAAAATCTGTATGTTGAACAGGCACAGGGCTTATTCAGTCTGCCAACCCTATTTTGCCAGTTTATTAGATCATGGTGGATCTTTTAATCCCCTCTGAATCTGAAGGCTTAGGTTCAAGCCCCCCCATTGGACCTTTAAACTCGTAGCCTTAGCTGGCGCTCCAGTAGAATGCTGGTGGAGTGCTGCCCATGACACTGTTTGAAAAGAGAAGTTTCTCGTGGTGTCCTGGCCAACAATCCTCCAGTTAACATTGGCCACTCACTGCATGGCTATTTCTGGGTTGTTCTGCTGTGCACAAATTGGCTGGTGCATTCAATTACAAAATAAAAATGACTACTCCTGGAATCAGCCATTTTATCGTGCATGGGTGTCTGAGTTTATGTACCACAGGGACTGTTTATCAAGGGGTTAATCCTGTAAATAGCTTAATTAATTAGATGATTTTCTCTTTTTGTTCTTTATTCCATTGACTTTTGATTTCCAGGATTTTGATTCGATTTTACCCCGTGGAACCTTGGCAGATCGGGAAGAACGGTACCGTCATGACTTTTCTATAGAAAGGCGATATCTGTTTGTTCCCTGGAAGGCGAGTTGTGACCAGATGTGATCTCAGTCATGCTGAAAAAATATACTACATAGAGAAGGTACACTACACATTGACAGGTATATAGCACCTTTCACGTTGGGAGGAAGACATCCCAAGATGCTGGGAAGATCTCAATCTTCAAGCTGCTCTTCAGAATGTGATTCTTTAGTTTTGTAATGGAATAGTTATCTTCTGAGCCAATAGAAAGTGCAAGGACACACATGCGCGGTGCGACGCAAACAGTAAATGGGCTTCACTCCACTCGAAGGCCCCACTGTTGTGATTGTGTGTGTGTCTCTCTCTCTTTCAATGTCTATGTGTGAGTCTCTCCTCTGTATGTCTTTGTGAGTGTCTGCTTGAGTGTGTTTGTGAATGTCTATGTGAGTGTGTCTCCTCTCTACGTGTGTCTGTGAGTGTCTCTGTGAGTGTTCCTGTCTTCTCTATATGTGTTTGTGAATGTGTCTGTGTTTATGAGTGTCTCCATAGAGTGTCTTTCAATAAAGTGAAAAAATATATGTTGACTGTAAAATGTACCTTGATAGCACCAAGCACTCCCGCAACACCTGTAATTTTGGGAAAATATTTCTGCACTCTTCTATTGGCCCCAGGTCATCACCCTGTAAAAGGAGTAAAAAAAGAATGGATACTAAGCTGTGAGTTTCCAGGTACTGGAGGTCTGAACCCTGTCCAGATCAGTTGGATGAAATTCTCATTTGTCCAGTTTGACTCACAGCTGTGTTTTATTTGGGATTAAATTACAAATGTCACTGATGACAGCCTGTGTGGGAAAGGGAAACTCACAGATTGATGTTGTAGGGTAACTCTTCTGAGGCTGAGCCACAGTGGTAGAGCCGAACACAGGTGCTTCTGTCTTTGCATCACCTGCTTTGGCTTAGCTTGATGTCGCCATTGGATGTCCCAAATAGCAAAGATGACCCTCATTGTGATAAGCACCAACATTTATTACAATAAACTCAATGAACACATTGTAACAGCAGAATGTGGTCAATCACCATGATTGAAGCAAGCCTTCTGACAACTGGAATTAAACACAGATTCTACAGATTACTCTGGTGTAGTTTGTTTATTACCCCCAACCTGATTTCAGATTGAAATAGATTTGAATTTACTTTGTCATAAACCGTTCAAATCAGTTGAGGTTTTTACATGTGTGGGTGGGTGGGGGTATTATGGGTATTATGTTCAATGCCTGCAGGACATTAGTGGGTTTTGTAATTCGAAGCATTTTATACTTGCAGCTCATATGCAAAGGGAATTTTTTTTTGGTCAGCCGTGTGTCTGACACATGCAGAAACCCATCACTGTGCTTAATCCTAACCCAGCTGAGAATTCCACCGCCACACGGAAATCCCAGAGATGGATTGGTGGAATGGAATGCGCTCTCTCTCCCTGGAGGGATGCATCCTGTTTACCTAATTCCAGAAAGTAATAGGTGCAGGCTGGCAATAACTAATAATAATAATAATAATAATAATAAAAAAGGGAATAAATAATAAAAAGTTACTTTTAAACCATGTACTAACTACTCCCTAATGAAAGAGAAACTGGAGAGATCGTGTTGGGATTTTTTCTTCAGTGGATGGTGTGCAACCACACCATCGACACATCTGTCTCCAAGTGGTCAGGAGTCAGAGCCAGAGAGTGCAGCTCTATGAATGAGCAATTCGTGAAACACGTTTACCACCTCATAGAATAGAATTGTACAGCACAAAAAGAAGCCATTCTGCCCATTGAGTCTGTGCGGCTCTTTGAATAGAGCAATTAATGTCAATCCCACTCCCCGGCCCTTTCCCCATAACCTGCAAACCCGTCCTCCTCAAATACCCGTCCACCGCGTTTTTTTAAAAGTAGTTATCGAATTGGCCTCGACCGCCCTTTCAGGCAGTGTTCCAGATTCGAACAACTCGCTGCGTGAAAATATTTCTTCTCACCTCTCCCCTCGGCTTCTTTTAGAGACTATTTTGAATCTGTGACCTCGAGTCACCGACACACCCACCAGTGGGAACAGTTTGTCCCTTTCTAACCTGTCAAATCCCCTCATGATTTTGAAGACCTCTATTAGGTCCTCGTAACCTTCTCTGCTCCAATGAGAATAATCCTAACCTCTCGCCTTTCCTCATCATCACGGTCCCTCATTCCTGGTACCATCCTCATAAATCTCCTCTGCGCCCTTTCCAATGCCTTAACATCCTTCCTATAGTGCAGTGCCCAGAACTGGGGCAGTATTCTAACTGAGGCCTAACCAGTGTTTATATGGGTTAATCATAACCTCCAGACTCTTGTACTCTATGCCCCTGTTTATAAAGCCTAGAATCCCATATGCCCTTTTTACAGCTTGATCTCCCTGTCCTGTCACCTTCAAGGATTCATTTACCTGAACCCCCAGGTCTCTCTGTTCTTTTACCCCCCTTAAGATTGTATTACCGCCTATATTGCCCCTCATTCTTTCTACCAAAATGCATTACTTCGCATTTCTCCACATTGAAACTCATCTGCCTCCTGGCAGTGAGAGTTGTTGTAGCATTAAACAAAATCCCGAGACTAACTCTTTGGATAAAATTCTGTTGCTGGTAAAGCAGAAATGTGTTGTGTGCTCCTTTGCGTAAAACACATTTTATTATTGTTTACATACACACACGTACCCTTGTCAGTAACACACTGATTATAGGCACCTAAATAGCCTATAAACTGTCCAGTACTTCTGTATGTAATGAGGGAGTTCCAAACATACTGTAGATCGGGCTCTTGACAATGAAGGAACAAAATCGTGCAGTAACAGTCGAACAGCTTTAGACGTTGGGGTGATGTTTTCTCTGCTTCCGAAATGTGGATTTGCCTTCGGATGTCAAGGGAATCTTTGGTGAGCGGCGCATCCTCTTTAGCACAGAGTCATTCCTCTCTTTAACTTTAGGGTTTGACAGCTTCTGTAGACAATCTGTGAATGATTATAAGTCAGTCTAAAATTGACTAAAATATGTGAAACATCCAGAAAAAGTTGCACATTTTTTATTTTCTCCATATACAATTGAGGGAGCTAACACTAATAATCCTTGCATTTGGAATAGTTCCTTATCACGTTTTCGAGATGTCTCAAAGCGCTTCATAGAATGTACTGTAAAGTGAATGGACTATATTTTGTGGACGAAATTGCACATAGCAGTGTCCCACAAACAGTCATGGATTGAGTGACCAAATTATTATTTTTATTTATTTTTGAAGGGATTATTACTCCTGGAAAAGCAATCCGCCAATCGACTAACAACTATGTTCCTATTCACTGCTAGGTAAGCAGAGGCGTGTGGAATAAGGAAACTTGCCTAAGGTTTCACCCCCTCGGGAATCGAACCCACGTCCTCTCACTTGCGAGGCGAATTTTCTAACCGAATTGTAATTGAATAACTATAAAATGATTCACCTGAAGAATAAAGAAGCTGGTATTATACCCCGGACAGTTGATACCTGAGAGGGGGAGAACCGCAAAGGGACCCAGAGATTCAGGTTCCTAAGATGAACGGTGGACAAGATCATAAAGAAAACAAATAGCGTCCTTGGCTTTAAAGTCCAGAGGAATGGAGCACTGAAGTAGGGAAGTCATGTTAAATTTATATAAAACCTTGGTTAGATCACATGTGGAATATTGTGTGTCGTTCTGGACACCATATTACAGGAAGGATATTGTGGCATTGGAGAGTACAGTGGAGAATTACAAGATGTTACCAAAGAATAACATAATAACATGATACAGCTACCACAGCAAGATTGGACAGGTTAGAGCGTTTCTCTTCTGTTAAGATAAGAGGGCGTTTAAGGTTATGAAAGAATTCAATAAGGAGGAAGTTAATAAACTGTTTCCACTTCTGGTGAGTCCAAAATGAGGCAGTAAAAAGCAACAAAAACAGAAGTGGCCGGGAACGCTCAGCAGATCAGGCAGCATCTATGGAGAGAGGAAAGTGAGCCAACGTTTCAGGTCCACGACCCTTCGTCAGAACTGGGGCATGTTGGGAGGGAGAGATTTTTATGGGCTAATAGAGAGGGGGGACGCAGGACAAGGGAGTCAAGGGAGAAAATGGGGTAGAGGACAGGGGATGATGGGTTAAAGAGGAGTTAATGATAAAAAAAAGGGGTTGGGGGATTGCAACAAAACAGGCAAACCATCAGGCAGAGAGAAAAGGTGTGTCTGAGACCCAGATGATGTGGTAATAGTCACGTACGAGGGGGAGGGGGAAGGTTATGGTCTGAAATTGTTGAAATCAACATTGAGGCCAGAGGCTTGTAAGGTCCCGAGCAGATAAAAGGTGCTGTTCCTCGAGCTTGCACTGTGGTTCAATGAAACAACGTAGGAGCCATGGATGGAGAGGTCAGAGTGGGAGTGGGAGGGAGAGTTGAAGTGGCAAGAAACCGGAAGCTCAAGATTGTACTTGCGGACAGAACAGAGGTGTTCAGCAAATCGGTCGCCCAATCTGCGTTTGGTCTCCCCAATGTAGAGGAGACCACATCGTGAACAAAAGTAAGTAAAGTAAGATAGCTAGTAACAGGTCTGAGGGGAGTTTATGAGGAACTTCTTCAAGCAGAGGGGGTGAGAATGCGGAACCGATTGTTGGAAGCTGTGGTTGAAACAGAAAGCATCAATGTATTGAAGAGGAATCTTGGTACATACATGCAGGGGAAGGAAATGGAGGGAAAGGGTATGGGAGAGTGGATTGGGAGGGCTGGAGGCTGGTGTGGAGAATAAACACCAGCACACACCAGTTGGACTGAATGGTCTGTTTGCATGGCGTATCATTCTATGACATTGTCTGACTTATCCTTAGAGTAGGGAAGGGTGATTTTGATTGACATATTTAAAATAATGAAAGGAATTGACAGGTTAGATAGTGGATGACTCTTCCCTTTTAGAGAGAGCCATTGCAAGAGGATATCAACACTTAATATCAGAGCCAAGACAGTTAGAACTAAGGTCAGAAACCATTTGTTTACACAGAGGGTTCTGAAGATGCGGACTGCTCTGGGGTGTTTTCTCCCAGAAAACTCTGAAACACTCTTCCTCTATCCCTCCGCCTTGCCCCTTCCTTCCCCATCTTCAGCTCACACCTGAAGACCTTTCTTTTCGACTGGCCCATGGTCACCTCCCCCTCCCCAGGTTTGGCGTCCTGCTCCGCCACTGTCAAGCGCTCTGGGACACTACCCTGCATGAGGGGTGTTGTGTAAATGCAAGACAGAATCAAGAGGGAGGCTAAAAGAATTTGGATAATAGTGGTCTGGCATTGGGATTAAAAGTTCTGCCAAAATATAATGGGCTGAATCGGCTCCCGTTTTCCTACGCAAAAGTCTGCAGCAACTGTTTTACATCCTTGTTCTATCTCAAAGTCTGCACCCCTGACACGACCACTCCCTTGGACTCAGGAATCATGTCCACAATCATGTTCAATCCAGTTCCCAACCTGTCGTGAGACTTACTATTACTAGACGCTAAATCAAATACCAGGATATTTATTATCAAAAGGGAAAATTATTATCAGTCAAACCTCAACACTTTTCTAGGAAAGTCAAGCGCTACCACAAATACATATCAACATCTATTTTTATATAAAAAGAGGTTGATTAATTAAGATGTGGAATTTTATTTTACAGAGTTTTGTTACGGTTGGAATGCATGGCCTGAAAGGGTGATGGAAACAGCTTCAATAACAACTTTCAAAACAGAATTGGATAGGCACACACTGCCAGTCGGACATCAAGTCCTGGATGAGAGCTAACTTCCTGCAGTTGAATGTCAACAAAACTGAGGCTCTCCTGTTTGGCTCCTGTCATCGCCTCCATACCTTGAGCGCTGACAGCATTTTCCTCCCTGGATGCACTCTACATCTCATGGAGCCAATGTGGAACCTCAGCATCCTGTTCGACCCTCAACTGTCCTTCATACCTACATCCATGCCATGACCCGCTCCGCCTTTCCCCATCTCTGCAACATCGCTCGGCTCTGCCACTGTCTCACACCATAGGCCGCCAAGACCCTCATACACACAATCGTAATGTCCAGGTTCGACTACACAAACCCCCTGCTGTTTGCCTCCCAAATCCTACCTCTAAAGGCCGTAGATTATCCAGAACTCTGCAGCCCACGCCCTCTTCCACACCAGGCTCCGCGACCCTTGCCCAACTCCACTGGCTTCCCGTCACACAGAGGATACAGTCCAAAATCCTGGTCCTCACCTTCATAGCCCTCCATGACATCGTTCCCCCTACCTCTGTGACCTCCCATCCTGCCCCTAACCCCCTACCATCCTGACCACTCCCTCCGCTCAGCGGGCTCCAGCCTGCTTCACATCCCCCACCTCCCCAGCTCAACCATTGGCAGGCAGGCCTTCTGCACTCTGCCCCCACCCTCTGGAACTCCACCTCACAGTCCCTCCGCCTCGCCCCCTCCCTTGCCTCCTTCAAGACCCTCCTCTTCCACTGTGCCTTTGGGCCCCTGCTTCCCCCCCTACCCTCCACCCTCCCCGATCCCGACCCCCAGCTTGGGTCCGAAACACTGACTGTCCTCCTTCTGTGCTGTAATATTCTACGATTATTAACATTTTGGTTGAGAGTCTGGGTTTCCTGAGGTCACAGAGCAGGGGCGACAGCATCTCCTCACCTGCCAGCTCAGGATGACGTTGCTCCAGATTCTTCAACAAAGATTCATATTTGCAGGACTCAAAATCATCTCCTAAAATACACGTTGAACAGTCAAAAAACATATCCGCAACACATAGAGTAGAAAACATTTTGACTTGTATATGTTTAAAATAATACCGATTGCTTCATAAATGTTAGTGATAATTATCTGGAGTCAAAATAAAACCATAGTTGGTCGGGCAGAGAAACTGACCTCGATGACCTAGGTTCACACTGAAAGCCTTTCTCTGTCTCCACTGGATGCAAAGATTCAACATTTGAGGCATTTTCAGTGCAGTTTCTACAGAAAGGATTTGGGAAACTAACTCAGGTCACAAAATAACTGGGAAATGGAATGAGCACTCAGCTTTCAATAGGGAATTAAATAGATATCCCTAACTAAGGAGCAAAAAGAAAATCATGAAGCCTGCTTCATAACTCCCCCGCCCAACACAATTTCTGCCATTCTGCCCCACTCCCCATTCTCTTTAGAGCTCCATCCCAGAGTCCCTCGGGCTTGTTCCCTGAGATGGCTCAAAGCGCTTCACAGAATATACCGTAAAGTGAATTGACTGTCTATTTTGTGGGCGAAATGAGGCACAACAGCGTCGCACAAACAGTCGTGGACTGAGTGACCAAATTATTATTTATTTCTGAAGGGATTATTACCCTTGGAAAGGCAATCCACCGGTCGACTAACAACCAGGTTCCTATTTACTGCTAGGTGTGGAGTAAGAAAATCTGGCCAACGTTTTGCCCTGCTCGGGAATCAAACCCAGGGCCTCTCGCTTGCGAGGCGAGTGTTCTAACCACTGAGATACAGGACTCTACTTGATTTTTTTGCTTTAAAACCTGCTTATCTTTTACTCACGTTTTACTTGGATGAGGATATATTTCTTCTGTGTTGTCAGGTAGTTGCTGGCAAATTCTGTGGACGTTTGCTGATCACTAAGATTCATCAGGTTTCCAGCTTCATCAATGAGATCAATACAAACTGGGCCAGATAAAGAGATAGAAGAATCAGGGCTGTAAGGTATGTTTTTCTCCCCTCCTTACAGCCCCGGCCACTGTCTGTCATGTTTTACATATGATTCAGTCAACAGAGTGTGTCAGACTCAGTCACTTGGGGGAGATAGCTCTAAAGCAAGCTGTGATCTCGGGGAGAGATGTATTGTGTAATAGGATCATGTGTGCCTCTCTCTCTCTGCAATACGTTGCTTCCCTGGAATGTTTCTCTCACAATCCGGCCTTGTTCAGAGCACAGAAGGTCAAAGTGGGTTAAGAAGCTCAGTAAAGAAGATAGGGCTCAAAGAGTAGGGGAAATGGTAAGAAATTAACATTGCAATATTTGAGCGCACGAAGCATTCAGAATAAGATAGATGAATTAAAGGCACAGATAGATACAAACAGGTATGATCTAATAGCCATTACTGAGACATGGTTACAGGGAGATCCGGGGTGGGAGTTAAATATTCCGGGGTTTTCAGCTTATAGGAAGGATAGACAATGTGGAAAACGAGGTGGTGGGGAGGAATGGGGAAAACGCAGGGTGGGGGGAGCCTTGTTAATAAAGGATGGAATAAAAACAGTAGGATTTCAAATCAGATAACCAGGATGTAGAGACGGCATGGGTAGAATTATAAAATAACAAGGGGCAGAAAACATTAGTGGGAGTAGTTTATAGACCCCCAAATAGTGATCGCAGCGTAGCGCAGGGTATTAATCAGGAAATTAGAGGAGCGTGTAGCAAAGGTAATACAGTAACAGTGGGTGATTTCAATCTTCACATAGATTGGGAAAACCAAATCGGCAAAAGTAGGGTAGAGGATAGAGTGTATGAGAGAGAGCTTTCTGGAGCAGTAGCTGAGGAACCAACTCAGGGACAGGCCATCCTAGACCTTGTTTTGTGTAACGAAACAGGACGAGTCGGTAATATAGATATTAAGGCTCCTCCAGGGCAGAGTGGTCATAACATGATAGAATTTAGTATTAAGTTAGAGAGTGATGTAGTCAAATCCGAAGCAAGGGTCTTACATTTAAATAAAGCTAACTTTGCAGGTATGAGGGAAGAATTAGCTAAAATAGACTGGGGAATTAGATTAATGGATATGACAATAGACCAACAGTGGCAAATGTTTAAAGATATAATGCATAATTCTCAGCGGTCACATATTCCCTTGAGGAATAAGAGTACACAGGGAAAGCAGTTCATCAGTAGCTAACTAGAGCTGTTAGAGAAAGTATAAAACTAAAAGAAAAGACCTATAAAACTGCCAAAAAGAGTAGCAAACCTGAGGACTAGGACTGTTTTAGGGACCAACAAAGGAAAACCAAAAAGCTCATTAACTTTTTATTAACGTTATTAACGTGGAGTCCTGTAGCTCAGTGGTTAGAGCACTCGCTTTGCGAGTGAGAGACCTGAGTTCAATTCCAGGCAGAGGGCCAAACCTCGGGCAAGTTTCCTTACTCCACACAGAGCCTAATAATAATCCCTCCAAAACCAAAAACAATAATAAATTGGTCATTTTCAATCCACGACTGTTTGTGGGACATTGCTGTGCGCAATTGGCTGCCGCGTTCGCCCACAAATATACAGTCAATTCACTTTACAGTGTGTTCTGTGAAGCGCTTTGGGACGTGAAAAGCGCTATATCAAATGCAAGGATTTTTTTTATTAAGAGTGAGAAAATGGATTATGAGGGCAAGCTCGCTAGGAACATTAAGATAGATTGTAAGAGTTTTCATAAATACATTAAATACATTAAGAGGAATAGGCTAGCAGAAGTAAATGTGGGTCCATCACAGGCAGAGACAGGCGGAATTATAATGGGGGATAAGGATATGGTAAAGTCCTTAAATAAATACTTTGCTTCTGTCTTCACGTTAGAAGACACAAGCAGTTTACCAGAAATAGAGATGAACCAAGGGGCTAATGATAGGGAGCAACTTAGGGAAATTTACATTAGCAAAGAATTGGTGTTAGGGAAATTGTTGGCATTAAAAAGTGACAAGTCCCCTGGACCTGATGGTTTTCATCCTAGGGTTTTAAAAGAGCTAACTCATGAGGTAGTGGAAGGGGAGAGACTGGATAGTGTTAGCGTTCAGAAGGACTTGGGTATCCTTGTACACCAGTCACAAAAAGTTAGTTTGCTGGTACAGCAAGCGATTAGGAAAGCTAACGGTATGTTGGCATTTGTTACAAAAGGGTTAGAATATAAGAGTAGGGAAGTCTTGCTGCAACTGTATAGGGCTGTGGTGAGGCCGCACCGAGAGTATTTTGTGCAGTTTTGGTCTCCTTATTTAAGAAAGGTTGTACTCGCCTTCGAGGGTGTACAACGTAGATTCGCTGGGTTGGTACCTGGGATGAGGGGATGAGTTACGAGGATAGGTTGAGCAATTTAGGCCTATATTCTCTAGAATATAGAGGAATGAGAGGTGATCTTATAGAAACCTATAAGATTATTAAGGGGAACGACAGAATAGATAGTGGAAGACTTTTCCCCTGTTTGGAGAAACTATAACCAGGGGTCACAGTCTTAAAATTAGGGGTAAGCCCTTTCACACTGAGTTGAGGAAAACTTCTTCACTCAGAGGGTAGTGAATTTATGGAATTCTCTACCCCCAAAGGGCTGTAGATGCTCAGTCCTTGAACATATTCAAGACTGAGATTAATAGATTTCTTGTGGATAAAGGGATTAAAGGATATGGGGGCGGGTGGGTTAGAATAGATCAGCCATGATTTTACTGAATGGCGGGGCAGGCTAGAGGGACTGAATGGCCTACTCCTGCTCCTAATTCTTATGTTCTTATGGAGGATGGGAGAGGACTTCACGGACCGGTTTGATCCTGTCTCACCCAACAGACACACCTGCACATCAGGAGCACTGGATAGTGATCAGAAATAGTTATCTCTGTCTGCACTGCCCTCCCTGAGATCAACGGGCGCGGAAACCAATTGTAAAGTTCCAGTGGCTACCTGGCTGACATCTGGATGATTCAAATGTTGGATCTGGGACCTAACCAGCTTTGACATGGTAAGCCATGTCACTTACTGACATAACAACAACAACTTGCATTTATATTGCATCTCTCACACTGGGCGGGGTCTCGGAGTGCTTTACAACATTCCGATAGCATTCAACCCACCCCCCCAGCCTCAGCCCACCCCCACCCCCCCAGCCTCAGCCCACCCCCACCCCCCCCAGCCTCAGCCCACCCCCACCCCACCCAGCCTCAGCCCAGACCCCTCTCACCCAGCCTCAGCCCACCCTCCCAGCCTCAGCCCACCCCCACCCCACCCAGCCTCAGCCCAGACCCCTCTCACCCAGCATCAGCCCAACCCCCAGCCTCAGCCCACACCCCCCCCAGCCTCAGCCCACCCCCCTCTCACCCAGCCTCAGCCCAGCCCCCAGCCTCAGCGCACCCCAGCCCACCCAGCCTCAGCCCAGCCCCCTCTCACCCAGCCTCAGCTCAGCCCACTCCCACCCAGCCTCAGCCCACCCCTTCACCCAGGCTCAGCCCACCCCCCAGCCTCAGCCCACCCCTTCACCCAGGCTCAGCCCACCCCCCCAGCCCACCCCTTCACCCAGGCTCAGCCCACCCCCCAGCCTCAGCACACTCCCCACCCAGCCTCAGCCCACCCACCCCCACCCAGCCTCAGCCCACCCACCCCCACCCAGCCTCAGCCCACCCACCCCCAGCCTCAGTCCGCATCCCCTAGCCTCAGCCCAGACCCCCCACCCAGCCTCAGCCCACACCGCCCCCCCCAGCCTCAGCCCACCCCTCAGCCCAACCCACAGCCCAGCACCCCAGCCCCCACCCCACCCCAGCCCAGCCCAACCTCTGAAACAGCCAATTGCTAACCTTCAGCTCCACAGTTACACTTCTGTTTGATGCTTTCCACCAGGTTCACAATTCGACATTGGTGGTTGAAAATCTCCTTCTGATCTTCTGCAAATTAAACAGTGAATACCTTTCAAATGAGACCAATCTGTTACAAATAACCTGGTAATTACTACATGCCCATGGTTCTAAGAGAAAAATGAATCCTCTTGTATTTTTCCATTAGTTAGGGTTAGGGTTAGTCTGTTTGTCTGTTCCTATTGATATCTATTCTTTCTGTCTTGCTCAGCTGTGTATCTGACATACATGAAAACCCTTAAGAATCTTCAAACCAAAGTGTTGAGAGTTCCACTTATGTATGATATTTATTGCTATGGTTTGCAGTAACGCACTCTCTGCCCACTGGGACTCACTGTGCTCACCTAATCCCAAACAATGTAAGTGTATATTGGCATGAGCCAAGGCTTTGGGATTCCAGAGGGTTTTGCTGGAGTCCAACCAGCTTATAATGCACAGCTTGCCATTGCAAACACTGCCTCGTGTCCTGCTGCTTCTAACATGTGTGTTCGTGACCCAGTCTTTCAGCAGCTGTTGTCCTCAAGCTTGAGTTTCCTCATCGGCTGATCATTCTCATCAAAATCTGCTTTCAGCGTAGTGAGGGGACAGCTTGTGACATCCCCCCCTTGATGTTCTCATTGTCCAAGACCAAAGTCCAAGTCTAATACTCATCACAAACTGCTTAATCCTTGTCCTTGTGTAAGGAGACTGAGGGGATTTAGTAAATTGACAAGTCTACCCAACAATCCCCTCCATCCTGCAACCCTTTTTTCCACAAATCCATCTTACAGTTTGGTCATAGGCTTTGCAGAGGGGTTGAAGGAAACCAACAACAACAACAACTTTCATTTTATATAGCGTTCTTCGCGTGGGATAGTGTCCCAGAGCGCTTCACAGTGGTGGAGTCTGACAATGACTGACACTCTTCTGAATGTCCAGTTCAGAACAATGATGGAGAACTGATCGGATACACATTTTACGCAGCACATGCACTGAGACCCGGCTATCATTGAAGAGAGACAGAATGGTCCCAGTGCTCTTTGTCCCTCTCAGTGTGGTCCTGAGGGCAATATCCCGGCAAACATTGGTATTTATGATCGGGAATTATTGGCATTTGTCAGTATGGGCTGATCCTCTGCTGCTGGTAATTAAAGCTGGAAATTTCTTGTTGCTCAACTTCTAAGAGAGAAGAAGATCATTATTTTGGGAGGACAAGTTTGCAGGGCTATGCAGTTAATGAGTCTAATACCTCAGTTAAGCTTTACTGAACCTGGTTACTGAGTGCAGTTTCCAAAATTATAAAAGAGGCTTTGAACTTTGGCTTACTTTTTTGGAGACCAAAGTTCACAAGACACCACAAGGATCTTTTATGAGACTCTCTATGTGTTAATGAGATATTCTTTGTAAATGGAATATTACAAATAATAAAAGGAAACACTACTTCAGTGAGTGGTAAATTTATGGAACCAGGCTCCCTCGGGAAGATGGTGGAAGCAGAAAATGTTGTTTGTTTCAAGAACAAATGAGATAGATTTCTGCTAGAAAATAATATCTGGGGTTACAGTATATAGTTTGGGACACGACATGTCAAGCGACTGCCAGGATGGTGGAAGGTGAACTAGGTGGACAGTGGTCTTCTATCACCAGCAAATTCTTATGTTCTTCATAAATATGGGCATAGAATACACAAGTCAGGAAGTTATGATGAACCTTTATATAAAACACTGGTTATAAAACACTCAGCGAGAGACTGTGTTCATTTCTGGGCCCCACACTTTAGGAAGGATGTCAAGGCATTGGAGAGGGTGCACAGGAGATTGACCAGAATGGTACCAGGAATGAGGGACTTCAGTTATCAGGAGAGGCAGAGAAGTGAGGATTATTCTCCTCGGAGCAGAGAAGGTTAAGAGGAGACTTAATAGAAGTTTTTAAAATGATGATGGGATTCGATAGGGTGAACAGGAGAAACTATTCCCACTGGCGGGTGGGTCGGTAACCCCAGGACACCGATTTAAAATAGTGGTTAAAAGAAACAGAGGGGAGGGGAGGAGAAATGTTTTCACACAGCGAGTTGTTGGGATCTGGAATGCATTGCCTGAAAGGCTGATGGGAACCGATTCAATAACAGCTTTTAAGAGAGAAGTAGATCATTATTTGGGGAGGACAAGTTTGCAGAACTATGGGGAGAGAGCGGGGGAGTGGGGTTGATCAGGGCTATGGGGAGAGAGCGGGGGAGTGGGGTTGATCAGGGCTATGGGGAGAGAGCGGGGGAGTGGGGTTGATTTGGGAAACCCTTTTCAAAGAGCCGACACTGACACGATGGGCTGTATAATTTCATGATTCTTATGGAAGTCTGAGTGAGTAATGATGATATAGTGGAGTCCTGTAGTTCAGTGGTTAGAGCACTCGCTTTGCAAGTGAGAGACCTGAGTTCAATTCCAGGCAGAGGGCGAAACCTTGGGCAAGTTTCCTTACTCCACACAGAGCCTAATAATAATCCTCCAAAACCAAAAACAATAATAAATTGGTCATTTTCAATCCACGACTGTTTGTGGGACATTGCTGTGCGCAATTGGCTGCCGCGTTCGCCCACAAATATACAGTCAATTCACTTTACAGTGTGTTCTGTGAAGCGCTTTGGGACGTCCTCCAGACGTGAAAAGCGCTATATCAAATGCAAGGATTATTATTATTATTATTAATGTTACAGAATGAACAGAGAAAATTACTTCTCACACCTCATGCTCCTGCTGCCCTCAAACCCACCACAGTGAGGCAATGAAACTGCTCCATTGCCACTAAAGACCGTTACTAGCATCAACCCAGTCCTGTTGCTAAGAGGGTATAGAAGCACAGAATTATACAGCACAGACGGAGGCCATTCGGACCATAGTGCCTGTGCCGGCTATTTGAAAGAGCTTCCAAATCAATCCCACTCCCCCACTCTCTCCCCATAGCCCTGCATTTGTCCTCCCCAAATATCTATCTGGTTCCATGTATTGTAATGCTGAACGATTCCAGGGAGAGGGTAGAATTTCTTCACTCAGAAGTTTGTTAGGAATCAATTACCATAAGTGACTTGATCAATCATTCAAAAGGAATTGGATAATATTAAAGGATTTGTGAAAATCACTGGAAAGTGGGATAATAAAAAATGTCAAGTTAGAAAACCAGGCAGCAGTGACACAGACCGCTGCCTGATCTGCTGCCTATTCCCAGCGACTTCTATTTTCCTTCAGCTCAGCTCCAGCCTGTGTCCTGGACTGTTTCCCGTAACTACACAGTTTGTCCTCTGGCCTCTTATGCGTAGTTATTTCTGCGATCCCAGTTAAACAAAGTGGGATATTCTTATAACCAGCAGCAGCTACTGACAACAGCTCTCACCTCCGTATGTGACCGTGATGAACATTGTTGGTCAGCTTCTCTGCGTTGTGTCTGTAGCTTCTGTTTTTATTTCAGATTTCCAGCATCTGCAGTATTTGGCTTTTGTGCTTGTGGTAATGTGCTGGACTCCGTTGGTGATATAGTTGCTCAAGACAGCGAAAGAATGCAAGTTTCAGCCAATCTGAAGCGCAGAGCTCCCTATAATCACAACACATTTGTGCCTTTGTGTGAGATGTAAAGACTGCATTACGTCCCGGAGTGTGAGATTGCATTTAATTACCATCGAGAACAGTGGGGGATTAGGCAACAAAATAGAGGTACGTGTGAATGAGTCTTTGGCTCCTATAAAGTAATAAACAAATCATGATGAAAACCTTTGTCTGTGACTTCTTATCCTAGAAAAGTACGAACAGAACACACTCGGCTCCAATCCTAAACTATCTTAATTCTCAACTCACATTTTTGGATCAACTTAAATGACAATTGGAAAAAACCAAGGCTTTGGCCCTCCTTGTCTCATTGGGTGCAATCATTGACAGTCTGGTGTCAAACTGCAACTAATGAGAGCTGCCGAGGGGGAGTGAAGAACATCAGGAAGGATATTAAATATTAATACTAATCCTTGCTTTTGATATAGCGCCTTATCACATCTTCGAGACATCTCAAAGCGCTTCACAGAATATAGTAAAGTGAATTGACTATATTTTGTGGGTGAAAAGCGGCAACCAATTACGCACAGCAGCGTCCCCACAAACAGTCATAGATTGAGTATTATTATTATTTTTAATTTTTTTGACTGAAGAAGGATGGATTGTGGTTGGCTGTGATGGGAAGGATTAATAAGTCTGATTCTCCAGTCGATCTGAACCACAAGATTTGTCCTTTTGTGTGTGTCCCAGTGTCCAGGAGTCAGACCCTCACCCTCGAGCTGGGAGAGACTAACATGCACTGACTCTATTTAAAGGAAGCAGCAGTCAGGATGCGGTCAAGTATTCTGAACCGGACCCAGCAGTGAGATGGATTTGTGGCGAGAAGGGGAAGTGGCTGCAGAGATAGAGCAAGAGAGAGCTACTGATGTGTATCTCAGCCATCTTAGTAGAGTTGACCTCAAAGTAGGAATGCCTCTTTGCCAAAGCATTACTTATAATAATATAATATTCCTTGCATTTGATATAGCGCTTTTCTCGACGTCTCAAAGCGCTTCACAGAATATGCTGTAAAGTGAATTGACTATATTTGTGGGTGAAACGCAGCAGCCAATTGCGCACAGCAGTATCCCACAAACAGCCGTGGATTAAAAATGACCAATTTATTATTATTTTTCTGAGGGATTATTATGAGGCGTGTGGAGTAAGGAAACTTGCCCAAGGTTTCGCCCTGACCTGCCTGGAATTGAACCCAGGTGTCTCGCTTGCGAGCCGAGTGCTCTAACCACTGAGCTACAAGACTCCACACATACTTGTCGAATAAGCAATAAGGTCCGCAGCCCTCCACTAGGCCTCTAGAACATAAAGCTCACAAGTTGTTCTCTTCAGGTCCCTCCACCACTCTGAAGGCAGATGTCCATTCAACATGGAGTCCTGTAGTTCAGTGGTTAGAGCACTCGCCTTGCAAGTGAGACACCTGGGTTCAATTCCAGGCAAGTTGGGCAAGTTTCCTTACTCCACACAGAGCCTAATTATAATCCCTCCAAAACAAAAATAAATTGGTCATTTTCAACCCAAGACTGTTTATGGGACGCTCCTGTGCGCAATTGGCTGCTGCGTTTCGCCCACAAATATATAGTCAATTCACTTTACAGCATATTCTGTGATGCGCTTTGAGACGTTAAGACGTGAAAAGCACTATATCAAATGTAAGGATTATTATTATTATTATTAACAGTTGAGGACAATCTGAGGCTTGGGCTGGCAGCTGTTGGAAGCTTTACCTTTGCATATCCAATGCTTGGTATTTATTCAGATTACTGTAGAGAGAGAAGCAACTGTTGTTCTACCTTCAGCCTCTGTCCCCACCCTCTGGAACTCCACATCCCACAGCCCCTCTGCCTCACCCGTCCCTTGACTCCTTCAAGACCTGTCTCAAGACCCTCCTCTTCGACTGTGCCTTCAGTCGCCCTCCTATCCCTACCCTCCCTGCCCTCCCACTCCCACCATCCCTCCTGATCCCAACCACCAGCTCGGGTTCGGATCCCTGACTGTCCAGCGCCCTGGGATGTCTTCCTGACGTGAAAGACGCCGTGTAAATGTCATTTGTTGTTGTTCAAGCACGGTGGTGTCAGCTGGTGGGACCATGGATGTGTGTGAGAGCTGTAGGCAATGCTGGTGACAATGCTATTATACATTTCACGCTGAGCTGAGCTGCTCACCAAAGTATTCCTGCAACCTGCTATCCACCTGCAAAGTTTTGGTTTAAGTGGAAACCCTAGTGGGTTATGTGGTCCTCGCTGCACAAATAGCAGGAAGCTTGACAGTCACCACTCATGATGAAAATATCGTGGAGTCCTGTAGCTCAGTGGTTAGAGCACTCGCTTTGCAAGTGAGAGACCTGAGTTCAATTCCAGGCAGAGGGCGAAACCTTGGGCAAGTTTCCTTACTCCACACAGAGCCTAATAATAACCCTCCAAAACCAAAAACAATAATAAATTGGTCATTTTCAATCTACAACTGTTTGTGGGACATTGCTGTGCGCAATTGGCTGCCGCGTTCGCCCACAAATATACAGTCAATTCACTTTACAGTGTGTTCTGTGAAGCGCTTTGGGATGTCCTCCCGACGTGAAAAGCGCTATATCAAATGCAAGGATTATTATTATTATTATTAAAAGCTGCTCTATACGGAAATATTTTCTCGTGTCATTGCCCCAGAAATTGCCAAACGCCTCAGCAGACACAAAAATAAACCATTGCACATTAAGTTACAAAGCAAATACATCCACTTTATACCTGGAAGAATGGGAAGTCACAGACACACTTTTTAAATTGTGATTTTTTAAAACGAAATATATATTTGTTGGTAGATATATATTTACACTTATCTCAAAAAGAATCAAATCCCATCACACAAAAAAAAAGGCAACAGGTTACTATCCCGTTACAGGATGGGACAGACTCAGCCCCTTGTGGAAGGGTGTGTGTGTGTCTCTGCGCACTCCCCTTTGGTGGAGGGACCAAGGCTTTCGGGATTCAGCTCCCCCTTTGCAGGGCGCAGTTACAAGTGGGGTCTTATGGGACGACTGTTCGTGGGACACTGCTGTGCGCAATTGGCCGGGGCATTTCGCCCACAAAATACACACTCAATTCACTTCACAGTATATTCTGTGAAGCGCTTTGAGACGTCTCGAGGACGTGATAAGGCGCTGTGTCAAATGAAAGGATTATTATTATTATTAACAACACACAGGATGTGCACACGTGTTTTGGTGGGGTGGAAGTGGGGGAGAACGCTCCCTTTAAACACAGCATTGTGATGTGCTGTGGATGTGGATGTGGGAAGTGGCTGGGTTGTGTGTGCACATGGTCAGCCTTGAGAACAATCCATACTGTTCCTGGGATGTGTTCACACGTGCGCTAACAGCTCAGCCCCTTCCTGAGCTCACAGAGTTTTGAAAAAATCTATATTTTGTGACCTGCTTTATATTTTCATTTCTCGCGATGTGACCCATCTATGAAAACTTGTCTCATCAAAAACAAGAAATATTGGGTGCTGGTTTGACCTGCAGAAATATGTCAAGGGTTTGTGGTTTTAGCACATTCCAGGATTCCCAAGCCTTGGTGCTGACCAACCTGTGCCTATTACTCTGTAGAATTAGGTGACCAAGGAGAGTGCGCATTCCAATCGAGACACAGGGAGATGAGATATTCATGTGTAGGTTTGGAAAAGTACATTGATTGGTTTGTGCATGTGTCAAACTGACCCCCAAAATATCTGTGAACAAATAGACTCAGATCGAAGTTTTAAAATAAAAGAGAGATCAGAAACTTGCTCAGATTAGAGAAGGGTATTTTAAAATATAAGGGACAATTCCAAGGGCAAGTTTTGGAAGCTTCATTTACAAAGCATCAGAGTGATTTTATTGCTTTTATTTTTGCGAAGTGTATTAAACCTTGGGCAAGTTTCCTTACTCCACACACCTAATAATAATCCCTCCAAAATAAAACAATAATAAATTGGTCACTTCAATCCACGACTGTTTGTGGGACATTGCTGTATGCAATTGGCTGCCGCGTTCGCCCACAAATATACAGTCAATTCACTTTACAGTATAATCTGTGAATGGCTTTGAGAGTCTCGAGGACATGATAAGGCACAATATCAAAAGCAAGGATTATTTAGAAGTTGCATTCCCTTAAATGCTGGATGGATGAAGAGTATGATATGGTGACTTGGGGAGAGCGGACAGTAACTTCTGCTGCCGTAGTAACTCACTCTGTATCTACAACAAATTCTTGTTACTATGCTTACCGATGCTCCTGGAGCCTGGTCCTGCAGAGAGAGCTTTGTCCATCAGGAATGAAAAGCAAGTGATACTCAGAATAAAAACATTGCCTCAAAGACTAACCACAACCCGAGGAGGCTGTCCCTTGGTTTTGCACCAGCTCAGGCCGAATGGAATGAACAAAGCTCTAAGTCTACGGAATAGAATTCCTGCTTTCTCGGGACACGGAGAGGCTTCAGAAGTGGGAATGTTGACATTATAGAGGAGAAGCCTCTGGGATCTTATATGATTCCAGATCCAAAAAGATAAACCAAAGTAATAATAGTCACAAACTCCACAACAAGGGGGGGAGGGACTTGAGCTAAGATGAAGAAAAGTGAACAGTTTAAGAAGTGATGGAGACTGTTAATTAAAGAGTTAATGTTAATGTATAGTGAAGACATTGATTGATATGTAGTGACATAGTAATTGATTGATGTGGATAATGATATACAGTGAAGACATTGATCGGAGGAGAGAGAATGAGATGAGACTTTTTTTTAAAACTTTGGGAGGTGTTGGAAGGTGTTTTTTGATGTTGTTGTCTGTGCCGAGGCAGATAGTCAGGGGTACATAGTCCAGATAGAATGGATGAATACACTTAATGTTTTCTTTGTTAATCTTTGGCATATTTATGTAGAACATTGCCAGGAGATTAAATGGGTGGAAAGGGTTTATGAAAGCAGCTGATTTGATGGATCAATTGGTATTATTAGAGCCAACATGGGGTCATTTGACTTTCTGAGCAAGTGAACAATAAACATTGAGCTTCAAATCACAACACTAAGCCTTCAACTGAGTACTGGATACAGCAAACCCAGGAGAGAGATGCTTATAAAATATCACATTTTATTGAATGACTATTTTGCATAAAAGAAATAAAAATAGAAAACACCCTTCATGTCCAAATTTTAGTAACAATTGATACAAATAAGCACTACACAGATTGGAACAACCCTGGAGCACTCTATCAATGTGGGCTATAAGTCTTTGAATGAATTTTTTTTTAAGATGGAAAGGCTTTGAAATACTGTATTTCCCAGCAGTGACCGTCTCATGAAGTTTTCGGACTTCATGCGGAGACCTGTAGCTCAGTGGTTAGAGCATTCGCTTTGCAAGCGAGAAACCTGAGTTCAATTCCCGGCAGGGAAACCTTGGGCAAGTTTCCTTACTCCACACAGAGCCTAATAATAATCCCTCCAAAACCAAAAACAATAATAAATTGGTCATTTTCAATCTACGACTGTTTGTGGGACATTGCTGTGCGCAATTGGCTGCTGCGTTCGCCCACAAATATACAGTCAATTCACTTTACAGTGTGTTCTGTGAAGCGCTTTGGGACGTCCTCCTGACGTGAACAGCGCTATATCAAATGCAAGGATTATTATTCATGAGACAGTCACTGCTGGGAAATACAATATTTCACATTCAGCCTCAGGCATCCACAGATCAGGAATAGAAATTAGATTACAAGTTTTTTTTGGTGTCTGACACATGTAGAAATCCATCACTTGCTTTAGACTATCCAAACCGAGCTGAGAATTCCAGGCATCCCACCTACACATGGAAATCCCAGAGATAGATTGTTGGAATGGAATGCGCTCTCTCCCTGGAGGGACACATCCTGTTTACCTAATTCCGGAAAGTATTAGGCGCAGGTTGGCAAGAGCCAAGGCTCGGGGACCCCAGAGTGTGTGTTGGGGTAAGTACTGATATTGCTGTCTGGCAAGCTTTCCCACTGCTTATCAACTAGGACCATCCACCCATTAGGGCTTTGGTTTGCAGGGTTAACAGGAGCTGAGTGGGACTACTCCCTGCTCCCAGTGACTGGTTTATTTGCAATGCACTTAATTCCTTACGTTAGAAGTGCAGCTCCTACTGCACAAGCGCAACATTTTCCATTCCCAGCACCAGTGTCCTCTCTGTGACATTGCCAGTTAGTGTTGGGAACCCACTCTCGACTGAGTGAGACTCATTTCATGTAGCATCCTTGTCACCAACTGCTTCACCGACTCCCTGCTCCATTTGTACATATTGTTTGTCCCTGTTCAGGTTTCTCTGATCAGACAGGGTGGTGGATTCTGGCAAAGACTTGGATGGGGTGAGAGAGAGAGAGAGAGAGAGCGAGAGAGAGAGTGTAACCTAACGGAGAGATACTGTCCACACTAGGTTATAAAACTCCTAAGATATAATATAAAAATATATTTAAGAGGCCAACTCCTTCCTCAATTTGTTTTGTGCCCCCCCCACTGAAGGGGTCAACCTTTCATTATTGTACAGTGCAATGTACAGAAAGTCCATTCATTCCTGAGCTGACTAGTGTCAGTCAGCAGGCGATTTGACTGTGGAGAGAGAGCACCACAGACAAGGATAATCTCATCCTGTCGTCACCATCAATTTGCAGCAATGGGCCAAGGAACAGTGATGACGAGTGGGAATCCCCACAAATTCCGTCTCCCTAACTCAGGCGTCTAAAGCCAGTCTTTCTATAGAGAGATCAGCAAAGCTCAGGAGCTGACCTCCTCCTCTCCACAGTCCTCTTATGTAGCACAGCGCTCTGAGACACTATCCTGCGTGGAGGGCGCTATACAAGTTGTTGTTCTTATCTTATCCCTTCAGTGCCAGAGAGATCAACTGAGATGAAACACTGACGGCTTGTGCGCACCCACTAGTGGCCAGTTACGAAGCAGCAATGACTGAGGTGAAGGAATTGGAGTGGGAGCAGCCAATCCTTTATTTCACTGTATCCTGGTGCGAGGTAATAATCCTTGTATTTGATTCAGCGCCTTATCACGTCTTCGAGTCTCGCCAAGCGCTTCACAGGATACACTGTAAAGTGAATTGACTGTCTATTTTGTGGGCGAAACTCGGAAACCATGTACGCACAGCAGCGTCCCCACAAACAGTCGTGGATTGAGTGACCAAATTATGGAGCAAAAGCTCAACGTCCTCATTTATTTGGGGGCGTGCGTGGGGAGGGGTGGGGGGGAGGGATGGAGGAGGAAGGTGAAGATCATCCAAGCAATAACGTATGATGAATTATAATGTCAGACCTGACAGTTGCCTACTCTCAGCTCCCAGGTTGCGAAGAACAGCAAAACACAGCAAGGATTCCCACTTCTCCTCATTCCCCACTCCCCCCCTGAGGGTAAACATTCGAGCAAACACTGGGTGAAGACTGACCATGTGAGGACCTGTGGAGCTCAGTAGGTCAGCGGTGTCAGGAGAGGAGGGAAGAGAACTCGCAGCCAGTCGAATGAGCCTCGTCTGTGGCTTTTGCTGGTAAATACATGTGAAATATTCCTGTCAGCTCTTGGTGACCGGGTTTCTCCAGGTTATTAATTCTGCTGCTAAACTGGGGGAGATCAGGCCGTTGTGTGTGAGCAGTCTGTGCAAAAGCTCCAGGTCGGATCTCAGTCTGTGCGACGTGCAGGTAAGATGGAAAGGATTCATGTCATGAACTTCGAACAACTCCAGGAGGCGTAGGAGTACAGCAGCCTTGACGAGCAGAGCCACCAGAGAGGTGCACAGCTTCCCCGAAGCCAACAAATCAAACAGGCACAATCCGTTCCCTGTAACAGAGAGAATTCCCATTGTTATACTCTTCATAACGTCGGATGTCTCAAAGCTTTACAATAATTACTGTCTGTGGCTCCGTGTCTGTTGGCAAACATGGCAATCGATACAAAGAGACAGTAAACCAGATCGAATGAGTTGTTCTGAACATTTTGGACGGCAACAACAACAAATGACATTTACACACACGGGGCCTTTCCAGTCAAGGAGGACGTCCCAAGGCACTGGACAGTCATGGATTTGGACAAGAGCTGCTGGGAGCGGGAGTTGGAATCAGGAGGGGTGGAGGACGGGGAGGGGAGGGGTAGGAGGGTGGCCGAAGAGGAAGGTCTAAAACGTGCTTTGAAAGAGGCGAGGGAGTGAGGCAAAGGGACTATGGGATGGATTTCCACAAGGTGGGAGCAGAGAGGCTTAAGGCCTGACCTGTAAAACACAAAGCCTCTATTTCCCAGTGGTGTCAGCACATTGCACTGGCAATGCTAGCCTGGTAAACTGATACTTACGATAACTAAAGCTGATTTTCCTTGCTAACATAAGCACTATATCAAATTCAAGCATTTCTTGTTGAACCAGAAGCAACTGATGTAAATCAGCATTTCCCAGCCCTGTGACCCCACCACCGTTTCCCCCTCAGAGGGTCTCTTACTAAGTAAACCTCCCCCAGGCCCTGCTGCTCTCTGGTACTTAACCCAAATGACCAATCTTAGTGTGAGCTCTGTGCTCTGACAAGTTCAACTTTCCCTCACGACTGTAACATCAATAATCCTTGCATTCGATATTGCTTTTAATATGTAACATTGCTTGCCTCCGCCACTCCCCCTCCCCTCGAGCCGCCGAGATCCTCGTCCATGCTTTAATCACGGCCAATGCTCTGCTCGCCAGACCCCCAGCTCTTCCTTACACAAGCTACAGAACAGGCTGTGAGCCGATCGCCCGCTCCTCACTCCACTGGATCCTAGTTGTCACCTTCAAATCCCTCCAGTCTCGCCCCACTCCACCTCTGTGACCTACTTCAACCATGCTGACCCGACGACACCCTTGACTCTGCAAACACCAGCCCGCTTCACGTCCTCTTTCCAACCATCAGTGGCCAGACTTTCAGCCATCCTGCCTTGCTCTCCGGAACTCTATCCCTGAAGCTCTCCGACTCACTCCCACTCTCCCCTCGTTCAAGGCCACTCTCAAGATGTACCTCTTTGACTGTGTGACTGCTCTTTCAGTCAAACTTTCGCTTCCCGATCCTCTTCAGCTCCCAAACCCAGCTGGGCTCCCCAGCCAGGAGTGTCAAGCACTTTGAGACATCCCCTCCCCACCAGATGTGAAAGGCACTTTATAAGTATAAATTGTATCTGTGTGTGTGTGCGGGGGGGGGTGGTATTTACAATATTATATTATAGAGCACACATGGGAGCTAAAATCCCACAGATAGTATGTGTGAGAGACTGAGAACAAATATATTTAAATGCATTCATCCGAGTGGAGTGAATGCCCTCAAAATGTTTAGTGAAATGACAAGGAGGAAAAGGCATGTTTACATTGAAAGGGCTTGATACTCAAGCAAGCTGCCCACGGATGGCATTTTGCAGCACAATTACACAAGTTGTTGCTTTGAGCCAAGTCTTGAGTCATAGGGAATCACAGGGGCCACTTTCACAATCCCCCAGGGGAATAATAACAATAATAATCCTAGCATTAAGGGAATCCTAGCATTCATTAAGTGAATGAAGGGACGGGAATAGAATGCAAACCTTGGCTCCAGCTCCGCTTACAGTTGTCTATGTTGTTTAGAGCAGTGGGGAGGTGTGCTGTGCTCCAGGCGGTGAGCTGTCTGAGGTGCGGCGCGGAAAGGCTCAACCTGTCCACCATCCGGAGGAGGAACGGCAACAGGAGCCTGGTGAATATGGCTGGCTCTGCAAAGATATTGGGTTCGTCCTGCTCATAAAGATTCACCGACCTGAAATGGTCAATGTTTGTCATCATTATAAATGGCAACTTATTATAATAATAATAGTCCTTGCATTTGATATAGCGCCTTATCACGTTGCAGAGGCGTCTCATAGAATTATATAGCACAGAAGGAGGCCATTCAGCCCATTGTGAAAAGAGCTCACAGGACATACTATAATATGTAGTGACCGTGTGTTTTGTGGGCGAAACTCGGCAGCCAATTGCGCACAGCAGTGCCCCACAAACAGTTGTGGATTGAGTGACCAAATTATTATTATATTGTAATGTTTAGATTATTTCCAGCGATAATTAGCGATCCACTTCACCAAACACAGTATCTTGTGTCCCGATAATGGTGAATTAATAATAATAATTTGATGTAGCATCTTATCATGTCTTTGAGACGTCTCAAAGCGCTTCACAAAATACACTGTAATGTGAATTGACTGAATATTTTGTGGGCAAAACATGGCAGCCAAATTGCGCATAGCAATTAATCTTACAATCTACTCCAAACCTGTTAAAAAAGCATACGGGAAATTAGGTTTTATAAACAGTGGCATAGAATTCAAAAGTCAGGAGGTTATGTTGAATATTTATAAGATGCTGTTAGGCCTCAGTTGGAGACTGCGTTCAGTTGTGGGCACCGCAAGTTAGGAAAGATGTTGGGGCATTGGAGAGGGCACAAAGGAGGTTTACCCGATGGTACCAGGAATGAAGGACCTTAGCTATGAGGAGAGATTAGCGAAACTAGGATTATTCTCCCTGGAGCAGAGAAGATTAAGAGGGGATTTAATAGAGGTTTTCAAGATCATGAGAGGATTTGATAGGTTGAACCAAAAAAACTGTTTCCATTGGCATGTGGGTCAGTAACCCGAGGAACCGATTTAAGAGAGTTGGTAAAAGAAACAGAGGGGAGGTGAGGAAACGTTTTCACCAGCGAGGTGTTGGGATCTGGAATGCATTACCTGAAAGGGTAGTGGGAGCCGATTCAATAACAACTTTTAAGAGAGAAGTAGATGGGTATTTGGGGAGGACAGGATGCAGGGCTATGGAGAGAAAGGTGGGATTGAGTTGGAAGCTCTTTTAGGAGCCGGCGCAGACACGATGGGCCAAATGGCCTCTTTCTGTGCTGTATGAGTCTGTGATTCTACCTGAGCTCCTGCCAACCAATGTCTAAACACTAACGTGATACTGCACATGGGATTCCTTAATAAACACTGACCAGGTCACTCCCACACCATCCACCTCTACAGTGAAGCTGTGGTGAGTTGGGGTAACACACAGGCAGATGCGAGTCTCACTCCTTATTAAGGAACCCTGTTGGAAATCACCACACATTATGATTCAAACGCAAAAGAAGTTTAAATAATAAATAAGTTTCAATCCCACCAAGAGGTCAGTTTTGTGATCTGAAACTACTGACATCAAACGAGCTCAGTGTCGCGGAGGGGGGCCGGGGGGAGTGAGGCAGTTCATGAACTATTTGTAGTTCATGAGCATATTTGTATTCGAGACATTTGCATGACATTCCCAGCACTGCACCGTGTAAACTGCACACTCACTCTTAAAGCATCACCTGATGCAAATCCTGTAGGTCACAGCAAGCCCTTGAGGACAACAGCTTCACACATCCCACCAACGCGCACACTTTTACACAGAAATACAGCTGTTCCCCGCACCTCACTTCCAGCACAGTGCAAGCCGAGAGTGGACAAAAGGCAAAACACTGCAGATGCTGGAAATCTGAAATAAAAACAGAAGTCGCTGGGAACACTCAGCAGGTCAGGCAGCATCTATGGAGAAAGGAAAGTGAATTAACGTTTCAGGTCGATGATCTTTGGTCACTTTCCTCTATCCATAGAGGAAACTTCCATGCTGCCTGACCTGCTGAGTGTTCCCAGCCACTTCTGTTCTTAAGCCAACACTGGAGCCGACAGCTAAGCCTAGTCTTCATTTGTTGAAACAAAAAAATTGTCCATTTCATAAAAGTTACCGACTCACTGATTTCTCTCCAGTTGCTGCAGTATTCCGCTCATGTCAGCTGCTGGGACATGGCTCATGAGCATCTCGAACGTCTCCTCACATTCCCAGAGGTTTGCCAGCAGGAATTCCAGGAGGCAGACCAGGCCCTTGTTGCTCTGGAGGTAAGTGAAATCCCTGCCCTCCCCGCTGGACAGCAGGTGAATGTAGGTAGCAAATTTAGCAGCAGCCTTCCTCACTCTCTGGTCTGCGTCCTGCAGTAAGCGGAGGCCTTGGTTTATCAGCCTAAAATAACAGCAGACGTGTTAAAATCATTACTTCATCCAGCAATCTGATTCACAGCATCTCGTACAAGTGCCCATTCAAGGAACAAAGGCATCTCCCCCAACTTACACATCGTGTACAGAGCAGATACCAGGGACAGGAGGTTTTAGGAAGATTTTCTGTTGGTGGGAGGTGTGGGAAAGGAAAGGGGCTGAACTTATTCCAAGGTGACAACGGATAAAGCAAAATGTTACAGAGAGTTTTCGGTGGGCTGAGGGACGCTTTCTGTGTTATGCTGTGTAGCCAGGACCCAGGGTATCCCTCCGTTCTGCTGCTATAAGAGGTTGGAAACTCGGTGAGTGCACATCACGGTGCTTTTGTTTGTTTGTATTTATCTGCAATTGCCGTTTGGTGCTTCTGGCTGTTAAAAAAAAGGTTGATAGCTTGTGCCCACCCACGGCTCTTCTTTTAGGCATCAAATTGATGCAGCTGGTACCACTCCGGTCATCAGATTCAAGCCACACAGTCCAGCTGACACTCCAGTACGAGTGCTGGGGGAGCGTTGCATTGTTAAAGGCGCCAACTTCTGGATGAGACGTTAAACATGACCCGTCTGTCTGTTTAGGATCAGACGTTAAAGATTCCCATCGCTATTTGAAAAGAGCAAATTCTCCCCGTGCCGTGGCCAACAATCCCCAAAATAATCAAATTGAGCATTCCTTTCACGGTGGTTTGTGTGAAGTGCCTGTTGCCAAATTCAATAACAACAACAACTTGCATTTATATAGCGCCCCCTCACGCCGGGTAACGTCCCAGAGCGCTTGACAGTGACGGAGCACGACGCCAAGCTGGGGGGAGGGGGAGGTGACCATAGGCACAGGCAAAGAAGAAGGTCTTCAGGAGCGACCTGAAGTTAGGAAAGGGACAAAACAGAGGATAGAGGAAGAGTTACGTTTGCCCACAAATGCGCAGCCACACACTTTACAGTAAAACCTGTGAAGCTCTTTGAGATGATTCGATGAGGCTCTGTAACAAATGCTTCTTATTAATAAAAAGTGTGAGAGACTAAACGGCCAGCACTGACCTCACAGCGACTGTGGGAGTGGTGCTCAGGGCCCACTCCACCACCGCCACCCCCGCCAGCTCCAGCGATTGGGCTGCTCCCAGCCTCAGTGCCACCTCGCCTGGCACCTCACTGCTCTGCTCCAGCACCCAGCACCACTGCTCCACATCGGCAACAGCCACTGCCTGCAAGCTGAGACACGTCTGCTGACTTACTACATGTTGTAACAAAAACAACAACAACAACATGCACTTATATTGCGCCCCTCATGCAGGGCAGCGTCCTGGAGTACTTGATAATGTCCTACTGCAACATTTTTTCCACCCTCTTGCCTGTCCTTTCCTCTTGTCTCTCCCATCCCCTTTGTCCCTCTGTTCTCTCTTTCCGTTCCATCTCTCTCTCTCTTGCTCATCTTCTCTCCTAAAGCAACATGAAGCATCTTGCTGGTTCTATGGGCACTAGTTGGTACCTAATGGGATGAGAGTGGGGAATTGGGACTAGTTGGTAGGTCTATTATAGAGCCGGCACAGACACAATGGGCCGAATGGCCTTCTTCTGTTCTGTTATATTCTATGATTGTATTTTCAAGTTTACGCTCAGTGTAACCATGTGGTTGTGGGTGTAAAAGCCAATCATTGAATAGCAAGCAGGAGCCGGGCTCCGACTGATCTCTCCCTCAACAGCCCAAGGTGGTTGGTAAACTGAAGCCAACCGCAAGACTGTGATTCCGGCAAAGATCTGCAAACTCTGTGCAGATAAGACAAATATTCCTTAGGCCTGAGCTCAGCTGTGATGCCTCTATTGTCATACAGCCTGTTGTCTATCTGTCAATCTGTCAGTCAATCTGTCAATCAATCAGTCAGTCAATCAATCAAGTAAGTAAGTCAATCAAGTCACAGATGAACAGTCAACTGAGCCAAATACCAGAGGAGGTGTGATGCCCATGGAACATGATCTGTTAGTGAGGAAGCTTGAAGAGAGAACATTGTGGGTGAGGACCTCCTACCTTCCCGGGAGCAGTGAGCTGAGAGAGCGCAGGATGTGACAGCACAGCTCAGGCCCACGGTAAGTCTTCTCCAGCTCAGTCAGCAGCGCCCGGATACATTCCACTCTCTGCCCCTGACACCCAGACGCTGCTGGCCCCTTGGCCTGCAGGAGCACCATTGCCTCCAGGTGGCGGCTCACATACTCCACACTGCCCTCCTTCAACACCAAGGGCAGGGTTTGCTGCAGACACAAAGATGGCATTGTACTGGGGCAACACCACAAACACCGGCATGAAGTAATAGGACGGGAGAACATCTCAGTGGACAATTAACCTGTAGCTCAGTGGTTAGAGCACTCGCCTCGCAAGCGAGAGGACCTGGGTTCATTTCCCGGGCAGAGCGAAACATTAGGCAAGTTTCTTTACTTCACACGCCTCTGTTTACTTAGCAGTAAGTAGGAACCCGGTTGTTAGTCGATTGGCGCATCGTGTTTCTGGGGTTAATAATCCCTTCAAAGCCATAAATAAATGTAAAAAAATAATAACTGTCTGTGCACAATTGGCTGCCGCGTTTCGCCCACAAAATATAGTCAATTCATTTTACAGTATATTCTGTGAAACACTTTAAGATGTCTCAAAGATGTGATAAGGCGCTATATCAAATGCAAGGATTATTATTATTATCACAGAAGACCCATCTGCCAGTTGTGTTTGTGCTGGTTCTTTGAAGCAATAATCCTTTCGGTCTGTTTCCCTGCCTGATCCTCTCATATCCAGCAAATTATTCCTTTTATGATATTTATCTGGTACTCTCTTGAACACTAGTATGCTTTGATCCTGCCTTGACCACCACATCAGCCAGGGCATTCCACATCCTAACAACGCTCTGTGTAAAAACAATTCTAACTTTCCCCTTTACTCCCTCTTGGGATGGGTCTTGAAAATGAGATGAAGGAGGAAGCGAACCAGAGACACTCTGGAATGGGGCAGAGAGGCTGAATGCCTCCGATGGTGGGGAGGATAAGGCAGGAGACATGAATCATCGCTGAGCCAAGACTGGGTGGGTTGGGGTTGAGCAAGTACAGAGTCCCAGCAGGGTGAGATCATGGCGAGATTTAAAGGTGAGGTGAGGATGAGGATCTTGAATTCTAAGAATGAGGGTCTTGAACTTGAATCAATCAATGCAATCGACAAGACATTTGAAGCCCACGTTTGGGCTTCACCTGACCACCATTTTAATAACAATACTTGCATTTGGTATAGTGTCTTATCACATCGTCGAGATGTCTCAAAGCACTTCAGAGAATATACTCTAAAGTAAATTGACTGTATATTTTGTGGGCGAAATGCCAATTGCGCACAGTAGTGTCCCACAAACAGTCGTAGATTGAAAGACCAAATTTTTGTTTAAGGGATTTTCCCACTATCGACCAATGACACCATCTACAATTTACAATTATGTTACCTTGTCAATAGGGGGAAATACATAAAAGTAGTTTGAAGTCCCCCAAAATTGTGTCTTTTCACATTGTGATTCAATATAATTATTTTATGAGGTATCGCATTTCTCTTCTGCTCATTTGCATCGTCAACTGACAGCCCTTAGGTGAACCCTCTCCAGAACATGAACCACCGAAAGCTCACAGTGCAACACCCACTCATTTTCCCCAGAAATAAACCTACCACAAGCTCTGCCAATATGAAGGGGTACAAGTGACTGCTGTGTCTGTCAGGCCCCTCGGTGACCCAGGTCAGCACAGCGAGGCGGACCTCCACATCCTCCGACACCAACAACTGACGGGTTTGCTCCAGTTGTTGAGGGTCCCTGGTTCTTGCTGCCTCCGAGCACAGGAAGTGAGTAACATCTCTCTTGAAGACTGCAGCTCCAATCTAGACAAAGGCATTATCAAGATCATACAGTAAGTGTCGGTGTCTGAGGAGTTTACAGCAATACATTTTGCAATGTAACAGCAAAACAGTGAAATAAATGACAGGAAGTTTTTCCCATTGTCCTGGCCAAGACTTCCCCAGATAAATTCACTTCCTGGCTATTTTGGAAACACAGCTGTGTGCAAATCAGCTGCCCCTATTCCCCCAAAAACACAGCCAGCCTGTGAAGCTCTCCAGGATGTGCTCCCGCCATGAAAGACACTACACCAAATCTAAAGAGTTAACGTTTCAGGTCGATGATCAAAGACGCTCAGCAGGTCAGGCAGCATCTATGGAGAGAGGAAGTGACTAAGGGTCATCGACCTGAAACGTTAACCCACTTTCCTCTCTCCATAGATGCTGCCTGACCTGCTGAGTGTTCCCAGCCACTTCTGTTGTGTTGTAACAGGAAGGTTACTTTGTAAGACACCTAGCAGCCCTTTCAGGGTGTAACACATAATAATATTATTTTTATTATATCAAAGGATTATTATTATTATCATTAACACATACCATGAGCTGGCAGGGGGAAGCCCTGAGCTGTGGGAGGATGAGTACCCAGAGCTGGGCGAGGAAACCCTGGCTGCACGTCCTCACCACGGAGGCAATGACCTGCAGGTAGGCGACCCTGATCAGAGGGCAGCGCTGAGCCGTGCTCACCAGCCACAGCCGCCCCTCCAGCTCGCGCACCACACACTGCTTCTCCTCGGGATCCAAGCTGCGGAATGTGGACACATTGATTCACTTAGCAATAAAAAAAATATTGGAAGGGATTTATACATATTGATCAATACAATTTTTTGAAGAAACAAATTCCCTCAATTTTCTCTCCTCTATTCCCAGAATTCTAATAACCAACATGTAAACTACAGGATGTGCAGTCCTGTAGCTCAGTGGTTAGAGCAATCGCCCTGGGTTCGATTCCCGGCAGGGCGAAACGTTGGCCAAGTTTCTTTACTCCACACGCCTGTTTACCAGCAGTAAGTTGGAACATGGTCGGTAGTCGATTGGCGGATCGCTTTTTTGGGGGTAATAATTCTTTTCAAAAATAATAATAATTTGGTTACTCAATCCACGACTGTTTGTGGGACACTGCTATGCGCAACTGGCTGCTGTGTTTCGCCCACAAAATACACAGTCACTACAGTTTATACAGTATAAACTCCCAAGCATTCATCTATTCTCACGGTTCTATGGTGCCCTCTTCCCCTTCACTGCGAACTTTCCCACAACCAGCAGCTTGCTGGTATTTGTTCATCTCAGTTTGAACATTTTTTTATGAAATATATTAATTGACGTATATCAATCACCTTTGTTGGAAGCCTGCATTTAGCTACTGTGCAGGGAATACAATTCTCTAATCTCGCACCTCACCTGAGCCTTTCCAACCTGTGCTGGAGTTCTCTGCTCATGATTCAGTTGTGTGACACTGCACACAGCAGCTAAGCAAAGGAGCCATCCCAGTGCACTTCAGATGAGCAGTCAGGGATGGACATGCTCCTTCAAAGCACGTCTCTAGGCCATCCTCTTTGACCATGCATTCGGCCATCCTCCTACCCCTACCCTCCTTGCCCTCCACTCCCGATCCCAACCCCGATTGTCCAGCGCCTTGGGACATCCACCCCATGTGAAGGGCGTTGGGTAAATCTCATTTGTTGTTTGTTGTTGGGATCAGAAATTGGGCTACTTACCAGCCAGTGTCCAGCGCTCTCCTCAGCAAGGCCTGGAGCTGCAGCAGACGGCCATGCAGAGCGTTGTGTGATGAGCCGCTGCCGGGAGGAGGCAGCCCAGCTGTCAAACCGCACAGGACCCTCCCGTATTCAGAGCGGGCAACCAGCGGGACCAAGGCCTTTGCAGCACTCACTCGCACGCTGTAAATCGGATTGGCAGCCAGCAAGGTTAAAGGTTGGAGAAACCTGGAGAAAGAACTGAGGCAGAAGAAAAAGCTGAACTGACTTTGCTGATTGTCACAGTCCCGACGCAATAATAATAATAATCCTTGCATTTGATACAGCGCCTTATCACATCTTCTAGACATCTCAAAGCGCTTCGCAGAATATACTGTAAAGTGTAGTGACTGTATTTTGTGGGCGAAACGCGGCAGCAAATTGCACACAGCAGCGTCCCACAAACAGCTGAGTGACCAAATTTTTAAAACTTTTTTTTAAGAGGGATCATTACTTGCAGGAAATGATCCACCAATAGACTAACAACCGGGTTTCTACTTACTGCTGGGTAAGCAGAGGCGTGTGGAGTAAGGAAACTTACTTATTCCACACTTACTTACTGTGGAGTAAACCCAACGTTTCACCCTGCCCGGGAATTGAACCCAGGTCCTCTCACTTGAGGCGCGTGTTCTAACCACTGAGTTATAGGACTCCACACTACAAGTGACCCTTGGATCTGAGTGTCTGGGATTCGGCCCTAGGCAGCCTGGCCCCCCGCATGAGTAGCCTCCCACCACCCACTGCACCACACTCCAGACCTCACTGCGCTCAATGGCCTTTACGGTGCCCAGGGAGTTCCACTGTGACTCAGATGGAGTCACAGTGGAACTGTGACTCCATCTGAGTCACAGTGGACACAGTGTCCACAGTGGACACAGTCAACACAGTGGAACACCCAGCAATTAGAAGTGGGCTAATTCACTAGCTACTGCTCGGGAGTTTCAATCAGAGCTCTTTCTGATGAAAGGAGGAGTTTACAGCAATACATTTTGAAATGTTACAGCAAAACAGTGAAATAAATGACAGGAAGTTTTTCCCATTGTCCTGGCCAAGACTTCCCCAGATAAGTTCACTTCCTGGCTATTTTGGGGACACAGCTGTGTGCAAATCAGCTGCCCCTATTCCCCCAAAAACACAGCCAGCCTGTGAAGCTCTCCAGGATGTGCTCCCGCCATGAAAGACACTACACCAAATCTAAAGAGTTAACTTTTCAGGTCGATGATCAAAGACGCTCAGCAGGTCAGGCAGCATCTATGGAGAGAGGAAGTGACTAAGGGTCATCGACCTGAAACGTTAACCCACTTTCCTCTCTCCATAGATGCTGTCTGACCTGCTGAGTGTTCCCAGCCACTTCTGTTTATATTTCAGATTTCCAGTGTCTGCAGTATTTTGCCTTTTTTCCCCCCAAACAATTATAATGGCTAGCACCAGAGTTTACCAGCATTTTCCGGCACTGAGAAAAGCCGGCACTGACATCGTAATTACACTCATCCGGAAATTCCAGCTCGCCGGTCCGGATCTCCCCCTATTGGCCTGGCTAGCCGGGGGGTTAGTGGACACAATAGTATGTCAAAGATCTTTAATGACTGTGACACAGTCCCTCCTGGTGCTCTAACTTCTCCCTCACATAAATTCAGCAAAACAAAACAATTCCATTTGGTGATTGATGCAATTGTTGTTCGCGGAGGTGAGGTCTCGCTGCTATGTTTGTCCCTGGCCACAGCGTGGATGGAGGAGGATGTGCAGAAAAAATTAAATAAATTCAGGGTGACCAATTCGTTGTGATACCATTACAATGTCCAGTAAGTCTTAAAGAAATGATGATGTTTTGGGGGTTTATTTAGATAATAGTGCAGCTGAAAAATAAGAAACTTGATCTAGTTATAGATAAATCAATATCGCACTGCAATTGTGGAACTGATCTTCTCAAATTAAAATAAATAAAATAAATGGTATCATGACTTTTTGGTCACCCTGTAGACTGCTACTGCAGACATGACGGAGGTAACGGGCTGCCTGCGTGGTTTTCAGGGTAACACAGGAACAAAGGGAGGCCATTCAGCCCTCTGAGCCTGTTCTGCCATTTAATTAGATCATGTCTGATCTAATCCTGTCAATTCCAATTTTCCGCTTTCTCCTCATATCCCTTAATATCCTGACCTATCAAAAATATCTATCAATCTCACTCTTGAAGGTGTGGATGGATCTAGAATCCACGGCCTTTTGTGGGAGAGAATTCCAGATTTGTACCCTCCTTTGAGTGAAAAAATGCTTCTGATTTCACTCTTAAATGGCCTGGTTCTAATTTTAAGACTATGTCCCGTGTTTTGGTTTCCACACCAGAGGAAATAGCTTCTCTCCACACTGTTGTACCTGTGTGTGCTGTCGTCACTGGGCTGAAGCTTGGCCAGCAGAGTGAGGATGGGGTGAAGCGAGGGAACCAGGTGAAGTTGGCCTCCCTGGGCAGCAGTGGCCAGCTCCAGCTGCCGGAGAAGAAGATCCTGCAGCTCGGGATAGAGCACGAAGAAGGCCCGAGGGGACGGCCCGTCCTGACCACACAGATTCTCATGGCTCCGCCTGTGGCCAAACAGTCGAGTGGTCAAAGCACCTGGAGGAGAACAGAGGCCAACCATACGTCATCACACCATCATGGCAATGCAAAAACATGGCAACACAACAGCAGAATCGCGGCAATAACTTTCTCAGAAAGGTTCAATCTGAAGAGTATTACTGAATGATTTCTGCTTCTGTAAAATAATAATCCTTGCATTTGATAAAGCGTCTTATCACGTCTTCTGGACGTCTCAAAGCGCTTCACAGAATATACCGTGAAGTGAATTGACTGTGTATTTTGCGGGTGAAACACGGCAGCCAATTGCGCACAGCAGCGTCCCACAAACAGGCATGGATTGAGTGGCCAATTTATTATTATTTTATTTTTTGAAGGGATTATTACCCTCGGAAAAGCTATTTGTCAATCGACTAACAACCGGGTTCCAATTTACTGCTAGGTAAACAGAGGCAAGTAACAACAACAACAAAAATAATTTGTAAAGCGCCTTTCTGGAGGGCCTCAGTCTTGCTGACATTCAGCTGTAGAAAGTTGGCTCTCATCCAGGACTTGATGTCAGACAAACATTCTGTCAGGACGTCATTTGTCCCATAATCAAGAGTGGAGGAAGGGAGATAGAGCTGGATGTTACCGCGAACATGTGGAAGTTGACCCCATGTCTGCGAATGACATCACCAACGTCATTGTAGAGGGTCAAGAGGAGGGAACTGAGGACGGAGCCCTGAGGAACACCACACAACTTGTGCGGGGGCTGTAAGAGAAACTGTTGGTAGAGACAAATTGAAGACGGTGTGAGAAATAAGACCTGAATCATCCAAGGACAGAACTTAGAAGGTTGAGGTGAGAGTAGAGATAGTGGAGGAGGATGGAGTGGTCCAAGGAATGAAACTTGCTTTAGGTTTTACCCTGCCCGAGAATCGAACCTGAGTCATCTCGCTTGCGAGGCGAGTGCACTAACCATTGATCAACCACTGAGCTACAGGACTCCTGTTCACACGTCATACAGAAGGGATCGCTCATGGCTGTGGATAAAAGCATCACTGCATTAGGACTGAGCCACAGGGACCAGCATGACAGCTCGCTGTACACTGCCTTGACCATCTGAGGTATGATCCTCAAATAGTCACTGACTACTTTCAATCAGAGATAACCAGAGAGAGAGAGAGGCTGAGAGAGAGGCACACTGACAAGAGGCTGAGAGAGAGACAGACTGACAGACAGAGGCTCAGAGAGACTCACTGAAGAGTTGGATGGCTGCATTGCGCATGGCCCAGGAAGGGGAGCTCAAGGCTCGCAGTGACAGCATCGCCATGTCTGTGATGTAGGGTAACACTGCTGTCCCCAGCCCAGAGCCCTGAGTCAGTGCTTTTAACATATGAAGAGCACAAACCTGCAAAAATAAAACAACAAATATAAGTAGCTATTGTGGGCACAAAATCATCACACACGACAATGTGTGCAACAGAAATAATAACAACAATAATCCTTGCATTTGATACAGCGCCTTATCAAGTTTCAGGTCGATGACCTTTCGTGATTAAATGAGCTAAAGGAAAACAAGTCGTTGGAAACACCCAGCAGGTCAGGCAGCATCCATGGAGAGAGGAAAGTGACCATCGATCTGATAGAATCATAGAATTACACAGCACAGAAGGAGGCCATTGGCCCATCGTGTCTGTGTCGGCTCTTTGAAAAGAGCTTCCAAATCAACCCCACTCCCCCACTCTCTCCCCATAGCCCTGATCAACCCCACTCCCCCACTCTCTCCCCATAGCCCTGATCAACCCCACTCGCCCGCTCTCTCCCCATAGCCCTGATCAGCCCCACTCCCCCGCTCTCTCCCCATAGCCCTGATCAACCCCACTCCCCCGCTCTCTCTCCATAGCCCTGATCAACCCCACTCCCCCGCTCTCTCCCCATAGCCCTGCAAACTTGTCCTCCCCAAATAATTATCTACTTTTCTCTTAAAAGCTGTTATTGAATCGGTTCCCACCGGCCTTTCAGGCAATGCATTTCAGATCCCAACAACTCGCTGTGAAAACATTTCTCCTCCCCTCCCCTCTGTTTCTTTTAACAACCTGAAACGTTAACTCCCTGGAGGGACGCATCCTGCTTACCTAATTCCGTAAAGTATTAGGCACAGGTTGACTGGAGCCAAGGCTTGGGAACCCCAGAGTATGCATTGGGGTAACTGCTGGAGTCTAACCAGCTAAAACCGCATAAGTTTGCCATTAATGCAAGCACACATCCTGAATGTGTGGGGACTGACTGCAGTGTGGATTTCTTGCCATGAAGAGGCTCCACCAGATTATTCTCTAGAACAGCAGATCTACTTTAAGGATCCTCGTCCTTGCCTTGAAATGCCTCCATGGTCTTGCCCCACCCTCCCTCAGCAACCTCCTGAGGTCCTCCTGCCCCGCTCATCCTCTCCACTCTGCCAACCCAGATTGGCTTCACATCCTCCCCACTCATCTGTGTCACTATCAGCCATTTTGCTCCAGCAATCTGAAACTCTCTCAAACCCGGCACCTGCCATCCTGCCTCACTTGCTTTCAAAACCCGGTTAAAACTTTCCGGTTTGGGCTCCCACTCAATTAACGTAAAGCCCTTTGAGGCCTTCTCTAAAGTGAAAAGTTCTCTATGATGTTTTTTCCTCTTTATGTAGCTACTGATCTCAAGTCGCTGTATGAACTTCATCCCCCCAGTCCCTTTGCCTCACCCCCTTCCTTGCCTCCTTCGTAGTACATCTCAAGACCCTCCTCTTTGACCGTGCAACCCTCCTACCCTCTACCCACCCTAATACCAACCCCCAGCTCAGGGCCAAATCTCTGACTGTCCAGCGCCTTAGGACGTTCTCTGGAAATGAAAGACGCTTTACAAATGTAATTTGTTGTTGTTGTTTAAGAGGCTGGAGGGTGAGCCGAGGATGATGATTGCTTTACCTGTTTGCTGGGTGATTTTCTGAGCAGTCATGGCTTATCTTATTATTATTATCATCATTATTATAGTTATTACCTGGGGCAGATCCACCGTCTGGTCCCAGGTCTTGGGCAGGGGGTCACTGGCAATCTCCAGCAGCGAGGTGACGCAGTGTTTGAGGAGGGGCCGCCTGCTGCTGTTCTCTGCAGACACCACACACAGCACGAGCATCGGTAGTCCAGCTGCCCTGCGTGTAACCGAGCTGCTCCACGGCCTCGTCAGGACCGACAAACCCTGAGCACAGACAAATATCACAGAGATTCATCCAATCCCAGAAACCCCTGAAAAGGTTAATATTCTTACCTCGTTTCTCATTTTCTGTTTATAATTACTAACTGTGGGGAGATGCCGCTGGGGTGAGAGGTCATGGGGGAGGTCGCGGGGAGGGGAGTGGTTGCAGGGCCGGGGGCGGGGCTGCAGGGACGGGGGAGGGGCAGCGGGGAGGAGGCAGGGGCCACAGGGTACAGGGGAGAGGTTGCGGGAGAGGGGCGAGGTCGCGGGAGAGGGGAGAGGTCGCGGGAGAGGGGAGAGGTCGCGGGAGAGGTCGCGGGAGAGGTCGCGGGAGAGGGGAGAGGTCGCGGGAGAGGGGAGAGGTCGCGGGAGAGGGGAGAGGTCGCGGGAGCGGTCGCGGGAGAGGGGCGAGGTCGCGGGAGAGGGGCGAGGTCGCGGGAGAGGGGCGAGGTCGCGGGAGAGGGGCGAGGTCGCGGGAGAGGTCGCAGTAGAGGGGAGAGGTCGCGGGAGAGGGGAGAGGTCGCGGGAGAGGTCGCGGGAGAGGGGAGAGGTCGCGGGAGAGGGGAGAGGTCGCGGGAGAGGGGAGAGGTCGCGGGAGAGGGGCGAGGTCGCGGGAGAGGGGAGAGGTCGCGGGAGAGGGGAGAGGTCGCGGGAGAGGGGAGAGGTCGCGGGAGGAGAGGTCGCGGGAGAGGGGCGAGGTCGCGGGAGAGGGGAGAGGTCGCGGGAGAGGGTAATTACAAAAAACACAAATGACAAAGTCTCCACAGAAAGACACTGATCAGGGAGTCTACGTGTATTCCCATACCTGATCCAGGATCCTTTTGGGAATCTCCTGGAATTCTAGCAGTGGCTGCTTCAACAGCGTAGCACAAAATGTAGTGAATCCGGCACTGCAGCCTTCCACTGTGCCCTGCAACCCAGAGCACACACCGTGAACACTCTCCTCCTCTCCAGGTCATTACTGAGACCGTTACTGTACAGCAGGTCAGGGCTCCACACCATCACACAGCTCTCTACCTTTAACACTCACTTCATCTCAGCACACCTTCCATCTGTTGATGAAGGAACTGAGCTTAACACCGACCCCTGCTCCTCGCCGCTCAGCCTGACTCCCCGCTGACACACAACCCTCCCGTCCCCGTTCCGTGCTTCACTCAGGCTGCGGCTCTCAGTGTCGGACAAAGCGATGACCTGAACCTGAGCCTAATTGGTTCCAAGTTCTTCTCTCCTTTGAGCTGAAATTCCATATGCATCACGTGCAGTAACATTCAAAATGTCAGCTTCCTCCATTAATATTCTCACAGAACACCATCCCATGTGTATATGGTTCCTCCAGACCTGATAGCAAGGTGCCCGTTTCACATGAAGACAGCGTTAAAGCAACACTATATCTGCTGTAACAGGAGTCCTGTAGCTCAGTGGTTAGAGCACTCACTTCGCAAGCGAGAGGACCTGGATTTGATTGCCGGGCAGAGCGAACGTTGGACAAGTTTCCCTACTCCGCACTCCTCTGTTTACATAGCAGTAAGTAGGAACCCGCTTATTAGTCGATTGATGGATTGCTTTCTGGGAGTAATAATCCCTTCATAATAAATTTAAAGAAATAATAATTTGGTCACTCAATCCACGGCTGTTTGTGGGACGCTGCTGTGCACAATTGGCTGCCGCGTTTCACCCACAAAATTAAGTCAATTCACTTTATAGTATATTCTGTGAAGCGCTTTGAGACGTCTCAAAGACACGATAATGTGCAATATCAAATGAAGGATTATTATTATTTTATGGTTCTGCCAGGCCTGACAGCAAAATGCCTGGTCCACATGAAGAGATGCTAAAGCCAGCGCTGTATCTGCTGTTACACACCCAATGTCGACACGTCAGCAGGATGTCCTTGAAAACACCAGCGATCCGCTCTGTCTGAGCCACACTGAGCAGAGAGCTGCCAGCTCCACAGACACCGAGGGAGAACACCTGCTCCACCAGGCATCCCAGCAACACCCCGACCTCCTACAGGAACACACACAAGCTTAACAACATAAGAATTTGCTAGGTACGAAGACCAAGCTCCATCCAGTTTGCCTTCCACCATCCTGGTAGTTGCTTGACATGTCGTGTCCCAAACTTTATTCTGTATCCCCAGATATTATTTTCTATCAGAAATCTACCTAATTTGTTCTTGAAACAAATGATATTTTCTGCTGGAAGCCGATTCGATAACAACTTTTAAGAGAAGCAGATAATTATTTGGAGGACAACTTTGCAGGGCTATGGAGAGAGACCGGGGGAGTGGGGTTGATCAGGGCTATGGGGAGAGAGTGGGGGAGTGGGGTTGATCAGGGCTATGGGGAGAGGGCGGGGGAGTGGGGTTGATCAGGGCTATGGGAAGAGAGCGGGGAGTGGGGTTGATCAGGGCTATGGGGAGAGGGCGGGGGAGTGGGGTTGATCAGGGCTATGGGGAGAGAGTGGGGTTGATCAGGGCTATGGGGAGAGCGCGGTGGAGTGGAATTGATTTGGAAACTCTTTTCAAAGAGCCAACAGACACGATGGGCTGAATGGCCTCCTTCTGTGCAATTCTATGATTATCTATTCCCTTCAGAATCTTAAAGACCGTAATATACACAATCGCCCCTCAACTTTCTCAAAGCACTTCACAGAGTACACTGTAGTGTAGTGACTGTGTCTTTTGTGCACTACTGTGTCCCACAGTCATGGACTGAGTCACCAAATTATTATTATTTTTTGGATGGTTTATTACCCCGTAAAAGCGATTGACCAATTGACTAACAAGCAAACAGTGTAGTGACTGTTCTTATAGGCAAATATGGCAGCCAGCAAGGTCCTCCACACAGGCATGAGGTAAATGGTCAATTATACAGGAAGATGATCGGCCGGCAAAATTGGAGAAATTCCTTCTTGTCTGTATAGATGGGATCCTTTAACATCCACCTGAGGAGCAAACTGAAGGGATCACTTTAATGTTTGTAATAGAATCACAGAATAGAAGGAGGCCATTCAGCCCATCATGCCTGTGCCAGCTCTTTGTAAGAGCCACCCAATCAGTCCCACTCCCCCGTTCTTTCCCCATATCCTTGCAAGTTTTTCCTCAAGTACCTGTCCAATTCCCTTTTGAAAGTTGTTATTGAATCTATTTGCACCAGCCTTTCAGCCATGAATTTATTGAGAATTAAACTGTTTAAATAAATCGATCTGCCCGACGAGTGCTCCTTCCCTCCCCTCCCCACACAGGTTGTTACCTTCAGGGAGACCCAGCAGCAGGTCAGGATCAACCCGTGGGCCTCAGACAGCAGCACCGACTCCTCCTCCACCCCCCTCCCCTCGGAGATCACTGCTCTGATGGCATTCCCCATGTCTGCAAGCGATGGAGCCGTAACTGCAAACACAGCACCAGCTCACTGATTCATTGGTCAATTTTATCCTCAGGTTACTCCTGTTGGTGGGGGGCGGGTGGGGGGAGAGAGCCTCTCACATGGTTGGTGGTGTGGTCTTCATACTGAGCTCAGTGTGTGACATGATGAGAGCACAGCCACTATCAATTGATTACTGGAACCCGAGATTTACGTCTGTTCACATCTGCATTTAAACCACTTAGGTTTGCTCAGACATCGCCCAGAGAGTGAGAGAGAGAGCCTTTCCCTCCCCTCCTCACCTTATAGGCTCGCAAATCACCAAATAAACTCAAGAGGATAATCCCCACCCCAGTGCCTTGGGACATCTTCCTGACGTGAAAGGCGCTACACAAATGTAATTTTCTTGTGGTTACGGTGGCAACCAGCAAGTCGCTGTTATTCTGTGGGTTAATGGAGAGCAATTCCATGGTTTGAGGACCGACTTTCCAGTAAGCAGCGTGTGTATGTGTGGAGGGACTCTCTCATAGGAACAGGACTAGGCCATTCAGCCCCTTGAGCCTGTTCCACCATTCTATTAGATCATGGCTGATCTGTACCTCAACTCCAATTACCCTCACTTGCCCCGTATCCCTTAATACCCTGACCTAACAAATAGCTATCCATTTCAGTCTTGGGCGGGCGGTGGGGGGTTGGGCTCAGTGCTGTGGGGTCTTGAAGCGGGAGGTGCTATACTGCAAACTCCATGCAGGGTATCTTTCAGAGTGCGTAACAATGGCGGAGCCTAACTCTGAGCCGGAAGGGGAGGAGTTGGTCGGAGAGGAAGGTTTTCAGGCGGAACTTGAAAAGGGGAAGAGACGGGGCAAGGCAGAGGGATTGAGGGAGACCGTTTATGACAGTGTATAAGACAGTGCTGGTTCTCACGTTGCTGATGTGGGCCTGAGTCTTGGTCTCCGTTCAGGACCCCGAGGAGGAAGTGGCTGAGGCTGTTGAGTGTACTAAACAGCTTCTCCAGGACCGCCCGCCAGCCCCCGGCCAGGGTCTCCTCCCCCAGGCAGCACAGGGTCTCTGGCACCTCAGTCAGGCACCTCCTCAATGACATGATCAAACCTGGAGACACAGTTTATCAGAGTGACTGTTCAATAACAACAAACTACATTTACACACTGCCTTTCACGTCAGGAGAATGTCCCAAGGTGCTGGACAGTCAGGGATCCAAGTACCTGAGTACCTGAGCTGGTGGTTGAGATCAGGAGGGGTGGAGGGTATAGGGGTAGGAAGATGATTGAAGGCACTGTCGAAGAGGACCACCCTGAAGGAGACAAGGGAGGGAGCAAGGCAGAGGGACTGTGGGATGGAGTTCCACAGAATGAAGAGGCTGAAGGCCTGCTTGCCAATGGTGGGGCAGGCGAGGCAAGGGATGTGAAGCAGGCTGGAGCCCGCTGAGCGGAGGGAGCGGGTAGGTTGGTAGGGGAAGGAGTGAGGCCATGGAGGGCTTTGAAGGTGAGGACCAGGATCTTGAACTGTATCCTGTGAGTGATGGGGAGCCAGTGGAGTTGGGCGAGGATGAGGGTGATAGGGTCGCAGAGCCTGGTGCAGGGGAGGACACGGGCTGCAGAGTTCTGGATGATCTGCAGCCTGTGCAGGGAGGAGTTGGGGAGGCCGACAAGCAGGAGTCTGCGTAATCCAGCCTGAAATTAATACAGACATGCAGGAAATAAAAAATAAAATGTCTGCCTGAGCCTAACGACACATACTTACTCAGTGACTTTCACATAGAAGGTACAGGATGACCAAAAAGTTGTGATATCATTACAATGTCTAATACATCTTAAAGAAATGCTATACATATTTGTTTTAGATAATAGGTAGATATCACAACTTTTGGGGTCACCCTGTTCCCAGAGCTCCATTGTGAGCTCTCTCACGGGTTTGGTGCTTGTAGCTGCCTGTATCAGGTTGGTGGGTCATTGCTCCTCCAGGTATCTAAAGACCAGACACCCAACATTTCACCGAGCTTTAGCCGAGATGAAGAGCATTTATGACACAGAGATAGCCGCTTTCTGTGCTAAATAATTCTATGTTCATCACAACGAATTCTGAAAAAATTCTTATGTTCGATCTTAACTGGTTTGTTTGCGTGGCTAGAGCAAAATATCTCGGGGGATGTGGGGTGGCTGCAGCAATGGTCAGCGATGAACATACTGTGACCCCGTTAGACGGTGGCCCTGTTGTAAGCCCCACCAGTGTCTCACCGTGCATGGGGTTGGTGCTCGCAGCCCGGAGCAGGTCTGCCCGAGCCACACTGTATTGCTTCTCCAACAGCTGATGCAGGAAGGACACAAAAGTCAAATGCCTTGACGATAGCCCCGCACGGGCATTCCCTTCAGCCTCCCCGCAGGGCCCCGCCTCCCTGCAGGGCTCCGCCTCCCCGCAGGGCCCGCCTCCCCGCAGGGCCCCGCCTCCCCGCAGGGCCCCGCCTCCCCGCAGGGCCCCGCCTCCCCGCACTGTCCGGCTGCCAAGCACTGAAGGGTGGAGTCTACATCTTTTAATCTGGATAAAAGAGGCAAACAAAGAGAAGATAGTGAGGAACTCTGATGCCCCAAATTTCCCCTCATTGTAACATAGAAACGTGCAACATTCTGTAGCAGCAACTTGCATTTATATAGCGCCCCTTCATGCAGGGTAGTGTCCTCGAACGTTTGAACTTAAAATCTTTAATTCAGTTTTAATTTGGAATCGGCTCTTTTAAAGAACTATTTAAGCGGAAAAATAACTTTTTCCAGATTTTACACAATCCTGAATTGCAGTGGTATTACTGGCCAAGACCAGGCAGAATTCCAGGCAAGTGCCCTGATGACACACAGTGTTTGTGGTAAACTGCTATCATGCACATTTTTGTTGCTTAACTTACCACTTGTCCCCAAGCAGATGTAACTCATCTCATTTCCATGACCATGGGTCAAAAACACTTTTTAAACAGGCTGCTCCACGTCCCCCGACCCACCCGCCCCACCATTGGTGGGAGAGCCTTCAGCCACTCTGCCTCCAACCTCTGGAATTCCATTCCCCAATCACTCCGCCTCACCCCCTCCTCAGCCTCCTTCAAGTCCCACCTCAAGACCCTTCTCTTCGACTGTAGCTCAGTGGTTAGAGCACTCGCTTTTCAAGTGAGAAACCTGAGTTCAATTCCAGGCAGGGAAATCTTGGGCAAGTTTCCTTACTCCACACAGAGCCTAATAATAATCCCTCCAAAAAATAATAATAAGTTGGTCATTTTTAATCAACAATTGTTTGTGGGACGCTGCTGTGCACAATTGGCTGCTGCATTTCACCCACAAATATACAGTCAATTCACTTTACAGTCTATTCTGTGAAGCGCTTTGAGACATCGAGAAGATGTGAAAAGTGCTATATCAAATGCAAGAATTATTATTATTATTATACTATCTCTGACAAATCATTCCATATTCTAGTCATCGTCTTGGGGGAACATATTCTTCCTAACTTCTCTTTTCATACTCCTAGTTATAACGAGTGCCAATAAAATATTGCGTAATTATTTGCCAAAATTTGCAGAGAAATTTTATAAGTTGCAGAGGGTTGATTGGTGCTATTGAGATATACATTTTGCTGCTAACTTATATTTTTTCCCCTTTAGTGATAAAACTAAACATGAAGAAATAACACATCATAGATTAGCGGAAAATTCTTTAACAAAAACAGAACACCTGTCAAAAGGTGCAAAAGTGTAGTTTCAACACTTTGCAGAGAAACCAAAATATTCAAAATCTAATTTTCACAGAAATAAATAAAGTCTCATTTTAACATAATTATATTTTAACATAAGAAGAATCTTCCATTGTCTTGTGTCAGGCTTCATCTGTTGTCTTTCAATAGACAGGAAATAACCTTCCTACATCAGCAATGCTCACAGGAGGAGGCCACTCTTTGAAAGAGCTTCCCAATCAGTCCCACTCCTCCATTGTTTGCCCATATCTTTGCAAATTTTTCCTTTTCAACTACCTATCCAATTCTCTTTTGAAAGCTTTTATTAATTCTCCTCATCTCCCCTCTGGTTGTTTTGCCAATTATCTTGAATCTACCAACTCAACTGCCAGTGGAAACAATTTCTCCCTATCTACTCTATCGAATCCCCTCGTAATTTTGAATATCTGAGTCTCCCCTTAACCTTCTCTGCTCCAAGGAGAACAATCCCAGCTTCTCTAGTTTCTCCACATAACTCCAGTCCCTCATTCCTGGTAAATCTCATCCTGTAGCTCGTGCTTGCTTTACCGACTGAGAGCTGCTCAGTGCCTTACTTACCTCTGCAGAGCTACTGTCACCATCAAAGCTCCGGCCTCGGTCACTTGGACCCTTGGGCAACTCGCCATCTTCAGAGCTCGTTGCAACAGTGCTGTGCCCAGCGGCTCCGGAAGGCTCTTTGGGAAATATCTAACCAGCAGCTCGGCAGCGAGCTCCCTGATCTGCAGGAGGAGAAGCTGGTGAGAGTGTGGATGCTCACGTTTTGCCAACAAAATACACAGTCATTGCACTTTGCAGTATATTCTGTGAAGCGCTTTGAGACGTCTCGAAGATGTGATCGGGCGCTATATCAAATGCAAGGATTATTATTATGATGAGCACAAGGGTTTAGGAATGAGAGGCCACAAGGCAGGGAGCCTACTTACACTGGTAAATGTACAGCAGCATCAAAGGTACTGGCTGGTGTGAGTTGAGACACACACAGACATCCAAGTGTCCATCTCTCATAAACATTGCAAAGTTTTTGTTCTTTGCAGGGAGGGTTATTAGAAAGTGGGATGCCTGACCAAACCAAACCTGTAGCCATAATAGTATAATAGCTTTTAAAAAATATTTTTTTTTCAAAATTGAAAAATAAAACTACAAAAGATTATAGTTTTCATTTCTCCTCCTTCCAGTAGAGGTGCGATTGATATCACTAGCAGAGCCACTGCTGTTGTGTGTTACTCCGTAGCTCAAGAGTTGAGAGCAGCTAACAAACCCAGGAGATAATCCCAGGACACATCAACATCAACTCACATTTATATAGTCCCCTTCACGTGGGGTAACGTCCCGGAGCGCTTGACAGTGGCAGAATCTGACCCCGAGCCAGGGGGAGAGGGAGGAGGGAGGTGACCATTAGCACGATCAAAAAGGAAGGTCTTTAGGTGGGATTTGTGCCATCTGCGCTGTGACTCGCTTGGCCTTCCCCCAACTTCGCAACATAGAATCATAGAATCGTACAGCACAAAAAGAGGCTATTCGGTCCATTGAGTCTGTGCGGCTCTTTGAATAGAGCAATTAATGTCAATCCCACTCCCAGCCCTCTCCCCATAACCTGCAAACCCGTCCTCCTCAAATACTCGTCCACCGGGTTTGTAAAAGTTGTTATTGAATCGGCCTAACATCGCCCGGCTCCGCCACTGTTTCACACCGCAGACCACCGAAACCCTCATACACACTTTCATTACATCCAGGCCTGACTATGCAAACTCATTGCTTGTCGGCCCCCAACTCCTCCCTCCACAGGCTGCAGATCACCCAGAACTCTTCAGCCCGTGTCCTCTCCCACACCAGGCTCTGTGACCCTATCACCATCATCCTCGCCCGACTCCACTGGCTTCCCATCACACAGAGGATACAGTTCAAGATCCTGGTCCTCACCTTGAAAGCCCTCTACGGTCTTGCTCCCCCCGAACTCTGCAACCTCCTAACCTCCTATCAACCTGCTCGTTCCCTCCTCTCAATGGGTGCCGGACTGCTTCACGTCCGCCGCTTCTCTCGCCCCAGTATTGGTGTGCCGGCCTTCTGCCACTCTGCCGCCATCTTCTGGAACTCCATCCCACAGTCTCTCCATCTCACCCTCTCCCTCGCCTCCTTCAAGACCCATCTCAAGACTCTCCTCTTTGACTGTGCTTTTGATCTCCCCGTTTCCCCTCGACCCTCCCCCACCACGACCCCCAGCTCGGGTCCGAAATTCTGTCTGTCCAGCGCCTTGGGATGTCCTCCCGATGTGAAAGGTGCTTTACAAATGTAATTTTGTTGTTATTGTTGTTGATTTGAAGGTGGGGAGGGAGGGGGCAAGGCGGAGTGATTGAGGGAGAGAGTTCCAGAGTTTTGGCGCGTAGTCGCTGAAGGCACGGCCACTGATGGTGGAGCGGAGGGCACGAGGGACAAATAGGAGACCGGACGAACATTTACCTCATTAGTTCCGTCCACCAAGCAGTTCAGCAGCACCAGGAGGGTGGACTTGGAGAAGAAATCCCAGGAGCCTTGCTGTCTCGCCCAGGTAACCAATTCACTCGTGTGTTCTGTTACATCAGAAAAAGCACATCTTACAGTTGAACCCAAAACAAAAGGTAAAATACTGCAGAGGCTGGAAATCTGAAATAAAAAACAGAAGTGGCTGGGAACACTCTGCAGGTCAGGCAGCAGCTACGGAGAGAGGAAAGTGAGTTAACTTTTGGTCATCGACCTAAGACGTTAACTCACTTTCCTCTCTCCATAGATGCTGCCTGACCTGTTCTCAGCGCCTTCGGTTTTTATTTGAGAGATGAACCCACTTGTTTAACTAGTATTCCATGTTCACTCTCACTGAATATCAATTACTTATAGCCATAACAAATACAATTGTACAAATGACTGCAGGACACTTCACAGCTGAACATGGGCTCACCATACACTGGGTGGTGATCCACAGCACAGCAACCTACAATACCTACAATGACTAAGTGGTCACTTTTCTTGTGGTCAGACCAGATTCTGAAAGCAGGTGAAGCTCTTCCACTTGCAGGGAGGGTGTGGGGGAGAAAGCTAAGTCTGCTTGTAGCTGAGATGGCTCAGGTGAAATGTTAGGCAACGGAATTACGAACTTGAACCAATCCTCTGTCTAAACATTCTGAGACACTACCCTGAATGCTATATTTATGAGAGTCATTGTTGATCTCAGGGTTCTGGTAGATCACTTTTCCAAGGGTAATAATCCCTTCAAAAAAAATAACAATTTGGTAACTAAATCCACAACATGTTTGTGGGACACTGCTGGGTGCAATTGGCTGCTCGTTTCACCCATAAAATACAGTCAATTCACTTTATAGTATATTCTATTTGATATAGTGCCTTATCAAGTCTTCAAGATGTCTCAAAGTGCTTCACAAAATTTCCTTTAAAGTGAATGGCTGTATATTTTGTGGGCGAAACACGGGGACCAATTGCGCACACAGAGGCGCTATATCAAATACAAGGATTATTATTATTACATTCCCAATAGTACTCACCAGGTGGCTGCCCCTTTCTCCTCTCCGGTGACCAGCTGTCTGTACAAGTCTCTAACAAGGTTGACAGCAGAAGCAGGGCTGTCCTCTTCCGCTGGTAATTCAGGCCTGGGAGGAGTGAGGTGACGCTCAGCTCCAACAACCACTGAATAAAATCTGGACAGGACAAGAGCACGTGAGCAGAGAGCAGACTACGACTCCTAGCCTTGCCCCTGAGTATAAGGTGAAAGGCACAACAAACTGGAACTCATCAGCCTCTAACCTCTCACACTTTAACAGATATTAAAATCAGAGAAACAAATCCGTTCAGACTAGCACGACAACTGGTCTCAGCACGGGAGAGGGGGGAATCAGACAGGGTTCCCACCACTGAACACCTGGTGGAGAGTAAAAAATAAAGGCAAAATACTACAGACGCTGGAAATCCGAAATAAAAATAGAATTTGCTGGTAATACACAGCAAGTCAGGCAACATCTATGGAGAGGAAAGTGACCAAAGGTCATCGACCTGAAACGTTAACTCACTTTCCTCTCCCCATAGATGCTGCCTGACCTTCTAAGTGTTCCCAGAGACTTCTGTTTTTATTCCTGGTGGAGAGTGTTTCGTTTGGATGTTAAGAAATGACAGGATTGGGTTCAGCTGTGATCCTCCTGTATGGTAAGCAGGCCTGCGATCACCTACTCGCCTAACAGAGGTTCATGTCCGAATGTTAAAACCACCACTGGGCAAATCAGACCACACCAGGACATCAGGGAACATAACCAACATATTCCAAATGAGCTGGTTTGGTTAAAGTAAAAGTGAGCCACTGACAGACTATTTTCTCTTAGCTCATTGGTTGCAGCCAAGAACATGTCACTTCAACCCCAATATACTGAGTAGCTTCATCAATGTAGATTAGGGAGGGGGATGGGGTGCCAGACCTGGTGAGTTGACTATAGAATAGTATTGGTGTTGTTCAGGAACAGACTAGAAGATTAAACCCTCCCATTTGAGGAGGAAAGATCTTTGTTGGAAATGAGGACAATTTATTTGATTACAACTACACAGTCACTACACTAGATTGCATTCCCTGTGAAATGCTTGGAGATGGTTCAACATTGCAGGTGCTTTATCAAATGCAAGGAATATTACAATTGATGCTGAACGATACAATTCAACTTACCGACCCCTTGAGAAAGAATGGATTGTGCTTCAGTCACAGCTTCAGTTCCCCTCCTCTTGCTCCAACTGCTTTTCCCCTGCGAGCGGAGGCAGAGCAGGCAACTGTCTCGGATCCTCATCAGAGCCTTCTTAATGTTGGTCTGGAGCAGTTGGCGGAAAGACGAGGAATCACAGTTCAGGTTGAGGGGCAGGAATTCCCGCAGCAGGTTCAGCTCAGTCTCACTCATTGCCTGGTTGGTTTTGGGGCTGGAGCATAGAACACCCAGAGCGTCGAGGCGGACATTCTCCTCCAGGCAGTGGAGCGAGCCCCTAATCTTGCTCAGGGTCGCCTGATCCAGACACAGGAAGCCGGATGTCAGGCGCTGGGTGCTCAGCAGGGTGGTCCAGGCCCTCTGGTGCCCGTAGTCTCCACTGTCAAGTGCTCCAGACAATACATCAAAACAACATGGGAAGATCCTCAGCGTCCACACTAAAAGGTAGTTGGCTGCGTTCTGCTGAATTAGCGAGACTTCAGAGGTTAAGGCCTCCGTCAGCGTGACTAGCCAGCACTGGGCACAAAGCTCAGCCAGTTCTAGTTCGGTGAGGTCTCTGTGCTTTAACGTCCATTCCCGTCGCTGCTCCTGAAGTATGGTTTTGTAAAGCTCGGTGGCTGCCGGAGAGAGGTTGTTGGTTGAGAGGCACTTCAACAGATGTTTAGGCAACTCCTCATAACTGTCCAAAACCTGCGGCAAAACCTCAGTTAGAAAAAAAAACATCATTAACTAAATCTTTCATCTCACACGTCCAAAGTCAGACACATATCTGTACCTTTTTGGCTCCGATGAAGGAGACCAGGGAAGAGAGTAGGAGGTATTTTGCCTTCGCCTGCCACGGGAGTGCTCTGACCCTCTGCAGTAACGTGGAGTAAAGAGGCCGCTCGGGATGCTGGAAGTGGACGCACTCCATTCTGTAAATCTCCAACAAGAGGCGGAATGAGCAGTGAACAAACTCCAGCACACCCTCTACCTGCCGGGATCACACACCGCACAGAGAGTTAGAGGCAGGAAATTAATGAGTGACAACATTTACTGAACACGCTAACACACAAGAGCTACTAATGTACTGAACGACAAACTGTCTGTCAAAGCTGAGTGTTTAACTCACAAGCTCAGAGGAAGTACTCTTTATTCTGAGCTGCAGTGAACAGAATTTGAAGTTGAATTAAGCACCCATTCTTACAGCAGGTTGGCAATGCAGAGAAACGGTTCTAGAATAACAACTCAAATGCAATGATTATTATTATTTACCATACAGTGAACTGCAGATCCCAAAAACCAGCAATGTCCAAAAGGGCCTGTGAGTGACCACGTCACCTGCAGATGAAAGGTCAACACTGGCTAGCGGCTGCTGATCTCCTTTTACAGTGTTTCCCCCCCAGCCAGACAGACACAACAAGGGTAAACGTACCGGGCTCTCCACATTGTCCCATAGCAGCTGGATCAGGTTTGCTTGGATGGCAGAACAATCGGCCATTAATCTCCGATCAGTCAGCTTCCAGATCTCTTCCAAATTCTCTTTCACACACTTTAACCAGAGAGACAGAACTGAAAATGAACACAAGCAAGATGCCATTAGTCTTCACATCTCACTGTCCGCAGTAACATAAAAACATTCAACTGATGTCAGGCAGGCCCAGTTGGCAGGACTCTTGCTGAATACCTCACCAGGTAGTGCAAGTCACAGAAACATGGTGGGGGGCATTCTTTAATTTTATTGTTCTGGTCATATTTGTGTAATTGCATAAAACAGAGCACACCTGTCATCTTAGAGCTACAACATAAGTGGAGAGGTTACCTTCCAGCATGCAGCAAACAGTGGTGTTCTTTTCTTCACAAGAGATATTTGCGAAAAGCACATCAAGCAAAACACAGCCCTGAAATTAACAAAAAAACACCTCACTGACAAAATGACTCCTGTAAAATACACTGTCACTACACCTTACAATACAGTAAACTCCGGATAACTTGTCACCACAAGGGAAAAGGGCTCAGCCATGAGTTATCCTGAGTGGTGAGATAGGCATAGGTGCTCCCAGGCCACAAGGGGGCAATGTGACCTTTGCAGGCACTGGGCAGAGGTTGGGTGTGGATGCTGACTCGCAGAGGCATCTGGTCTATTGGAGGCCCTCCTGCCTTATCTTGTTACAGACTTCCAATAGACCAGAGGCTTCTGCGATTCATCTGAGCAAGCGCCAATCTCTAGCGAGTACCTGCAACAGACACAGGACAGGAGGGTTGTGGTGGGATGCCATGTTGTAGGGAGAGTTATCCCATCAATTTACATTGTAAACAATGGCAAGAATTTCTACGATTAATTAATACAATGAATACGAGGGATACCAGCAAAAAGTAATGCCTCCTATTCATTTTTGTGAAGAATAAATAGTAAGTGGTACAGTAATTCAAAAGATATATAAGATACTTTTATATATCCCGCCCGTGTTGTGAAAGTTTTGTTTACTTTGAACTAGATGGAGGCACCTGAGGGATCTCGCGCTGGCAACAGTTGAGAATATCCAGAAAGTTGATGAACTGATCCGCAAAGATCGAGGCGTCACTCAGCGTGTGAGAGTGAGTCACGGTGTCGGACATCCTGCCATTGAGATAGTTATTGGTAACCACAGTTACTCTACAGCTGCTGCTCAGTGAGTTCCACGAATGTTAACCGTGTTTCACAAGGAAACCAGAAAGACCATTTGCACACCATTTTACCGTAACGATATACTGGCACTGGCTCCACATTGGCCAAGTGTGTAGGTAGTGTTGGTGGTTTTGTGGAAAAAAATAACAGCACTGGGGTATTTAAAAAAAAGCTTACTTTGTGTCTGTGTTTTAATTTCGTAAGTTAACAAATAAAATAGAAAGGAGGCATAACTTTTGATGTGTCCCTCGTAGAAATGCCAGGACAGACGCTACAGTTTACAAGCCAGGAGCTTGCTCGTGCCGCCTTTGCTGGCCTCAGCCAGGGTTACATGGGAGACTAACTTTGCTCTGGCCTTCCCAAGGTTAGGAACGGTAAAAACAGCCAGGGTTCCTGCTCCTTCTCTTTCTACAGTCCCCCCTACAGTTTGTGTGCATGTGGCAGCCGGGTGAGGGTGGGTCAGCTATCGGTGAAGTTCCAAACCCTACTATTTGTCAGACTCCGCCACTGTTAAGCGCTCCGGGACCCTATCCTGCACGAAGGGCGCTATATAAATGCAAGTTGTTGTTGTATTTAAACAATTTCGCCACCAGCTTCTTATCACCCACAAAATATACAGTCAATTCACTTTACAGTGTATCCTGTGAAGAGTTTTGAGACAGCCCAACGACGTGATAAGGCGCTATATCAAACGCAAGAATTATTATTTTTTATTATTATTACTGTCTTACCCCATTCTTACATGCTGCTAGCCGACACACCAGGATCTCCTTCCTAAGGCAGGTAACAAGGCCTCGACTCAGCACCAGTCTCTCTGCATCATCAGTCTTCAGCACCGGCAGTGACACCTTCAGCTCCCCCAAGACAAATTCTTGCTCCTCTACAATACAGACAACACAGGCATCTTACACACATTCCCCATCACACCAGTCCTTGCCAGGCTCCACCGCCTGGCACCGGCCTCCTGTTTGTCCCTCATCCCCTCCGCTCCACCTTTGGTAGCCGTGCCTTCAGCCACTACGCCCCGAAACTCTAGAACTCTCTCCCTCAATCTGGCTGCCTTGCCCCCTACCTCCCTCCCCACTTTCAAATCATGCCTAAAGACCTTCCTTTTTGATCATGCTTATGGTCACCTCCCCACTCCGTCTCGCCTTGGCTCGTTGTCAGACTCCAACACTGTTAAGAGTGCTATATAAATGCATTGATGTGGTTGTGGCAAAACACAGGTCATTTTTATTTTTCTTGACAGCTTTTTCTGGATGGACTTTCTGATGAGCTTCTATCCTTTATTGTAATTGAGGTTAAATGATAAAAAAAAGATGACCAGGATAGGTGACCTCTTCCCATGTAATAATTCCCAGTAATTATAACTGGAATAAACCTTGAAATTGTGCCTGGTTAACTATGTTCTGTTTGTTTGACAATAATAATAACGATACTTGCATTTGATATAGCACCTTATCACGTTGTGAGAGGCAAGAGAAGGAGCATTGATGTATTTAAGGAAATATAAAAATTACAAATCATAGAATATTACAGCACAGAAGGAAGCCATTCGGCCCATCGTGCCTGGGTTGGCTCTTTGGAAGAGCCACCCAATCAAACCCACTCCCCTCCTCTTTCCCCATATCCTTGCAAATGCTTCCTATCCAATTCCCTTTGGAAAGTTGTTATTGAATCTGTTTCCACCCTTTCAGGCCGTGCATTCCAGACCGTAACAACTCTCTGTGTAAAAAAAATTCTCCTCGTCTACCCTCTGATTCGTTTGCCAATTATCTTGAATCTATGTCCCCTGGTTGCCAACCCACCTGCCAGAGGAAACAGTTTCTCCTTATTTACTCTATCAAAACCGCTCATAATTTTGAACACCTCTATTAAACCTCCCCTTAACCTACTCTGCTCTAAGGAAAACAACGCCAGCTTCTCCAGTCTCTCCACATATAAAGTCCCTATAAAATAAAAAATAAACCATTTTGTACTGAAACTAAAAGTTAGAAATGCCTGACCGACCTTTATACCCCAGGTGTAGCAGTGAGTGGGCTGTTGCTGCTCCCCTCTCTGGGTCAGAGACTGTGTTAATCAGCATCACTAGAGCTGTGCCGGCCAGCAGCCTGCAGTCTCTGCTCAATATCTGAAGCAAACAGAAATATCACTTGTTAGATTATTCCCTGCTCCCAAACCTACATCCCCAAGAGTTAGGTCTCTCATTCTCCCCTAAAAATGGTCTCAGCCACTATATTCCCACAGACAAAAAGTCTGGAAGGTTAAAGGGTGAGAGATTATTGAAAGACCATTGTTTCACTGGCTTTCGCCGAACTGAGCAATTTCAAGACCCTCACACTCGTTTTCAAATCCCTTCATGCCTTGGCACCTCCCTACCTCTCTGATCTGCTAACACCCCACAACCCACTATCCGCTGCCTCCGCTCGACTGGCTCCAGCCTCCTGTATGTCCCTTGTGCCCTCCATTCCATCATTGGGGGCCGCGCTTTCAGCCACTACGCCCTGAAACTCTGGAACACTCTTCCTCTATCTTGCTCCTTCCTTCCCCATCTTCAGGTTGCGCCTGAAGACCTTCTTCGACTGTGCCTACAGTCACATCACCCTCCCCCCCGCCCCCCCCCGGCTCGGCGCCATGCTCTGCCACTGTCGAGGGCTCTGGGATGCTACCTGGTGTGAGGGGCACTATTTAAATGCAAGTTGTTGTTACAAAGATGCTTTCTCACTGAGGGTGAACAAGAGTCGTTTGGTTGCTGAAATGCTGTGGAGGGCACTGAGATGTTCCCCGGCGTGAGGGGCAATTTATAAACATTGATGTTGATCACCAAGTGAACCAGAATTGAATGGTTTCTTGACGTTTATAGAACAGGGCAAAATGGGCGATGAAAATGCTTATCTGAGGGACAGAGAGTGTGACAGTGATGGTGAGGTCTCCAGGGATACCCTAGAGAGCTCCCTCATTGTTCCACGGAGAACTTGCTGCTAAAACCACATTTTATATTTTTCTGTTATTTTCATTCCTGTAGCTCAGTGGTTAGAGCACTCGCTTTGCAAGCGAGAGACCTGAGTTCAATTCCAGGCAGAGGGCGAAACCTTGGGCAAGTTTCCTTACTCCACACAGAGCCTAATAATAATAATCCCTCCAAAAACCCAAAACAATAATAAATTGGTCATTTTCAATCTACGACTGTTTGTGGGACATTGCTGTGCGCAATTGGCTGCCGCGTTTGCCCACAAATATACAGTCAATTCACTTTACAGTGTGTTCTGTGAAGCGCTTTGGGACGTCCTCCCGACGTGAAAAGCACTATATCAAATGCAAGGATTATTATTATTATTCCTTTTTGTCTATAATATATCTAATCTACTCGTTATGGTTTTGGCTGCAGGGTTAACAGGAGTGAGTGGGATGACTCCCTGCCCCCTGTGACTGGTCTGACCTTCCAAATCCTCCTGATGAGCCAGGATGGCTGTGCTGTCATCAGCAGTGTCCTGGAATACTGGGGACCCACCTGGCTCAGGAACTGGACCAGAGACCGCCGTAGAAAAGACACTTTGGAAGGAAAGAGGTGACTGAGGACTTTCAATATAGTTGAAACCATAGAAATCTAAGATACAAACTCATGACCCTCCCTTCCCCCCCAATGACCTGCTGGTCAGAGTGAGGAAGAGACCGTCTGACGTGGAGAGAATGAGGGGGCAGTGAGCAGTTTATCCAGTTGATGAACTCTCCCATGGCCATCATATCTTCACCCAAGAGCCAACCATCAAGAATCTACGTTTATTTGGCAGCGAGATACAAATGCAGAGTCAATGGTTCTGACCAGGCAAGTCCCTCAGAGAGACAGGGTTCCAAACCCACCACCAATCCTGACCCTGATATAACTGGGATAAACCAACCTCTGTGAGGCAGGTAATCACGGCAATCACTCACCCTTCCCGCGATGACCCGCAAGAGATTTCCCAGAATCCTCTGCAGGTGCAGTGTTCCCTGTTGACCCCCCCACACCATGGGTTCAATCTCCTCGGGCATATTCCTGAAGATCTGGAGGCACAGCTGTAAGGCAGGGAACAATATAAGCAGCATGTCGCAGTGGATCAAAAATGTCCACTGATAAAGCCATATTCATAATAATCATATTTTTTTGCATTTGATATACAATAATAATCCTTGCATTTGATGTAGCGCCTTATTGTGTCTTCGGGACGTCTCAAAGCGTTTCACAGAATATACTGTAAAGTGATTTGACTGTATACTTTGTGGGCAAAACGCGGCAGCCAATTGACAGCTGTGGATTGAGTGACCAAATTATTACTTTTTTTTAAGATAACTAGTTGAAAGATCAATAATATTCATAGCTATGGGGGAAGCAGACTCTGCAGGGAAGGTCATGGGCCTGACTTAGGTTTATTAATAAAAACAGTGATGGGGTGTCTCACCTTCATGGCCAGGTAGCACCAGTCTTTGTTGTACTGGCTCTCACATTCCACCATGTCACTCAACGTGTCAGCCACTTTGTTTAACAGCAGGTCCAAATTGTCCCTCCAGATCTGCCGGCCAAGGCTGCTCTCATCCACAAAGCCACACACTGCAAAGAGAGTCAATGCACCAGTATTACTATATTTTACTGCACCCTGGCTCTTTGCCCCGCTGTTGCCATCCTCATGGTTAATAATTCAAGATAATTGGCAAATGTGGAGTCCTGTAGCTCAGTGGTTAGAGCACTCACTTTGCAAGTGAGAGACCTGAGTTCAATTCCAGGCAGAGGGCGAAACCTTGGGCAAGTTTCCTTACTCCACACAGAGCCTAATAATAATCCCTCCAAAAAACCAAAAACAATAATTAAATTGGTCATTTTCAATCTACGACTGTTTGTGGGACATTGCTGTGCGCAATTGGCTGCCGCGTTCGCCCACAAATATACAGTCAATTCACTTTACAGTGTGTTCTGTGAAGCGCTTTGGGACGTCCTCCTGACGTGAAAAGTGCGATATCAAATGCAAGGATTATTATTATTATTATTATTAAAAGAACCAGAGGGGAGATGAGATAAGATGAGGAGAATTTTTGTTACACAGAGAGTCGTTACAGTCTGGAATGCACTGCCTGAAAGGTGGTGGAAACAGATTTAATAACAACTTAAAAAATGTAAGTGGACAGGTACTTGAAGAGGTAAAACTTGCAGGGATATGGGGAAAGTGCTGATTGTGTGCTCTTCCAAAGAGCGGCACAGGCACAATGGGCCGAATGCCTCCTTCTGTGCTGTAACATTCTATGATTCTATAAATACACTGGGAGCAAACTGCCACTGAACAGAAGCAGCTGATGGCATCAGGCTCCGGGCAGGAGAGAATGTGACAGGTAATTGAGAGTCACGCACCTATCTGGAGGTCCTTCTGAGACAGGATCTGAAAGATAACGCAAGGGCATGTGATGAGAAGCTCAGTACATATCAACCCATTTCATAGATTTCCAGACACCTGTACAACTGGCCAAAAAACAGGAAGGAGCAGGGACTGTGGAACTGCCTTCGGCAGATGAGCTAGTTATTCTCAATGAGTTAAACAGCCTCCTTGAACTCTATAAATTCTGTGATTCAATATTGAAGTGCAACCATGAAACCAGAGATTTCACAATCTCAGGCTGTGATAGATATCTGTGAGGGTCAGACTCCCAAGTGGTTGTTCTTAATGTGCGAGCGAAACTGTGTCAGTAAGTGTTCAAGACTGTGAGTGTTTGCAACAACTTTACATTTAAAGTACATAGCTCAGTGGTTAGAGCACTCGCCTCGCAAGCGAGAGACTTGGGTTCAATTCCCGGCAGGGCGAAACCTTGGGCAAGTTTCTTTACTCCACACACCTGATAATAAACCCTCAAGAAAAAAACAAGAACAAATCCACGACTGTTTGTGGGACGCTGCTGTACACAATTGGCTGCCGTGTTTCGCCCATAAACATAGTCAATACACTTTACAGTATATTCTGTGAAGTGCTTTGAGACGTCTAGAAGACATGAAAAGCGCTATATCAAATGCAAGGATTATTATTATTATTTAGTGTTGGAGGGTGTCAGGAGGGTGTCCTAAGGTGCTGGACAATCTAAGGTTTGCTGGGGTGGGGCCTGAGGGGACTAGAGAGTAAAGGTGACCAAAGGCATTGTCAAAGACGAAGACGAAGATCTTGACGCAGGCCTGGAAGGAGGCGAGGGAATGGGCAAGTCAAAGGGACTCCAGGATGGTTCCAAAGAGTGGGAACTGATCAGCTGAAATCCCGCCTGCTGATGGTGGGGCTGGGGACGTGAAGCAGGCTAGCGCCTACTAAGCACAGTGAGTAGCTGGGTTTGTAGTGGCTGAGGTAGGGTTGGCCAAGACCATGGAGGAATTTAAATGTTATAGGACAAAGGTTTTGAACTTAATCCGCTGGGGTATGGGGAGGCAAGTGGAGTTGGCCGAGGATGAGGTTGACAAGCTCATGGAACCCAGACGTGTCAGTAGATGTTTAAACTGTGAGTGTTAACATTGTCACACAGCTGAGTCGATCTTATCATGCATCGCTGGCAAAGCACACTGCACTGAGCGTAGACAAGGGATCAAACCTGAGTCCCTCTCTGTCTGGATGGTTCAGGGACAGTGTATTTACCCAGTGAGCCAGTGGAGTGGGTGGACAGGACAGGTGTCCCTGTGCTCCACTTAGACAGTTAATTTGTGATAATCACTAAAGAGCAAAGAGAGTAAATAAGGTTTCAAACCAACAAAAGGGACCCTCCCCCTCCCTTCCATCGCTGAGCAGCAGTGTGTGGCTGCAGGTCTGTAAAAGAATAGTAACACTGTGAACAGCACAACACTAACTCTCTTCGGCTGCACCATTTCAATCAGATTTTTTTGCATCTTCTCCTTTACCAACGAGCCCTTGACCTCTGCGAGCTGCAAAATAATCTGCAAAAAAAGACACTGATCAGCGACTTGTGATGTACTCGATCCTTGTCCTCACTGTTTATAATCTCTCCATGGCCTTGCTCCCGCCCTGTCTCTGTGACCTCCTGCAACTCCACTGCCCAGGCTGCTCCCACTGTACAACAGCCTGTCCCATGTGTCCCGCCCAACCAGCCTCCACCATCAGTGGGTGAGTGATCCTGCCCCCACCCCCGGCCCCTCTCTGAAACGCCATCCCACAATGCCCTCCAACTTACCCTCTCCCTCCCACGTTTAAACAACAACCTGCACTTATAAACCACCCTCCAAGCAGGGTAGTGTCTCAGAGTGCTTAACAGTGGTGGAGGCTGACTCCGAGTCAGGGGGAGTGGCAGAAGGTGACCGTAAGTACGGTCGAAAAGGATTTCAGGCAGAACTTGATAAAGGGGAGAAAGGGCAAGGCGGAGGGATTGAGGGAGAGTGTTCCAGAGTTTTGGAGCACAGTGGCTGAAAGTGGAACTTCCAATGGTGGAACGGAATGTAAAATTGTTGTTGTAAAGTTACAAGAAAGTGGGAATCTTTGCTTGGCCCAGAGGCTTTGGGGCATGAGGCAGACTGGCTCCTTAGTGGAGACAAAAATATGTGAGCTTCTCCCATGACAAAGGGACAGATGAATTACACAATAATCTTTTAGGCTTCATCATCATACCCCCTTCACACACACAAACATACACACATATCCTCTGTACCCAACAACTCCAGTACCTGTTCAAAGCACCGAAAGGTGCTGAGGTGAGTGACGCTCTCTGTGTGAAGAAGGAGCACATAGCAAATCAGAGGAGCTAACTCCTCATCCGTCCTTTCCCACAATTCCTCACGTAATCCCTTCACAAGCTGCAGCGCCTCATCCAAGCTCTTCCCTTTGCATCGCTTCCCAGTATTCCTGGAAACAGATCCCAAAACAAATTACAACACTGAAGTTTGCGAATTACACAAAACACTGAGGGGAAGATGGGAATAATATCTCTGGTTCCAGAAAAGCTTACAAGTGAGTTGTATCAGACAGTTGGCAACAACCACCAATTGGGGCAAAGGCACCACAGCACCTCTGGAGGAACACAGTGATACTACAACAACAACAATAACTTGGATTTATATAGCGCCCTCCATGCCGGACGGCGTCTTAGAGCGCTTGACAGTTTCGGATCCCGGGACCGAGCCAGGGGGAGGGGGAGGAGCCAGGGGGAAGGTGACCGAATGCGCGGTCGAAAAGAAAGGTCTTCAGCAGAGACCTGAAAATGGGAAGGGAGGGAGTGAGACGAAGGGAGTGAGGAAGGCAGTTCCAGAGCCTTGGGGCATAGTGGCTGAAGGCACGGTCGCTGATGGTGGGTGGAGGACTCGGGGGACGAGGAGGAGGCCAGACCCGGAGGAACGAAGGCAACGGGTACTGTTTTGAGGAGAGAGGAGAGGTCGGGGGTGCAGAGGAGTGGAGGGACTTGAATACAAGGGTGAGGATCTTGAAGTCGATCCTCTCTGGGACAGGAGCCAGTGCAGTCTGGCCAGGACTGGGGGGATCGGGGAGCGGAGTTTGGTGCGGGTGAGAATGTGGGCGAAAGAGTTCTGAATGAGTTGGATTTTATGGATGGTAGTGGATGGGAGTACGTTTTTAGGTTTAGTGTAAACTTAAGGTAATGTGTGGTGCAATGATTTTGAAAGCTCCTTAAAATGAGCTCAGAAAAACTCAAGATGGTCTATGCAGCGGCAATAGGTTAGGCCAATAATATCTGATTCTCACCTTTGGGTGTTGGGACCAGTGATGTGATGCACATGTTTTGAATCATTTCAGCACAGGCAAGAATCTCCCCCCATTACAGTCTATGTACCATTTAGGGCACAGGAGGGACAGGAAAATCAACTGAATGTCTCAGTTTAACGTCTGACCCAAAGACCAGCACCTCCGACAATGCAGACCCCCCGCGCCCCACACACAGAGCACTGGAGTGTCTGCCTACATGATGTGAGTTCAATGTCCCCTCGTGGGGCTTGAACCCACAACTTCAAACTTGGGAGGTAGAGCGCCGCCGCCTGACACCTTGATATCGTGATGGTCCTTAACGGGACGTCGCGGAGCTTCCCGCCGCCTGTCTGGCGACCCCCGTTTCTGGCTTTTCCTGGTTCCTTCTCTTAAATAAAGGAGTGACGCTCGTCGAGGGAGTCCTGGAGCTCAGTGGTTACAGCCCTGGCGAGGCCCTGGGTTCGGTCCCCGGGCAGGGCGGGGCGGGGCGGGGGCAAGTCTCCTGACTGCGCGGGGGCGCGTGCGCCTGGTTACCGGGACCTGGCGTTGGGGGAGTTGACGGGTGACGTTTCCGGGGATAACAATATCCCTTCGAAAAGAAATGACGATGCGGTCACTTCGATCCGCGGCAGTTTGTGGGGCGGACGCTGCTGTGGGCCATTGGCTGCCACAAAGCACACAGTCACTACACTTCACAGTGTGTCCTGTGAAGCGCTTTGAGGCGCCTCAATGGCGTGAGGAGGCGCTGTGCTTGTTGTTGTTGTTGTTGCTGTTACCTGCGGACCTCTCGCAGCTGCTGTGTGAGGCGGCTGAGGTGCTGCCCGGGGCCCGGGCCCGGGCCCTCTCTCCCGCTGTGGGTGTGGAGGGGTTCGCGCTGCTCCCGCGCCATCTCCACCTCCAGCAGCAACCGGGCCCCCGAGCAGCGCCACCTGCAGGCGGGAGGGCCTCAGCGCTCGCGCTGCCGCAGCCAATGTTCCCGCCCGATTGGGCGGTTTTTGTTGTTGTTGTTGTTGCTCTCTCTGCATTATAAACAGCAGCAGTGAGGTTACAGGTGTGTGGCGCCTCTCACGTCGGGAGGACGTCCGTTTTCATTTTAGACCCTTTTCATTTCATGAAATGGAAACCATGGCCGATGTCATGGTCGAAGAGGAGGGTTTTGAGGCGGGACTTGAAGGAGGCTGAGGAGGGGGTGAGGCGGAGTGATTGGGGATGGAGTTCCAGAGGTTGGGGGCAGAGTGGCTGAAGGCTCTCCCGCCAATGGTGGGGCGGGTGGGTCGGGGATGTGGAGCAGCCGGAGCGGCTGAGGGGAGGGAGCGGGCGGGTTGGTAGGGGGTTAGGAGGTCACAGAGGTGGGGTGGGGTGAGGCCATTGAGGGCTTTGTAGGTGAGGACCTGAAGGATAGAGAGTCAATGGAGTCGGGCGAGAGTGGGGGAGATGGGGTCACGGAGTTTGGTGCGGGAGAGGACATGGGCTGCAGAGTTAGTTCTGGATTATCTGCAGCTGTGGAGGGAGGAGTTGGCCTCAGTCTCTGTTCACATTCAACTGTAGGAAATTTGCCCTCATCCAGGACTTGATGTCCCACAGGCAGTCTGTCAGGACAGCAGTGGTCCTGGAGTTGAGGGTGGAGGCAGAAAGATAGAGTTGGGTGTCATAAAACGGCTTTAATAATAAATTTACAGAATACTTTTGTAAGTACCGATGGTGTAGTGGATGGAGCTATAATAATAATCCTTTCAAGACATCTCAAAGCACTTCATGGAATAAACTAAAGTGAATTGACTGTATATTTTGTTGGTGAAACGCGGCAGCCAATTGCGCTCAGCAGCGTCTGTCCCACAAACAGTCGTGGATTAAAGTGACCAAATTATTATTTATTTTTGAAGAGATAATTACCCTCTGGAAAAGGATCTGCCAATCAACCAACGACCGGGTTCCTACTAACTGCTGGTAAACAGAGGTGTGTAGAGTAAGGAAACTTGCCCAACGTTTTGCCCTGACCCGGGAATCAAACCCAAGTCCTCTTGCTTGCGAGGCAAGTGCTCTAACCCTTGAGTTACTCGTCTTCTAGCTTAATGTCTGATCCGAAGGACGGCACCTCTAATATTGCACGCCCATTGTCAGTTTAGTCGGTACAGTGGGATATCCAAAATCAGAGTCATTAATAGATAAGAAATGGAAATAATTGATCAATACAATCCTGTCTTGAGATACCATTTTTATACCTGGGGTCTCAGCACAGTAGCCAGGCACTATGAGATATTTAAGACATCTTGAACTATTGTTTACTATTGAACCACTGAGCACTCAGGCAGGACAATTGTATATCTAACGGAGGAGAGGATTATGGCTTCTGCCTTCACAGGGAAGATTATATTCCATTCAATCATAATTACATTTCTCCTACTTCAGCAATGTTTAGTACTTTTAATTAAAAACGTAAAAAATAAATGTTTCCAATATTATAAGTGAAACAACAGAAAAGGTTAATATTGTACAATCTCCATTATTCTGCCAGGCACTTTTATCTCTTAGACGAACCCTTAACACCGAACTGCTATGGACCATGGCAAGTCTGCCCTGCTTTCCCCAGCTCAGTATTTAGTTAACTGTGTTACGTATGTATTAACTTGACTTTGCTTAACACCATTAGGGAGGGATGTGAATGTTTCACCAAAAAGCACTCAGAACTGGTGTTATTTTGTGTCACCGATGGCATATAGATGATGGGCTTTCAGCTATTCTGGCCCCGCTTTCTGGAATTCCATCTCAGGATCCCTCCCTCCCTCCTTTCGTTCAAGGCAAGTTTCTACACATACCACTTTGACTGCGGTTTTGGTCATCTTTCCCCTCCCCTTCTTCGGCTTCTAACCCCAGTTCAGGTGCCAATAAGTATTTGAAAGTACATTGTGATGTCCTCTTGATGTTCAAGCTGCTATATAACTGTAAATTGTATAAGGTACTGTCCAGGCTTTAGAGGCAGTGTAGAGTAAAGGAACGAGGATGATCCACAGTGTCAGAGGAGTGGGCTATGGACAAACAGACAAGCAAGGCTCTTCAGTCCTGAGAGAAAACAACTCAGAGTAGATTGTATAATGGTGTAGAAAATGTAATAATACCTTAGGATGTATCAAGAGAGTAGAACAAGAAGACACAGGCAATGCCAGGACACTGGGAAGTTTTTCTTTGTTTAGAGGGTAATTAATGACTGGAACAGGTTGGCAGGAAATGTGGTTGAGGCACAGACACTGAACTCATTTGAAAAACAGTTCAATGCTGTGATGGTGATTCCCAAATGGTGAAAAATGGGTTTGATTCCCAGCAGGGTGAAACCTTGGGCAAATTTCCTTACTCCACATGCCTAATAATAATCCCTCAAGAAAAAAAATAATAAATTGGTCACTTCAATCCACGTCTGTTTGTGGGACATTGCTGTGTGCAATTGGCTGCTGCGTTTCACCCACAAATATACAGTCAATTCACTTTACAGTCTATTCTGTGAAAAGCATTATATCAAATGCAAGGATTATTATTATTGTGTTCTGGAGGGATGAGATCAGATGGGCTGAAGGGCCTTCTTCATCCAAACTAATCTTGCAATCTTGTGATGTGAGGCAGGATTTGCAGGAATCTATTGGCAACAGGAAAAGGTGGACAAGAACAGTGGGGTCAAGACTAGCAACTGCAAGTAGCAAATAGTGACTTATTCCTGTAATTGGAGTGTGTCATCCTGATCTGTGGGAACTTGGCTCTGGGAGTAGATCACATCAAAGAACCATAGAGTCCTGTGGAGTCCTGTAGCTCAGTGGTTAGAGCACTCGCTTTGCAAGTGAGAGACCTGAGTTCAATTCCAGGCAGAGGGCGAAACCTCGGGCAAGTTTCCTTACTCCACACAGAGCTTAATAATAATCCCTCCAAAACCAAAAACAATAATAAATTGGTCATTTTCAATCTACGACTGTTTGTGGGACATTGCTGTGCGCAATTGGCTGCCGCGTTCGCCCACAAATATACAGTCAATTCACTTTACAGTGTGTTCTGTGAAGCGCTTTGGACGTCCTCCCGACGTGAAAAGCGCTATATCAAATGCAAGGATTATTATTATTATTATAGAAACTTTTGGCACAGAAGGTGGCCATTCAGCCCATCATGTCTATGCTGGCTCTTTTAAGAGCAATAAATGTTGTTTGTTTCAAGAACAAGTAGGATAGATTTCTGCTAGAAAATAATATCTGGGGAAACAGTATATAGTTTGTGACACGACATGTCAAGCGACTGTCAGGATGGTGGAAGGGGAACTAGATGGACCTTAGTCTTCTTTCCCTGAGCAAATTTGTATGTTCAAATGTTCAACGCTTTCAATCCCATTTACCCGCCCTCTCCCCGTACCTGTGTCGCTGACTCCTTTGTAGACATTTATCTGGTTCTGTTTTGAAAAGCAAATACAGATTCTGCCTCAACCATCACCCCCGGCAAGGCATTCCATATCCTAAACTACTCTGTACATGAAACAAATTCTCCTAACCTCCCCATTTGCTTGTTTACTAACTATCTTAAATTGATGCCCCTCTAGTCATTGGCTCACTGTAGAAATAATTTCTCCCTCTTGACTCTATCCAAACCCCTCATAATTTTAAAGACCTTGATCAAGTCACGCCTTAACCATCTTTGTTCCAGCAAAAAAAATCTGCTGATAGACCAAACCACTCATCCCAGTAAAGTTCTGCAACCCTTCTATTGCTTGACATCTTTCCTACAGTGGGGAGAGGTGGGAACCACCAATAATCAGGTTAACAGAAAAAGTGCTTGGAAGTTCCTGGATGAAAAACAAACCTCAGTGTAAGCCTGACTCCACTGATTGGACTACACTGACTCCCTTCAGGAGCGGAAAAATTAGAGGGGGAAATTTACAGGGGAAAAATTGGAGGGTAGAAAATTGCCTCTCCGCAAAAGAAAATTCACTCATAAAGCACTAAAAAAGATGAAATATCTCACCACAATTGTAACAATAGAAACACAAATTCCTCAGCTCTCAGGGAGTTAACAGCTCCCTGATCAAGCAATGTGTTTTGTGTTAGGGTGAGTGGGCTCTTATAATACACGCCATTTCTTTGCTTCAGTAAAGAATGGTAAGATTTCCTACTTAGAGCCTGAAAAAATAAAACTCTATTGTAAAATGAATGGTGAAGCAGATTATCCTTTATAACAGCTTTGAACCTCTACACAAGTGATAAGGGATTTCTTCTTTGAAAAATACTCGTTCTTAAGATCCAATCAGTGTAGTCAGAGTGAATATTAAATCTAGGAGCGGATAGGTATTACAGACAATTGAATGGACTGAAAAGATTTTTTTACTGTTATCTCATTTCATTCCACTTAACTGCCAGCTTTGTGTGATGGGCTTGCTTTAAATCCTGTAATTCTTCGATAAAGAGAGTATTACATTATAGAAAATAAAACCCTGGGAACTGAATAAAAGCAATCTATCACTTCAGTTTTCTTGAGGTTGAAGTCTAATATTTCTTAAAAATAGAATGGAGTCGGGTGTAGGAGGACAATAATTAGATTCCAAACATCTAACATAAATAATTGTTTTTGGAAGGTCTTCACTCAAATCAATGTCCATTGACAAATCACCCATTCTGTCGTTTAATTTATATAAACAAAATACTATTGTACTGAATTGAGGAGTTGGGGAATGATGCAATTTCTATTTAAAAAGAAGTCATTGCAAGTCACAACATTCCACTGACTTCTGAAGAGCCTCTGAGTATTAGTAAAGTATTTTCCTTTTGCAGAACATTTGGACGACTGTCTCAGATATATTGTGTCTTTAGATTTTGCATATTAAATGGTTAATATGTCCTCCTCCACTGCCTTTCCTCCATCATCCACCTCAGTGGGACCGCACTCGCCTGGTTCGAATCCTACTTCTCAAACCACCAGCAATATATCTGCACAAACGGCTTCTCCTCCCGCTCTCACCCGGTCACCTGCTGGTACCCCAAGGATCCATCCTTGGCCTCCTCCTCTTTCTGATCTACATGCTCCCTCTTGGGGATGTCATCCGCAGACATGGGGTAAACTTCCATATGTACTCAGATGACACCCAACTCTATTTTTCCACCTCTCTTTGCGCCCCCCAGTCCCCTGATGTTCTGCCTGTCAGATTTCAGGGGTTGGATGTGCGCAAACTTCCTTCAACTGAACGTTGACAAGACGGAAGCCATATTCTTTGGCTCTCGTCAATGTCTAAAATCTCACGGTTCTCACCTCCTCCACCTACTCGACCTCCCACTAAAACTCTCCGAACCCATACGCAACCTAGGGGTCAGGTTCGACCCCCAATTATCCTTCCTCCCCCACATCCGGTCCTTCACTAGAAATGCTTTCTTCCACCTCCGACACATCGCCCGTCTCCGCCAATACCTCACTCCAACAGCCGCTGAAACCCGGGTCCATGCCTTTGTCACCTCTCAGCTGGACTATTCAAATGCCCTCCTCGCCGGTCTCCCCTCCGCTACCATCCATAAAATCCAGATTATACAAAACTCTGCAGCCTGCTTTCTCACCCGCACCGATCCCCCCAGTCCTGGCCAGACTGCACTGGCTGCCTATCCCAGAGAGGATCGACTTCAAGATCCTCACCCTTGTATTCAAGTCCCTCCACTACTCTGCACCCCCCGACCTTTCTGACCTCCTCTCAAAACAGTGCCCATTGCCTTTGTTCCTCCAGGTCTGGCCTCCTCCTCGTCCCCCGAGTCCTCCACTCCACCCTCGGCGGCCGTGCCTTCAGCCACTATGCCCCGAGGCTCTGGAACTCCCTTCCCCTCCCTCTCTTCCTATTTTCAGGTCTTGGCTGAACACCTTTCTTTTCAACCGCGCCTTTGGTCACCTTCCCCCCCCTCCCCCTGGCTCCTCCCCCCCTGGCTCCTCCCCCTCCCCCTGGCTCCTCCCCCTCCCCTGGCTCCTCCCCCTCCCCCTGGCTCGGCCCCGGAATCTGTTACTGTGAAGCGCTCTGAGACGCCGTCCGGCATGGAGGGCACTATATACATCCAAGTTCTTGTTGTTGTTTAGCACAGGAATGGTGGCTGAAGGTGCATCCTGTGTTTTCCTGTTTTTTTGGTAAATTATTCAATGCAGAAGATCCAAAGGAACAAAAGATGTACAACATATTAGCAAATTGAAGAGGGAATTCGATAACTACATGGTGAAAAAGATTGATGCAAGGTAAGAGATGATATATATTTTTACTTTGGGACCAGTCTGTACCGTTCCTGCATTCCTATATTATAGTGAAAGTATACATTATACCACGTTCACTGTTTTCATAAGTATATGCTACTCATCTTTGAAAAACGTTAGTAAGGCAAACATCCAAGTCAGGAGTCCAACACAAGTGAATGTGAACTGCAAACCAAGCTGACATGTCCAGGCATCCCACCTACACATGGAAATCCCAGAGATAGATTGTTGGAATGGAATGCGCTCTCTCTCCCTGGAGGGACACATCCTGCTCACCCAATTCCATAAAGTATTAGGCACAGGTTGGCAAGAGGCAAAGCTTGGGGACCCCAGAGTGTCTGCTGGAGTCTAACCAGTTAACACCGCATAGCTTGCGGTTGTGAACATTGTCTGGCAAGCCTTCCCACTGCTTATCCAGGACCACCCTACCCATTGGAGCTTGGGTTTGCAGGATACATAGGGGACAACCAACCAGAACTACTGCTACACTGGTTGTGTGCGCAAGAGATAGGTCAGGCTCTACTGTGACATCTGGAGTTGAATGGCCTACCAGCACTCACTGCCAAAGCATAAACAATGACCACTTGGGTGGGTAACAGAGGGCAATTGCACCACAGCAATCATCAGCTGGAAATTGGGTGATTCCCCTTCCCCCTCAGGGATCCTGAGACAAATTCCCCTAATGCTAAAGATTATTTTCTGGGGGTAATAATCCCTTCAAAATTTGTTTTTAAAAATAATAATTTGATCACTCAATCCACAACTGTTTGTGTGGCACTGCTGTGTGCAATTGGCTGTTGCATTTCGCCCACAAAATCTACAGCCAATTTACTTTACAATATATCCTGTGAAGCACTTTGAGACATCTTGAAGACGTGATAAAGCACTGTATCAAATGCAAGGATTATTATTATATTTTATTAATATAATGGTATTTGGCTGCAATTAGTCCATTTACCAATGGATTGAACCTGACCTGCTTGGTCTGGATGTGGGTGTTTCCAATCACAGTCAGTGTGTTTACTGACTGAGCCATCAGGGAAACTGATAACCCTATCTGTTTTAGGGAAGTTGAAATGTTACACGAGAAACCCCATCCTCAAGGGTTAACAGTGTCTCGTCGATTTCAGATTGCTCCCACCCACCTTTCCAATCAGGACTAAAGGAAACAGAGATCATAAGAGTTTTTCATCCAAACTCATTTTGGGACAAATCAGATTTCCTATTGAGCGAATGCTCTGAGGATTAGCAGAATCTCACATCTCCAATCCTGTTCAGTAAACCTGGGGAGATTAGTCTGAATGCCTTATTGTGGAGATTTTCCTGCTTGAGGATTATTTTTTAGGTTGAATTCATGTATGAGGCAATGGATAGGAAATAAAAAAAAGTGCGGTATATGGAGTATAAAATGCCTGGGATTTCAAATTAGGTGCCCAAACACCACAGAGAGCAGCAAATGTTTTTTCTGGGCTTTGGGAATCAATGACTTCCCTGGCGGTACCTGCCCTGGGACTCACCAAGTCCATTCCAAGGAGATCGTTTACTATCGAAAACATTTTATCAACTGTGCCGAAGGAGCAGAGCAGAGAGCTTCCTCTTCCCTTACAGCGGGCTGTGTCCTTTGGATCCCTGCATGTCTCTGAAGGACCACCATTGGAGCAGCTCTTCTCTTACCCACCATCTCTGCCTGCTCCCCTGGTGCTGCAAAGCACTGCCCTGAACACTGCTTCCTGCTGTTGCTGCTGCTGCCTGCACTCCGATGGGCTGTCCCCTTCAGGAAGCTCGTCCACACCAGGTAACCAGTTATACTTTCAAGGAGTGACTTTACAGCATGCAATCCAATTGAAGGAATAGTAATAATAATAATAATCCTTGCATTTGATACACCGCTTTAACACGTGTTTTTGTTGTGATATACATTAGAAAAATGGATTTGCAGGAACAGAGAGATCTTTACCATTAATGGTTTTCGTAATCAATAATAAAGTGCAGCTTAGTTTAACAAGTTGTTTTTTGTTTATTAACTGTGTGAGTGATCTTCACATAAGCTGCAGTTAATTTTCAGGGAATTAAATTAACATCAATCACTAAAGCATTAACCTTTAGCATGCTTCAATTACTGTGTAGTTTCAACTTTGTTAAGTTAATTCGGTTTCTTTGGTGCTAATTATACTTTACAATTTGGCGTTCATTATATACGAAAGCCTCATACACGCTTTCATTACATCGAGGCTTGACTACGCAAACTCCCTGCTTGTCGGCCCCCAACTCCTCCCTCCACAGGCTGCAGATCATCCAGAACTCTGTAGCCCGTGTCCTCTCCCGCACCAGACTCCGTGACCCTATCACCCCATCCTCGCCCGACTCCACTGGCTTCCCATCACACAGAGGATACAGTTCAAGATCCTGGTCCTCACCTTCAAAGCCCTCTTTGGTCTTGCTCCCCCCGACCTCTGCGACCTCCTAAATCCGGAATCGGGATATTTCAGAAAATATCAACATATTTCCTAATAAGGAATGTGCTATTATCTCATTTTAAAATATTGAATTTGCTGAAAATTATAATAATAATAATCCTTGCATTTGATATGCACCTTATCACGTCTTTGAGACGTCTCAAAGCACTTCAGAGGATACACTGTAAATTGAATTGACTGTATATATTGTGGGTGAAACGCGGCAGCCAATTGCGTACAGCAGCGTCCCACAAATAGTCGTGGATTGAGTGACCAAATTATTATTATTATTTATTTTTTGAAGGAATTATTACCCCCCCGGAAAAGCGATCGCCAATCGACTAACAACTGGGTTCCTACTTACTGCTGGGTAAACAGAAGCGTGTGGAGTAAGGAAACTTGCCCAACCTTCGCCTGCCCGGGAATCGAAACCAGGTCTCTTGTTTGCAAGGTGAGGGCTCTAACCACTGGGATACAGGACTCCATTGCATTCATCATTGAAGAATCCATTCTCTAGGATTTCCATGTTTCCAAAATGTTTGTGGAATCTCCTCTGCGGGGACATCATAAATAGAGAGAATTTGTCATATCAAGGGAAATGTTAGAGGAGTCTGGATCTGCAGGATCCTTCTCTCTGCTGATTGTGATAAGTTTGAAAGCAGTGATGTGGCATTGTGGAGTCCTGTAGCTTAGTGGTTAGAGCACTCGCCTTTCAAGCGAGAGGACTTGAGGTCAATTCCCAGCCTGGGCGAAATGTTGGGCAAGTTTCCTTACTCCACACACTTCTGGTTACCTAGCAGCAAGTAGGAAATGGTTGTTAGTCGATTGGGGGTTCACTTTTCCGGGGTGGGGGAGTAGCAATCACTTTAAAAAANTTGATCACTTTGCTTGCGATTCATTGCTGTGTGCAATTGGCTGCTGCGTTTCACCCACAAAATATAGTCAATTCACTTTACAGTAAATGTACTGTAAATTGAAGCGCTTTGAGACGTCTCGAATAAGATAAGACGTGATAAGGCGCTATATCAAATGCAAGCATTATTGTTATTATGTGACTGGCAGTTCTGGATTTTGTAACATTTCTTTGGCATTTGCTTCCTCTTTGACTTCAGCACCAGTGACTGTTAGATTGTCTGCAGACATCCCATCAGGCTTAACCTGCTCCGCCAAATAATCCAAATTACTTTATGCTAATAGACACTTCAAATAGTGGGCTCAAATAGTGGGCTTGATTATTTAGTGAGCGTTTGCTGACCTGGGAGTCCTGCGTTGGAACTTCATTTCAATTCAGGAGGGTCGTGTCCATGTTCTTAGGTACACTGAGATACTTCACTTTAAACCCACCAATAAGCAATCAAAGACGGTTTGATTGCTTATTGGTGGTTTTAAAGTGAATTGTTTAAAACAATTGATTGTTTAAAATTAAATAGAATTACATAGAATCAACAGCAACCAAAACAGGCCATTCAGTCCTTGTGCTGGTGTTTATACAATCCATCCTAATTCCCTCCTACCCAGTCTCCCTCCCTCCACTTTCCCTCATGTATGCATTGTTTCCTCTAGTTATATTGATGCTTTCTACTTTACCCACAACTTCTGACAGCGAGTTCAAATATAGTGCCTTGATATCATTTGATATAGCTCCTTATCACGCCTTTGAGACGTCTCAAAACACTTCACAGAACATACTGGAAAGTTCTCACCTCCGTCTATGTAAAGATGTTTGTCCTAAACGCTCTTTACATCTGTTAATGACTAAGTTGTATTTACGTCCCTTTGTTATGGACTCATCTTTGTTATGAGTCTACTTGATTTCACCTTATGAAACCCTTTAATAATTTTAAACATCTCTATCAGGTATTTTGTTTTTGGTCAGCCGGGTATCTGACCATGCTTAAGAATATCTAAACCTAAACTAAGAATTCCATGCATTCAACCTACATACGGAAATCCCAGAGATAGATGGGTGAAATGGAATGCTCAGTCTCTCCCTGGAGGGTTGTATCCTGCTTACCTAATTCCGGAAAGTATTAGGCTCAGTTTGGCAAGAGCCAAGACTTGAGCACCCCGGAGTGTGTGTTGGGGAAACCGCTGGAGTTTATCCAGCTTGCCATTGATATTGCTGTCCAGCTTTCTTGTTGCTTGTCCAGCTAGGACCACCCTAACTATTAGGTCTTTGGCTTCAGGGTTAACAGGAGCTCAGTGGGAGGATTCCCTGCCCCCAGCGATGGCTCTCCTTGGAGCTGAACTGGCTTCAAGATGACGTGTTTGGTATGGAATGTCGGAATCAGGCCAGGCATCTGTAGCGGCCTCAGTAGTCCAATTCCTGAGCCAGGCAGGTCCGCAGTATTCCAGCGCACTGCTGATGACAGCACAACCAGCCTGACTAATCGGCAGTACTTGGAAGTGTAAACCAGTCATTGGGGATCATCTCTCAATCATCTCATCACCTGAGAAAAAAAGCTCTCATCTGTCCAGTCTTTCCTGACAGATGTATCCTCTTATCCCTGGTAACATCCAAGTAAATCTCCGACGTACTTTCCATGATATCCTTCTTGAATTATAATCACGACTGTGTGGTCTAACCTTGTTTTCTTTACAAATTTAAATGAAGACACAGGACACAGCCAACAGTCACTTTCCGTTCTATTTCCACTAAACTGCAAGATACTTGAAGAGGATTTGCAAGGGTATGGGGAAAGAGCGAGGGAGGGGGGGCTGATTGGTGGCTCTTGCAAAGAGCTGGCACAGGCACGATGAGCCGAATAGCCTCATTTTGTGCTGTAATATTCTATGATTCTATACTTGAGCTGAGCCACAAAGACAGACCTATTAGCTGCAGGTCTATCTATATGGGTCAGCTCAAGTACCTTGCAGTCTATTGGACTGTGCTCTTACTTTTTTCCTCTCTGTCATACACTCTGATACTCAGATGATTTAGTTTGCAGCCGGGTATCTGACACATGTGAAACCCCATCATCGTGAGTAAGCGCTTCAGAGCAAATTGAGAGTTCCATGGATCAAACCTACAATGGAATATGCATTCTTTCCCTGGAGGGATGCATCCTGCATATCTAATTCTGGAGAGCTTTAGACACAGGTTGGCAAGAGCCAAGGCTTGAAGACACCAGAATGTGCGTTGGGGTAACTGCTGGAGTCTAACCAGCTAAAACTGCATAGCTTGCCATTGATTTCACTGTCTGCCAAGTTTCCTACTGCTTGTCCAACTGGGACAACTCTACCTGTTAGGGCGTTGGCTTTCAGAATTAACAGGAATTGAATAGGAAGAATCCCTGTCCTCAGTCTGTCTCTGCAAATCCCGCTGATGAGCAGGCTGGCTCGTCTGTCATCAGTGGTGCCCTGGAGACCTGGAACTGGGCTACTGAGTCTTCCACAGAGGGTAACCTTGATACTGACACTGGCAAACATGCCACCTTGGAGTTAGCTAAGTGATATTTTATTTGCATTGATCTCTTGGTTGCCAACTTCATTCTCAATTCAACAACAGCAACAACAACTTGGATGTATATAGTGCCCTCCACGCCAGACGGAGTCTCAGAATGCTTCACAGTAATGGATGCCGGAGCCGAGCCGGGGGGAGGGGGAGGAGCTGGGGGGAGGCGGAGGAACTGGGGAGGGGGAGGAACAGGGGAGGGGGAGGAGCCGGGGAGGGGGAGGAGCCGGGGGGAGGGGGAGGAAGGTGACCAAAGGTGCGGTCGAAAAGAAAGGTCTTCAGCAGAGACCTGAAAATGGGAAGGGAGGCAGCGAGACGAAGGGAGTGAGGAAGGGAGTTCCAGAGCCTTGGGGCATAGTGGCTGAAGGCACGGCCACCGAGGGTGGAGTGGAGGACTCGGGGGACGAGGAGGAGGCCAGTCCCGGAGGAACGAAGGCAATGGGCACTGTTGTGAGGAGAGAGAGGTCAGAGAGGTCGGGGGGTGCAGAGGAGTGGAGGGATTTGAAGACAAGGGTGAGGATCTTGAAGTCGATCCACTCTGGGACAGGCAGCCAGTCTGGCAAGGACTGGGGTAATCCAGTACTGCTGCTGTGACTCTACAGTATTATGAGTGATCTGTTTACCCTATAATAATAATAATACTACTACAAACTATAACATACTACTCCATACTACAACATTCTGCCCATGATTAGTCCCAATTAAGCTCCCATCTTTTTTTACTACAACAGACCTAAGTTCACAACTCTCATGATTAATGTCACCAGTGATATAGAAAGACATGAACACAATGGGAATGGGAAGAGGCATTCAGCCCTATTGAACATTTCAAACTGTTTTATTACATTTTACCAATTCTTTTAATCCAATTCCTTTGGCTTTTCTCCATATCCCTTAAAAATGTTACTTTTCAATTATCTATCTAGCTCCCTTTTAAAGCTATAAGTTGACTTTGCCTCCAGCGCACTCTACATTTTCTGGGTAAAATAATTTTTTTCTGATCTAATTTTTAACTGTTTTGGCTGTAATTGTCCTCCATGTGTTTCTAGAGTTGACAATCCTGGGGGTCCCAGTGAGTGACTCTCACTGGCCCCGAGCGCTGGGGCCCCCTCTTTGCCAGGATGAGGAGGCAGAAGGCAGGACAGAGCTCGAGCTCCATGTTCTCCATCAGATCCAGAGGAGGAGCCGTCGACACCGCACCATCTTCACCGAGGAGCAGCTGGAGGCTCTGGAAGCCATGTTCAAGCGGAACCAGTACCCGGATGTGGTAACTCGGGAACAGCTGGCAATCCAGGTGCATCTGCGGGAGGAGCGGGTGGAGGTAGGGAATCTATCAACACGGTGCACAGATGATGAAGTGGAGATGAAGAAGCGAGTAAAATAATAATAATTCTTATATTTGATACAGCGCCTTATCATGTCCTCAAGACGTCTCAAAGCACTTCACAGAATATACTGTAAAGTGAATTGACTGAATATTTTGTGGGTGAAACGTGGCAGAAGTGAGAGAAGTCTGTGGCAGAAAAGTATAAGAAAAGAACACATGGGAGCGTATGAGACAAGTATGAGAAAAGACCACCAAGTCACTTGGAATGTAATTACATAGACTTTTGGGGAGTCTCCGTCCTTCAAATCCTCATTCTTGACTTCTTTTTGCAATGCCCCTTTCCCTTATCACTTCTCTCTCTCATCACTGACCTGATACCCACCTCCAACTCTTCACAATCCCCTCGTATTTTAAATGAGCTGCATTGAATTATAGTCTAACAAGGTCCTGACAAGTTGTTAAGTGCTACAGTTAATATGAGTTCTGGTGTGTCCTCTTTACTGAAATGTTGTCTGTTCTCAGGTCTGGTTCAAAAATCGAAGAGCAAAGTGGAGACGACAGAATCGAACCTCATCTGAATCAGAAGCAGCAACGAACTAAGTTGCAGAAGTGGAGCTTTGCCTAATGTTCCTCAGCTCCCAACCTTATCTGTAAATAAAGGAACACAAGAATAACAGATAATGTTTTTGTATTTTTCTTGCCTTCCAATTTTGCCTCCTCCTCTCACTTCCTAAAGGCATCTTGCAGTACAGGTTCATACCACCATCAAGAACCATAACAATTTGTATTTATAAAATGCCTTTCGCGTCAGCAGCATGTCTCAAAAGACCAGCTGACGAGAGTTACCCCACCAAGAGGTGGGGAGCTGACGAGGGAACGTGGGTGACGAGAGGGCAGAAGGTAACTCAAAATGCTCTTGAAAGCTAAAATGGAAAGCAAGGAATTGCCACCTTGCCTTGGAGATGTCCTTAGCGCTAGTCACCAGGACTCACTCTGAGGCACATACTCAGTCAGTGTTCCAACAATTGTGGTTTCTATCCACACAAGGGGTGACCCTAGTGAGACCGAGAACCACTGAATGATCTCATTGATTTTAGTGGCTCTTAAAGTGGTGCTTCGGGTAGTCACTGCACGAGTATAACACACAATGGAGGCTTGTGGTTTGATCAGGTGGGATCAGGCTGCGTCAGTTTTCATGAGAAGATTTCCTAATGTCGTGAGGCTCAGGAGAAACACATCTACATTATGTTCATCAGCATGCACAAGTGCTTTAACCTCATGCCCGATGAAATCCTCATCATAATAATAATAATTCTTGCATTTGATATAGCGCCTTACCACGTCTTCAAGATGTCTCAAAGCGCTTCACAGGATACACTGTAAAGTGAATTGACTGTATATTTTGTGGGTGAAATGCAGCAGCCAATTGTGCACAGCAGTGTCCCACAAAGAATTGTGGAGTGAGTAACCAAATTATTATTATAATTTACTTTTTTGAAGGGATTATTACTCCCTGGAAAGCAATCCACCAATTGACTAACAACCGGGTTCCTACTGACTGTTAGGAAAATAAAGGAAAAATACTTGAACCAACAAAATGAAAACTAGAAGCCATGGGAATACATGAACAAATAATTAATTTTATCTGGAATGTGTGTTCCAACTCCAAGATCGTGTAAGGGTTAATGGTAGATGCACTGAGTCTATCCCGCTTGAAAGGGAGGTAAGGCCAGCCTGTTGATTGTCACCCACCGTGTTTGATGCATTCATCAAAGACATATTAGATGTCATTGAATGATAGACTTAGTGTATCTGTTCCAGGCATTCACCATCTTGAACACTGAGCCACTGAATGGGATATGATGGTGGGCACTGCCAAGTGTGGAATCATGGCTCTGTGTGACTCAAAGGCTGACATTGAGGGTATTGATTGGAAGATACAAGGGGCATCTGTCCCAGTTGTTGATTCTTGTGTGTCAGTCAGGCTCAGTTGGTAGCACTCTTGTCACTGAGTCAGAAGGTTGTGGGTTCAAGCTCTCATTGGGTCTTGGAACTCATATTGTCTAAGATGACACTCCAGTGCAGTGCTGGAGGTGTGCTGTATTGTTGGATGTTTAACATCTCATCCTTCAGATGAGACATTAAACCAAGGCCCCATCTGCCAGTTCAGGGATATAAGATCCTATGGCACTATTTTCCTCAAAATCCAAATGAGAGGAGATGATGGACCTCCTCTAGCCAAAATCGAGAGGATCCAGTCTGCTAACTCTGCTCTTGCTACTGCCACCCCTAACCCTCCATCCCTCTCTCTACACCTTCAATCCCGTCTTTCTCTTCCTTCCTCTCCATCATCTCCCGAATGAAGACCACCATGTGCTCCCTTAACCCCAGCCCTCTTCTAACTTCCCAGATCTACAACCTTGCCCCCTCCTTACAGACATCGTAACCTCTCTTTGTCCACTGGCACAGTCCCATCCCATCCCAAAACAGCTGCCATCAACCCTCCTCAAAAAACCCATCCCACCTCCAACCTCCCTTTCCGCTGCAAGGTAGTGGAATGAGTCGTTGCTTCCCAGCTGCACTCTTTCTTTTCCACGCACTCCCTGTTTGAATCTCTCCAATCCGGTCTCCGCATTGCCCACACTTCCAAGACTGTCCTGATCAAAGTCACAAATGATATTCTCCTTCCACCTCACACTGTTGGTGTGATATTCCTCAGGGCTGTATCCTCGGTCCTCTCCTCTTTAATATCTATATGCTCCTGGATGGCCATGTTAGAATATACACTTTTTGTATATTGCTAGAATCATAATAGATGTTGTGAATGGGTTAACTTTTAAGTTAAGTGTGGGGGTCAACTGGACTGACAGTCATGGGATAGGACTCATCTGGTTTTCTCTGTTTTTAAAAGAATAACAGACAGGGGCCGGGGGTCACCTCTTATCAGTAAATGACAACACGCCCACAGAGGTAACGGTCCAAGGTACCAGTGGACACAGGATCTCTTCTGAGCAATAAGTCGCTAGATTCTGACAGGGCCGAGCGACAGAAGGCAACCCTCAAGAATAGCAATTAATGAGCAAGTTGCTTAAACTGGAGGGCCTCGGTACCATCCCGGGATACTGATAAGGAATAACCGGTCACTTTAAAGGAATGTACTAATGATCCCACACCACAAAATAATGAGCACCAGATACAGCCCTAAACTGATCAATCCTCTATCTTAGACAATTAGATCAGATAACAGGAATCTTAAGGACAATGTGTATGTGTGTGAGGCACTACACCCCATGAGGTATTCACGTGAACCCGGCATGATTTCGACCGGGTGATCTAATGTCCGCACCATGATTGGACGAACATTGGTATAAGAGTTCCGTTAACTTTGTGTACAGGGCCGTCCCGGGTCGCGGAGACGAGGATACGGGAGATGGACCGTCCCGGGTCGTGGAGACAAGGATACGGGAGATGGGGCCGTCCCGGGCCACGGAGACAAGGCTACGGAGATGGAAGACTGAGAGCTGGAAACACTAAGACTGAGGATATCAGATGGAAGATTGAAAGCTGTAAGCAAGAAGACTGAAAGCATGAAGAATCAAGCTTGTGTGCTGGAAAGACACAGTGTTGAACTCTTGAACTCGAGATATCTATAGTGGTGTTATTCTGTTATAAGATCTGTTGATTGTACCGCCTTTGGTCTGACCCATCGGGATATTGGGGAATAACGAACGAATAATAATAAAACAGTCTGATATCTGGTTAGAGGAATTAGCGTTGTTTCCTTACAGATTTGGCTGATTTTATTTTCTAACAGTCATGTCATCTGCAGGCATGCGGTTAACTTCTACATGTATGCAGATAACACCCAACTCTATATCTGCCTCTGCTTTCAATTCCAGGACCGCTGCTGTTTTGACCAGTTGCCGGTTAGACATCAAGTTCTGGATGCAGGTTGAATTTAAATCAATCTAAGATTGTACAGAAATATTAAAATCATTGATTTGCTGTAACAGACTCTTTGTGCCCCTATTTTCCTTCAGAACAATAGAAACCTGTATATCGTTTCACCCACAAAATATACAGTCAATTCACTTTACAGTAAGCGCTTTGAGACGTCTCGAAGACGTGATAAGGCACTGTATCAAATGCAAGGATTATTATTGTTATCTTTTTGACAACTTTCAAAGAAGAGTTGTTCAGTAGGATATTGGCAAGATAGAGGCTCTCCTGTTTGGCTTGTCAATCAGAGCCTCCTCATCTCAGGTGCTGACAGCATCAATCTATATGGATCCATTCTCCACTTCACGGAGCAAGGACAGAACTTCAACTCTTAATTATCCTTTCAACTCACATCCAAACTCTAACCCATTCAGCTGTCCCTCAGCTCCACAACATTGCCTGCCTCTGCCAAACCGGGGGTGTGATGGTGTGCATGTGCAGTTGGCTGACTGTGAGTATGTAAGGAGTGTCAGGGGTTAAGGGGGTGTGATGGTGTGACTGTGACATGCAGTGGGTGTGTAAGAATTTGGATTTGTAAGGGGGTGATGGTGCGAGTGTACAAGGAGTGTCAGTGTGTAAGGGATGAGTGTGTAAGGGGATGAGTGTGCAAGGGGGTGGGTGTGTAAGATTGTGTGTAAGGGTCTATGTGGGAAGGGGTGCTGCTGTGAGTGTGTAAGGAATTAAGTGTGTAATAACAACAAAATTAAATTTGTATAGCGCCTTTTACGTCGGATGTCCCAAGGTGCTGGACAATCAGTGTATCGGACCGGAGCTGGGGCTCAGGATCAGGGAGAGGGTGGAGGACGGGATAAGGCAGGTGACCGAAGGCAAGGTCGAAGAGGAGGGTCTTGAGACGGGTCTTGAAGGTGGAGAGGGAGGGGGCGAGGTGGAGGGATTGCGGGATGGAGTTCAAGAGAGTGGCAGAGTGGCAGAAGGCCCGCCCGCCAATGGTGGGGTGGGTGAAGTGGGGGACGTGAAGCAGGCCAGAGCCCACTGAGCGGAGGGAGCAAGCAGGTTGGTAGGGGGCTAGGAGGTTGCAGAGGTAAAGGGGAGGGCTTTGAAGGTGAGCACGAGGATATTGAACTGTATGGGAAGCCAGTGGAGTCGGGCGATGATGGGGTGATAGGGTCGGTCACGGAGCCTGGGGCAAGAGAGGACATGGGCTGCAGAGTTTTGGATTTTCTGTAGACTGCGGAGGGAGGAATTGGGGAGGCCGACAAGCAGGGAGTGGGTGAGTGAGGGGGTGAGTGAGTGTGTGAGCGGGAGGGAGTGAGTGAGTGTGTGAGCGGGAGTGAGTGAGGGGCTGAGTGAGTGAGTGGTTGAGCGGGAGGGAATGAGTAAATGAGTGTGTGAGCGGGAGGGAGGGGTTAAGTGAGGGTGTGAGCGGGAGGGAGTGAGTGTGTGAGCGGGATGGAGTGAGTGTGTGAGCGGGAGGGAGTGAGTGAGTGTGCGAGTGGGAGGGAGGGGTTAAGTGAGGGTGTGAGCGGGAGGGAGTGAGGGTGTGAGCGGGAGTGAGGGGGTGAATGTGTGAGCGGTAGGGAGTGAGTGTGTAAGGGGAGTGAGGGGGTGAGTGAGTGTGTAAGGGGAGTGAGGTGGTGAGCAGGAGCGAGTGAGTGTGTGAACGGGAGGGAGTGAGGGTGTGAGTGTGTGAGCGGGAGGGAGTGAGTGTGTGAGCGGGATGGAGTGAGTGTGTGAGCGGGAGGGAGTGAGTGAGTGTGCGAGTGGGAGGGAGGGGTTAAGTGAGGGTGTGAGCGGGAGGGAGTGAGGGTGTGAGCGGGAGTGAGGGGGAATGTGTGAGCGGTAGGGAGTGAGTGTGTAAGGGGAGTGAGGGGGTGAGTGAGTGTGTAAGGGGAGTGAGGTGGTGAGCAGGAGCGAGTGAGTGTGTGAACGGGAGGGAGTGAGGGTGTGAGTGTGTGAGCGGGAGGGAGTGAGGGGTGAGTGAGTGAGGGGTTGAGAGAGTGAGTGAGGGGGAGAGGGTGAGGGAGGGAGTGAGTGAGGGGTTGAGTGTGTGAGCGAGAGGGAGGGGTTAAATGAGTGTGTAAGCGGGAGTGAGTGAGTGTGTGAGCGGGAGTGAAGGGGTGAGTGAGTGTGTGAGCGGGAGTGAAGGGGTGAGTGAGTGTGTGAGTGAAGGGGTGAGTGAGAGTGTGAGCGGGAGGGAGGGGTTAAGTGAGTGTGTGAGCGGGAGGGAGTGAGGGGGTAAGTGAGTGTGTGAGCGGGAGGGAGGGGGTGAGCGAGTGTGTGAGTGGGAGGGAGTGAGGGGGTGAGTGAGTGTGTGAGCGGGAGGGAGTGAGGTGGTGAGTGTGTAACCAGGAGTGAGTGTGTGAGCAAGAGTGAGTATGTGAGCAAGAGTGAGGTGGTAAGTGAGAATGTGAGCAGGAGGAAATGAGTGTGGGAGCAGGATCGAGGTGAGTGTGTGAGCGGGAGGGAATGAGGGATTGAGTGTGTGAGCGGGAGGAAGTGAGGGTGTGAGTGGGAGCGAGGGGGTGAGTGTGTGAGCGGGAGGGAGTGAGTGTGTAAGGGGAGGGAAGGGGTGAGTGAATGGGTGAGCGGGAGTGAGTGAGAGTGTGAGCGGGTGGGAATGAGTGTGAGCGGGAGGGAGGGGGTGAGTATGTGAGCGGGATGGAGTGAGGGGGTGAGTGAGTGTGTGAGCGGGAGGGAGTGAGGTTGTGAGCAGGAGGGAGGGGTTGAGTGTGTGAGCGGGAGTGAGGGTGTGAGTGAATATGTGAGCGGGAGGGAGTGAGGGGGTGAGTGAGTGAGGGGTTGAGTGAGTGAAAGGGTGAGTGAGGGAGGGGGTGAATGAGTGAGCGAGTGATGGGGTGAGTGACTGAGGGGTTGAGTGAGTGAAAGGGTGAGGGAGGGAATGAGGGAGTGAGTGAGGGGGTGAGTGAGTGAGTGAGGGAGAGGGTGAGTGAGTGAGGGGGAGAGGGAGTGATTGAGGGAGTGAAGGAGTGAGGGAGTGAGTGAGTGAGAGAGTGAGAGAGTGAGGGAGGGAGTGAGGTGGTGAGGGAGTGGGTGGGAGGGTGAGTGAGTGAGTAAGGGAGGGGGTGAGTGAGTAATGGAGTGAGTGAGGGAGGGGGTAAGTGAGGGAGGGGGTGAGTGAGTGAGTGAGGGAGAGGGTGAGTGAGTGAGGGGGAGAGGGAGTGATGGAGGGGGTGAAGGAGTGAGGGAGTGAGTGAGTAAGGGCGTGAGAGAGTGAGGGAGGGAGTGAGGTGGTGAGGGAGTGGGTGGAGGGTGAGTGAGTGAGTAAGGGAGGGGGTGAGTGAGTAATGGAGTGAGTGAGGGAGGGGGTAAGTGAGGGAGGGGGTGAAGGTTGAATGAGTGAGTGAGTGAGTGAGTGAGGGGGAGAGTGAGTGAGGGTGTGAGTGAGGGAGGGAGTGAGGGTGAGGGGTGTGTGAGGGAAGGGGTGAGGAGGTAAGTAAGTGAGTGAGGGAGTGGGGGAGGGGGTGAGTGAGGGGGAGGAGATGAGTGAGTGAGTGACGGGATGAGTGAGGGGGTGAGGGAGGGAGGGAGTGGGAGGGGGAGAGTGAGTGAGTGAGGGGTGAGGGAGTGAGTGGCAGGGAGGTAGTGAGGGTGAGGGGGTGAGGGAGTGGGTGAGGGGGTGAGGGAGGGAGTGAGGTTGAGGGGGTGTGAGAGAAGGGGTGAGGGTGTAAGTGAGTGAGTGAGGAGGTGAGGGTGAGTGAGGGGGAGGGGGTGATGGTGAGGGGTTGAGTGAGTGGGAGGGGTGAGGGGGTGAGTGAGGGGGAGGGGGTGAGGGAGTGAGTGAGGCGGAGGGGGTGAGGCGGGTGAGGGGGTGAGTGAGGGGGAGGGGGTGAGTGAGGGAGAGGGGGTGAGGAGGAGTGAGGGGGATGGGGTGAGGGATGGGGATGAGGGGGTGAAGGGATGAGGGGGAGGGGGGAGGGGGTGATGGTGAGGGGTTGAGTGAGTGGGAAGGGGGTGAGGGGGTGAGTGAGGGGGAGGGGGTGAGGGAGTGAGTGAGTGAGGCGGAGGGGGTGAGGCGGTGAGGGGTGAGTGAGGGGGAGGGGGTGAGTGAGGGAGAGGGGTGAGGAGGAGTGAGGGGGATGGGGTGAGGGATGGGGATGAGGGGGTGAAGGATGAGAGGGAGGGGGAGGGGGTGATGGTGAGGGTTGAGTGAGTGTGAGGGTGTGAGGGGGTGAGTGAGGGGGTGAGTGAGGGGGAGGGGGTGAGGGAGTGAGTGAGTGAGGCGGAGGGGGTGAGGCGGTGAGGGGTGAGTGAGGGGGAGGGGTGAGTGAGGGAGAGGAGGAGTGAGGGGGATGGGGTGAGGGATGGGGATGAGGGGGTGAAGGGATGAGGGTGAGGGGGCGGGGCTGAGTGCGGGGGCGGGGCTGAGTGCGGGGGGCGGGGCTGAGTGAAGGGGCGGGGCTGAGTGAGGGGGCGGGGCTGAGTGAGGGGCGGGGCTGAGTGAGGGGGCGGGGCTGAGTGAGGGGCGGGGCGAGTAAGGGGCGGGGCTGAGTGAGGGGGCGGGAGCCTGAATTCCCGGCGTGCCTGGCGGTGGTGCGCGTGCGCAGTGTTGTGCTGAGGCTGTTGTGCAGTGCGCGGGGGGAGCGCGAGCCGTGTCCCCGAGACCGACGGACAGAGAGAGGCCGGACATGGAGGTTACCTCAAAGCCGCCGGCGCTGGTGGGGGGCAGCGGGCCGCTGGCTGAGGCCCCGACACCGGCCCCGGCACAGGGCGGGACCCGCAAGCCGCCGAGGAAGGTCCTGGACGAGGAGGCCTACATCTCAGTGAGTCCGGGCCCGGCTCGAGGCCAATACCACAACAAGATTACATTTGTATAATGCACTTCACGTCGGGAGGACGTCCCAAGGCGCTGGACAGTGACAGCAGTTCAGCCCCGAGCTGGGGTCAGGGGGGGTCAGGGGGGGGAGTGTGGCCGATGTCATGGTCGAAGAGGAGGGTTTTGAGGCGGGACTTGAAGGAGGCTGAGGAGGGGGTGAGGCGGAGTGATTGGGGAATGGAGTTAAAGAGGTTGGGGGCAGAGTGGCTGAAGGCTCTCCCGACAATGGTGGGGCGGGTGGGTCGGGGGACGTGGAGCAGCCGGAGCGGCTGAGGGGAGGGAACAGGCGGGTTGGTAGGGGGTTAGGAAGTCACAGAGGTGGGGTGGGGTGAGGCCATTGAGGGCTTTGTAGGTGAGGACCAGGATCTGGAACTGGATCCTCTGAAGGATAGGGAGCCAATGGAGTCGGGCGAGAGTGGGGGAGATGGGGTCACGGAGTTTGGTGCGGGAGAGGACACGGGTTGCAGAGTTAGTTCTGGATTATCTGCAGCTGTGGAGGGAAGGGTTGGGAAGGCCGACAAGCAGGGAGTTTGCACAGTCGAGGCTGGAGGTGATGAAGGCATGAACAAGAGTTTCAGCGCCTGAGGGTGAGGTTGTGGTGGAGTCGGGCGATGTTATGGAGGTGAGGGAAGGCAGAGCGGGTCATGGCTTGAATGTGGGGAAGAAAAGACAGTTGAGGGTCGAACAAGACACCTATGTTCCTGGCTGGCTGGTGAGTTGGTGAGTTGTAGTGGGCAACCATGGAGGTTGATGCTGCCAGAGCCTGAGGTGCTGAGGCGCTGGCGTGAGCCAATCAGGAGGGCCTCAGCCTTGTCCACATTCAGTCTTGTAGGAAATTTGCCCTCATCCAGGACTTGATGTCCGACAGACAGTCTGTCAGGACAGCAGTGGTCCTGGAGTTGAGGGTGGAGGCAGAAGGACAGAGTTGGGTGTCATCCGCATACATATGGAAGTTGACCCCATGTCTGTGGATGAAGTCACCGAGGGGGAGCATATAGATAATAATAATAATCCTTGCATTTGATTTAGCGTTTTTCACGTCTTCTAGACGTCTCAAAGCGCTTCACAGAATTTGCTGTAAAGTTAATTGACTGTATATTTGTGGGCAAAACGCGGCAGCCAATTGCGCACAGCAATGTCCCACAGACAGTCATGGATTGAAAATGACCAATTTATTATTGTTTTGTTTTGGAGGGATTATTATTAGGCTCTGTGTGGAGTAAGGAAACTTGCCCAAGATTTCCCTGCCTGGAATTGAACCCAGGTGTCTCGCTTGCAAGGTGAGTGCTCTAATGAGTGAGCTACAGGATTCCATATATTAAAGAGGAGAGCGCCAAGTACAGAGCCCTGGGGGAATGCCAGACATGACAGTGCGGGGGCTGGAGGAGAAATCTTTAGAGGTAACAAAGTGGAGACGGTGAGAGAGATAGGAATCCAACCAGGCAAAGGCAAGTCCGCGAAGTTGAAGTAAAGAGGAGAGGCGATGTATGAGGATGGAGTGGTCGACAGTGTTGAAGGCGACAGAGAGGTCGAGGAGGACAAGAAGACAGAGGGAGCCCTGATCACAGATGATCCGAATGTCATTAGTGACTTTGACCAGAGCTGTTTCCGTGCTGTGGGTAGCGCGGAAGCCGGATTGGGGGGTTCAAAGAGGGAATGGCGAGAAAGAAAGGAGTGGATCTGGGACGTGACAACTTGTTCCAGGACCTTAGAGAGGAATGGGAGATTAGAGATGGGGCAGTAGCTGGAGAGGAGGACGGTTTTTTNCAGGATGGGAGTGATGACGGCTGTTTTTGAAGGGTGGGAACTGAACCATGGACAAGGAGAGGTTGATGACGTCGGACAGGAGAGGGGCCAGAAGGTGGAGCTGGGAGATGAGAGAGCTGGGAATGGGATTAAGGGAGCAGGTGGTGGGTTTTGAGTTTGCGAACAATCGTGGTGAAGGAGGAGGATCGAAGATAGGGAGGGATAGGTGTGGAGTGGGTCATGAGGGAGAGGTGATGTGAGGGTGGCGGTGGACGGGGCTGAGGTGGCTGAACATATCCACTCGATTTTGGATTCGAGAAAGTCCAGCATCTTTTCACAGTTGGAGTTTGAGGAGAGGATGGGCGAGGCGTGGGAAGGTGGATGGAGGAGACGGTTTGTGGTGGAAAAGAGAAGCCTGGGGTTGTCGTTTGCCTCCAAGATAACCTTGGAGTAGAAGGAGGATTTGGCGGAGGCAGGAGCGCAGCGGTAGGTCTTGGTATGATGAAGCCAAATCTGCCGATGGACCATTAGTTTGGATTTGGTCCAGGTGCGTTTGGCAACAACAACAACAAGATTCCATTTATAGAGCGCCTTTCACGTTGGGAGGACGTCCCAAGGTGCTGTACAGTTGGGTCAGGACCCGAGCAGGGTGGTCAGGGTGAGGGGAGGGAAGGGAGGGAGCAAGGAGGCGGTAGAGAGTCGAGAGGGGAGCTGAAGGCACGGTCGAAGAGAAAGGTCTTGAGACCGGCCTTGAAGGAGGAAAGGGAGGCAGTGGCGAAGGCACTGGGGGATAGAGTTCCAGAGCCTCGGGGCTGAGAGGCTGAAGGCCCGGCCACCGATGGTAGGGTGGTTGGGGCGGGGGACGTGGAGCAGACCGGAGCCAGAGGAACGGAGGGTACGGGCAGATAAGTAGGGGGATAGTAGGTCGGAGAGGTAGGAGGGAGCGAGGCCGTGAATGGCCTTTTAGGTGTGGATGAGGATCTTGAATTCGATCCTCTGGGGGATGGGGAGCCAGTGGAGGCGAGCGAGGGTGGGTGTGATGTGGTCGCGGTGTCTGGTGCGGGACAGTACACGAGCGGCAGAGTTCTGAATGACCTGCAGTGTGGAGGGAGGGCCGGGAAGGCCGGCGAGGAGAGAGTTCCCATAGTCCAGCCTTGAGGTGATAAAGGTGTGGACCAGAGTTTCAGCCGCGTGAGGGGTGAGGTAGTGCCGTAGTCTGGCAACGTTCCGGAGGTGATGGAAGGCGGTGCCAGTTGTGGCGCAGATATGAGGGAGAAAGGACAGCTCAGGGTTGAACAGAACACCGAGGTTCCTGACCGGCTTTGAGAGGTGGAGAGTGCGGCCTTGGATGCTGATGCTGATGCTGTGCTGATGCTGTGCTGTGGATGCAGCTCGCACTTGTGCCTTGAGGGGACGAAGATGGCTGGTGTACCAGAGGGATTTACGTGAATATGAGCAGTTCGGGAGGTGAGGGTGTTAAGGGAGTCCAGAACGGAGGAGAGGGAGTTGTGGAGAAAAGAGAGTGAGGAGGGGAGATTGGTCAGGGAGGGCCAGAGGTGTAGGAGTTCTGATGACTCCAGGGCAGGGGAGAGGGAGGAAACCCAATCCTCTCAGCGAATATTATTATAATAATAATATTAATAATAATAATTGTATTTGATACAGCGCCTTATCACGGCTTCCAGACTAATAATAATAGAAATACCGAAGAAACGCTACAAAATCCAGAACTGCCAGTCATTTTATATTAATCCTTGCTTTTGATATAGTACCTTATCGGGTCTTCTAGATGTCTCAAAGTGTTTCTCAGGATATACTGTAAAGTGAATTGATTGTATATTTTGTGGGCAAAACATGGGTGAAACAATTCTGCACAGCAGTGTCCCACAAACAGTCGTGGATTGAAGTGACCAAATTTTTATTTTTTTTATTTTGAAGGGATTATTACCCCCAGAAAGGCGATACGCTAATTGACTAACAACCGGTTTCCTACTTACTGCTGAGTAAGCAGAGGTATGTGGAGTAAGGAAACTTGCCCAACGTTTCGCCCTGCCCGGGAATCAAACCCAGGTCTCTCTCTCGCTTGCGAGGCGAGTGCTCTAACCACTGAGCTACAGGACACCACTATATATATTTGGGATAAATAAAGGAATTTTATCCGCCTGAAAAGATTGAAGGGCTGGTTTAACCCCCCAGGATTACAACTCTCCCTTGTGGTCCCAAATTATAGAATATTCCAACACCAGAAGGAAGCCATTCGGCCCATCATGCCTGTGCCGGCTCTTTGAAAGTTGTCAGAAAGATAAACAGATGTTCTACTGTTAACAGGTTTCTACTAAATAATAATGATCCTTGCATTTGATATAGTACCTAATCATGTCTTTGTGAAGTCTCAAAGCACTTCGCAGAATATACTGTAAAGTGTAGTGACTATATTTTGTGGATGAAACATGGCAGCCAATTGTGCACAGCAGTGTCCCACAAACAGCTGTGGATTGAGTGACCAAATTATTATTTTCTATTGAAGCAATTATTATCCCCGGAAAGCAATCTAGCCATCGAATCGACTAACAACCGAGTTCCTACTTACTGGAGTCCTGTAGCTCAGTGGTTAGAGCACTCGCTTTGCAAGTGAGAGACCTGGGTTCAATTCCAGGCAGAGGGCGAAACCTTGGGCAAGTTTCCTTACTCCACACAGAGCCTAATAATAATCCCTCCAAAACCAAAACAATAATAAATGGTCATTTTCAATCCACAACTGTTTGTGGGACGCTGCTGTGCGCCATTGGCTGCCGCGTTTCGTCCACAAATATACGGTCAATTCACTTCACAGTCTATTCTGTGAAGCGCTTTGAGACGTCAAGAAAACATGAAAAGCGCTAAATCAAATGCAAGGATTATTATTATTACTGCTAGGTGAACAGAGTGTGTGTGTGGAGTAAAATAAGGACATATGGAGCCTGTTACAGCAAATTAATGATTTTAATCTTGTTGAACAATCTTAGATTGATTTACATTAAATCCCTAAAGCACTGGAACAATTTGTTTTGCATCATGTAATGCGTGCTAGTGTTACTGGGCGTCAGGGTCAATAACCAGCTGTCTTTCCTACCCCACGTTCAGGACCGCTTTCCTCCAACTCCACCGCATCATACACCTCCGACCGTACCTCACACTCAACACAGCCAAAACCCTTATTCATGCATTCGTCACCTTTTGCCTTGATTTTCCAACACCCTCGCTATTGGTCTCCCCAGCTCCCCAACACATAAAATCCACTGATTCTAAATTCTGCTGCCCATATTTTCACCTATACCAAACTCTGCATGCCATCACCCTAGTCCTTGCTCCCTATCCTACCCGACAAGCTGTTTAATTGCTTGTTGGCTACATATTAAGGCCTTAAGACCTGAATGTTGTGCTAATCTACAGCAGTTCTGCCCCTGAGACCATGTATAGGTATTTGTTTCATACATCTAGTTACTTGTCTTTCGTTTTGTAAATTGCCCTAGTGCATGACCACTGTATACTTCTTTTTGTGACAGAATTTGGAGAAGATAATCCAGAGAGACTTTTTTCCTGATGTGGAGAAGCTACAGGCTCAAAAGGAATATTTGGAAGCCGAAGAGAGTGGTGACATGGAGAAGATGCGGGAAATTGCCATTAAATATGGCTCTTCACTGGGAAAGTCCACATTGGGTACCCCTGTGCCATGTAAGTGTTTTCTCATAATGAAGAGTCTGAGTTGCTCAGGAGCTTGCTGAGTGTTCCGTATATATCCATGAATTACTTGGGAATTAAGAACATAAGAATTAGGAGCAGGAGATGGCCATTCTACCCCTTGAGCCTGCCCCGCCATTTGATAAGATCATGGCTGATCTTCAGACCTAACTCTAATTACCTGGAGTCCTGTAGCTCAGTGGTTAGAGCACTCGCTTTGCAAGTGAGAGACCTGAGTTCAATTCCAGACAGAGGGCGAAACCTTGGGCAAGTTTCCTTACTCCTCACAGAGCCTAATAATAATCCCTCCAAAACCAAAAACAATAATAAATTGGTCATTTTCAATCTACGACTGTTTGTGGGACATTGCTGTGCGCAATTGGCTGCCGCGTTCACCCACAAATATACAGTCAATTCACTTTACAGTGTGTTCTGTAAAGCGCTTTGGGATGTCCTCCCGACGTGAAAAGCGCTATATCAAATGCAAGGATTATTATTATTATTACCTGCCCTATCCCCATATCCCTCATCCCTTTATTTTTTAAAAATTTATCAGTCTCAGCTTTGAAAATGTTCAAGGACTGAGCATCTACAGCCTTCTGGGGTAGTCAATTCCATAAATTCACTGCCCTCTGAGTGAAGAAATGTTTCCTCAACTCTGTTCTAAAAGGCTGACCCTTAATTTTCAGACTGTGACCCCTGGTTATAGATTCTCCCACCAGGGGAAACAGACCCTCAGTGTCTACTTTATCAGCCCTTTAAGAATCTTATATGTTTCAATAAGATCCCCCCTAATTCTTCTGTACTCTAGAGAATACAGCCCTCGTTTATTCAGCCTATCCTCATAGGTCAGTCCCCTCATCCCAGGAACTAACCGAGTGAATCTACGCTGCACCCCCTCGAGGGCAAGTATGTCCTTTTTTAAATAAGGAGACCAAAACTGCACACAATACTCTCGGTGCGGTCTCACCAAGGCCCTATACAGTTGCAGCAAGACTTCCCTACTCTTGTACTCTAAACCTTTTGCAATGAACGCTAACTGCCGTTCGCCTTCTTAGTTGCTGCTGCACCTGCAAACTAACTTTTTGAGACTGGTGTACAAGGACACCCAAATCCCTCTGAACACTAAGCTATCTAATCTCTCCCCCTCTAGAAAATAATCTGTTTTTCTATTTTTTCTACCTAGGTGAATAACTTCACACTTCCCCACATTAAATTCCATCTGCCACCTACTCGCCCACTCCCCGAGCCTATCTATATCCCGTTGCAATCTTTTTGCATCATCCTCAGAGCTTACTCTCCCACCGAGTTTAGTGTCATCCGCGAATTTAGATACGTTACATTCAATGTCCTCGTCGAGATCATTGATGTAAATTGTAAATAGCTGAGGCCCAAGCACTGATCCTTGTGGCACTCCACTAGTCACATCCTGCCAATTCGAGAATGACCCGTTTATCCCTACTCTCTGTTTTCTACCCGTTAGCCACTCTTCAAGCCGTGCTAATATGTTCCCATTAATCCCGTGGCCTTAACCTTGTGCAATAGCCTTTTGTGTGGCACTTTGTCAAATGCCTTTTTAAAATCTAAATATACTACATCTACTGGTTCCCCCCTATCTAACCTGCAGATACATCTTCAAAAAACTCTATGAGATTAGTTAAGCATGACTTCCCTTTTGTAAAGCCATGTTGGCTGCCTAATCTTGTTATGGTCTTCCAGGAATCCCATAACGACATCTTTAATTAAGGACTCAAGAATTTTCCCTACCACTGATGTCAGACTAACTGGTCTGTAGTTCCCCATCTTTTCTCTCCCACCCTTCTTAAATAGTGATGTTACGTTTGCAATCTTCCAATCAATGGGAACCGTTCCGGAATCCAGAGAATTTTGGAAGATCAAAGACAAGCCATCCACTATCTCAGTAGCCATCTCTTTTAAAACCCTAGGATCTTTGACTTGATTTGATTTGACTTGGTTTGTTGGTTCCGTGGCTGGGCAGAATTAAAATTGTTAAAATGTTAAGGTCATCCGTCACCCCAGTTCTTCAAAATAACAGTTACAGTTGGCTTGGTCAAGACTAAAATGAAATGCTTGCCTTGTTGCCCCAATTGTAAAGCCATTGTTCAGCATGGTAGTGGTTCGTAAAGTACAGTGCCTTCTGGAGCAGAGAGAACTTTGAATGTAAGGGAGAAAAAAAGGAAAAGATAAATAAACAAAATCAAGAAAAATGGTGCACAAGACCCTGAGGAGAAGTCTAGTTATCCTGACTTTCAACCAGTTCAACCTCTTGGAGTCCTATAGCTCAGTGGTTAGAGCACTCCCCTTGCAAGCGAGAGACCTGGGTTGTATTCCCGGCAGGGCGAAATGTTGGTCAAGTTTCCTTACTCCACATGCCTGTGTTTACCTAGCAGTAAGTAGGAACCCAGATCTTAGTCGATTGGCGGATCGCTTTTCCGGGAATAATAATCCCTAACAAAAAAAACAAAATTATTTGGTCACTCAGTCCACGACTGTTTGTGGGACGCTGCTGTGCGCAATTGGCTGCCACGTTTTGCCCACAAAATATACAGTCAATTCACTTTATCGTATATTCTGTGAAGCGATAGACATCTAGAAGATGTGAAAAGCGCTATATCAAATGTAAGAATAATGAATAATAGTTATTTTAGCAATTTGGGGAGCAGCTTTATGGAGGAAGAATAAATGAAAGTTAGAACAAAATGAGCCCGATTGAAATCTCACTTCTGTTGAGAAAGCTGTTAGCAGTGGTTAGACAGTGGACTATTATGAGCAGTTATGATGGTACCAGAGGCCCACATGGTGGAGATAAATGGGTCTTTTATTAAACTCAGCATTCAGAATCTGAAAGCTGTGTTGTGAATATTTGTGCCAGCAAATAAATCTTGTCTCTATACTATAAATAGATCAGACTGAGTCGTGTAATTTAATGGACAATCTGAAATATGGCTGAGATTTGCCTTGTGTTGAGTGAAGGGAGCATGTTATTCAGAATGTGTGCAGGGTGTGTGCCTTGGGGGTACAGAACAGCAGTCAAGTGCATCCCTGTGTACGGGGTCGTACTTATTTTGCAACTTCTGGTGATCTCATCTGTATAAAAGGTCTGGACTTCCTGTGTAGGAGGTGAGAGAGAGAAAGTAATAGTGTAAAATGGACACTAGTCTCGTGAGTGACACTATTGACAATTTCCAACTAAATAAATAATAAATTAATAATAATGATTTGGTCACTTCAATCCATGACTGTTTGTGGGACACTGCTGTGCGTAGTTGGCTGCTACGTTTCGCCCACAAAACACACAGTCACTACACTTTACAGTTTATCCTGTGAAGTACTTTGAGACATCTCAACGGTGACATGATAAAGTACGATATAAAATGCAAGGATTATTAATTATTATATCTGAACCCAGCAAGTATCTTAGCATTGATGTTGAAAATTTCCAGCCATTGTTTATACTATACACTAAATACAGTGAGGGTGCGGAGGAAAGGGGAAGAAACAAGGTATTGATTGGCAGCTACGTTGCTTGCGAGTGGCTGGAGCCAAAACATTCCCAAGCATCACAAACGTCTCCAGGCTGTCAATCACCTCGGAGCCGCCGCTAATTGGCCCCCTTCCCGACCGAAGGGAACGGCAATGGGAGGAGGCTCCTCTGTTGGGCGGGAATGGTATTTTGGTTCACCTCAGACGCATTTAAAGTAGGACAAAATGTCCGTCCCCGATGCGTCCGGCTTAACCGGCTTCCACTGTAATATAGAAAACATTTGAAGTTTCTCTTCCATGTTAATTGAAAAGGTGTAGCAACTTTTGTTTCAATTATATTGACTCTTCGGTGAGCATATTTGGAACGTAGCAACATGGAGGAGTTGAGCTTGTTGGTGGTCTCAGGTTGTCTTTTGGTGATCTGGTACAGTGAAGTATCCTTTTAAAAGTCACTGTGAGTTGGGTGGTCTCCAGGTCGGTGCTGCAACCTGCTCTGGTAGAACGAGATCTGCTCCAATACGGTTTATAGCACATTTTTGTTGTTTTGGTTGCTGAATGTTTTTTTTTACCATGAGGGTTTGACCTACCATTCTGTAATGGAAACCTGCCTGCTTTTGTTTTATTTCTGGTCTGGTACAGATATCACACCGGCTACTTTTGAAACTCCAGAAGTTCTCCCGGGGTCTCCGGCTATACAGAGCAAAGCTCGACAGGGTGGCAAGGCAGCAGCTGAAGGTAATGTATTGATCTAAAGTGAATGATTATGTTATTGTAATGTATTCAACCTTATAAGGACGTTCATAGGGATGTATTTTCTGGGGGTTTCATGTAGTTTGTAGTATAAATGGGGGTGGTTAAATTGTTTTGCTGACTTATTTCCTCTTAATTTTCTGAGAGTTTGAACAGAAGAAGCAAATTTGCCGATGCTTATTTAGAACATAAGAACATCAGAATTTGCTGGGGAAAGAAGACCAAGGTCCATCTAATTCGCCTTACACTATCCTGGCAGTTGTTTGACATGTTGTGTCCCAGCTATAAACTGTGTCCCGAGATATTATTTTCTAGCAGAAATCTGTCTTAATTTGTTAAAAGAAACAAAACTTTCTGCTTCCACCGCCTCCCTAGGGAGCCTGCTCCATAAGTTTACTACTCACTCACTGAAGTAGTGTATCTGCAGATTTGTTCTGAATTTACCCCCTTCAATCGCAGGCTGTGTCCTCTGGTTCTACTGTTCAGTACAAGATAATGCAGCTTCTCATGGTCTACGTTATCTATTCCCTTCAGAGTCTTAAGGACCTCAATCGTATCACTCCTCAACCTTCTCTTGTCCAGTGTGAACATGCCCACTTTACCTAATCGCTTCTCATTGTCCAGTCCCTCCATCCCCTCGACCATTTTGTTTGCCATCTGTATCCTGTCAAATAGCTGCAATATAATAATAATCCTTGCATTTGATATAGTGCCTTATCAAGTGTTCTATACTTATGTGTTTCACTTGTGTTTTTCCAGGAGAAAAGAATGGATCAAAGGAAGAGCAGAAACTGCCCAAATTAGACACATTCTTAGCGAAAAATACCAGTGAGGACAATGCATCCTTCAATCAGATCATGGATCTCGCTGATGAAAAGAACAAGGTTAAACACGCTTGGTTGTATGAAGCAGAGGAAGAGTCGAAACAGGTACAGTGCGTTCCACTGAAATGTGTCTGTGTGGGATATACATTCCTCATTTAACAACAACAACAAGATTTCATTTATAGAGCGCCTTTCACTTCAGGAGGATGTCCCAAGGACGTCCCAAGGCGCTGGACAGTTGTCCAACAATGCTGCTTGTGAAAGAATTCCTTCTAACACTTCGTCCACAAAATACACAATCACTCCACTTTACAGTTTGTCCCATGAAGCACTTTGAAACATCTCGACAATGTGATAAGGCGCATATCAAATGTAAAAATTATTATTATTATGGTCTGATGCTGTACTGAATATGTTGCTAATGCTGTCAGTTCATCAACATTTGAACTTCTCATTGCAGCAACGTGATAATATCCTGGCATTGCCGTCTGCAGAAATGCAGGTGAATGAGAAGAGCAAAGCAGGTGTGGAAACCTGGGTGTACAAAGCCAAAAATGTTCTCATGTACTATCCAGAAGGTAAGGTGTTGTGGAAGTCTAATTAATCAGCAACTCTTAGAAACCATCATAGAACATTTATTAATGTGGGGAAATAGCACCTTTGGCTGTTAACAGCGTAATGTCTACTTTCATTACAGAGCTTATTGTTTTTAATAATTTACACTATTTGCATTGATAATAATAATAATCCTTGCATTTGATATAGCGCTTTTCACGTCGGGAGGACGTCCCAAAGCGCTTCACAGAATAGACTGTAAAGTGAATTGACTGTATATTTGTGGGCGAACGCGGCAGCCAATTGCGCACAGCAATGTCCCACAAACAGTCGTAGATTGAAAATGACCAATTTATTATTGCTTTGTTTTGGAGGGATTATTATTAGGCTCTGTGTGGAGTAAGGAAACTTGCCCAAGGTTTCGCCCTCTGCCTGGAATTGAACTCAGGTCTCTCACTTGCAAAGCGAGTGCTCTAACCACTGAGCTACAGGACTCCACGATCAGATGTGGATGAGATCCAAACATGAGTGATATTTGTGGTGGTGATGGATGAAAAATGCTTTTGTTATGCATCAATTCTAAATGTGAAAGAATTTGTCCCTCACTCAGCAAGAAATTAATAGGAACATGGGAATAAAAAAGATGAGATCTGAAAAGACCGTTGCAGCTCATCTATCTGGTTGCAATATATTGTCTTTCCTAAAGTGAGGTGACCGATGCTGAACCCAATGTTCTAAATGCAGTCTGATAACAAGTTGTTTTGAACTTTGAGCTATCACGTTGTTGCCCTGTGCTGCACCTTCTCCAATGCCAAGGTTGTTCCTATTATAGTAATGACGAGAATTGTACACTGGGTGGCATTAGTATCGCATTGTGTGACTTGTGCTCTGTTTCTTACCTATATACACATCAGATCTTGTTCACTCTCCTTACTGTTGCTGTTACACTTGGTAGAGATTTGTGTTGGCTTAGAATTGATTTATCTCTTGCTGCTGTGGGTTTAAAATTCTTTCAGTTGTTAGACTTTAAATAAAACCTTCCCTCTCTTGGGCGTTAGATTGCTTATCATAGATTTACAGAATTATACAGCACAGAATGAGGCCATTCAGCCCATCGTGTAGTGCCGGTTCTTTTAAAAGAAAATGGCAATGTCTGGTATGGGAAATCAAAACTATTACACTATTAAATACAGAGCGCTCTTCCAAGACTGCGAGTTGTCATATTTTAGGACATAGTTTGAGGGATATTTGCATTGCATCTAACCCGCCCTGATTCTGTGCCTACGAAATGCAGTCACTGCACTTTATGGTAAATCCTGTGAAGCACTTTCAGACGTCCTCCTGACATGAAATGCAAGGGTTATTATGACCTAAGTAGAAGCTGTTGATACTGGAATCTAAATCAATAAAAGCTCCTGCTCTCTGGCAGTGATATACCTGACCTTGAAGATTATAAAATTCATTACAAAAAAACTATTTTGATCTTGAAAAATCTAACATTTGTGTTTCACAGGAGTGAAGGATGATGAGCTCTTCAAGAAGCCTCAAGAGGTTGCCCACAAAAATACTCGTTTTCAAGGTGACCCATTCAGCAAAGCCTTGAGCAAGTCACAGCTGCAGCAAGCAGCAGCCCTCAATGCACAGGTATGTCAAATAAGAATTTGTTAACTGCTCTAACTTCTCTAGTGTGAGCATGTGAAGTTTTTTTTTAAACTTGGGAGCCTAATCAGTTAAGTTGTACCTCTCCATATTCCGCTGTATAATAATAATGATAATCCTTGCATTTGATATAGCGCATTATCACATCTTCGAGATGTCTCAAAGCGCTTCATGGAATATACTGTAAAGTGAATTGACTGAATATTTTGTGAGCGAAACGTGGCAGCCAATTTGCGCACAGCAGCGTCCCACAAACAGTGGTGGATTGAGTGACCAATTATTATTTTGGAGGGCTTAAAGCTCCGGAAAAGCGATTCGCCAATTGACTAAGAACCAGGTTCCTACAAACTGCTAAGTGAACAGAGGCACGTGGAGTATGTAAACTTGCCTAAGGTTTCGCCCTGTCCAGGAATTGAACCCAGGTCTTCTCGTTTGCGAGTGCTCCTAACCACTGAGCTACAGGACTCCTATGGTAATACACTCCGGCTGGCTGGATAATGGGGGGAGATCCAGACCAGTGAGCCGGAATTTCTGACTAAGTATAATTACGATGCGAGTACCAGTATGTTTCATCAATGTCGGCATTATCATTGTTTGAAACCCGTGAGCAGAAGATTGTCAATAAGCTATTTCCTGCTCGTGGGAATCAAGCAAGGTCCAAACATGAGTCAAAGTAGATATTTCCTGGCTGTTGTGAAGTTCAGCAAGGATGGTGAGGCGGCTCAGCATGGCATTGGCAAGTGCTAGGATAGTTGGTAATCTACACGAGCGCGGGTCCGTGGATTTTTTTTTAAATTAGGTTTTGGACCCAGTCCAGCTCAGTGCGAAGGTGTAAAGTAAACCCCACCTGGAGCTGGGGTTTACTTTACACCCATCAGAAATGTAAACTGTGTTGTGGATGGGGCTGGACCAACAACACATCCTGCTAATTGTCCCCTCTTCTACAAATGGGAACGTGCACTGCTCAAAACATTCGTTCTTCATTCTTCCTATGCTGATTTGACTAACCAAATGAAGTTAGTCTAAATAACTTTTACATTGCAGTAAATTCCTGACCCTGGCTTAACCTATCACATCCACTTCAGTCATCCTGTTGTCAATATCCGACCGCACTTATTTATGTATTTAAGTGACAAATGACATGTTGCTTCTCTGTGTGGGTACCAGGCAACTGAAGGAGTTCAAATGGTGCACGTGGCCTGGCTCTGATCATTGATTAGCAACTAGGAAGTGGAAGTCTGAGTTTGCTTGGCTAACCTTGTCTGGGCGAAGATACTCCAGTACTCTAACCCTAACCTTAGTGAAACTAGGCTCTGGATTATGAGGTCAGTGTCCATTCCAAAGAAGCTACACAGTGCTGAGCGCAGGGATCTTTGAGGCCATGGTTTGTTGAGCTGTGTGGCGTCCTGTAGCTTAGTGGTTAGCACACACTAAGCTAAGCATTTTGATTCCTAGGCAGAGATAAACCTTAGGCAAGTTTCCTTATTCCACACACCTCTGTTTATCTAGCAGTAAGTAGCAACCTGGTTGTAGGTGGATCAGTGACTCGCGTTCCGGGGGTAATAATCCCTCTGAAAAAACAAAATGTGGTAATTTAATCCATGACTGTTTGGAGACACTGCTGTACACAATTGGTTGCTGCGTTTCACAAAATATAGTCAATTTATTTTACAATATATTCTGTGAAGCGCTTTGAGACGTCTCAACGAAAGTGCTATATCAAATGCTAGGTTTATTGTTATGGTCACCTCGCTAGATTGTCTTACACAACAATTTTCTGACTGCGTTGCTGCTGCAATCCCGGAGATTTGAACATGTCCAAACCAGAGTATCAGAGTTGTGAGAGTTGCCAATTACATGGCATTGGTGAGGAGTGGAATAGAACACATGGTGTGAGTGGCTTGGCCTGGCCTATTCTCTCCAATTGCGTTGTTCAGTGTTTCTGGGAAACCTCTGACCAGTGCCAGTCAGTCACCTTCAGTGTTGAGAGCTGCAGTGCACAAAAAATACGCAATTAATTGTTTGGGGAAGAGGAAGGGTTGATTTGATTTTTGTATTTACTTCGACTTCACACAAGCCATTCACCAATATTGTATTTTTTTTTAGTTATCAGAAGATCTACTATTTACCTACCAGTAACTAGGAAACTGGTTGTCAGTTGATTGGCGGATCGCTTTATCCCTTCAAAATAAAATAAATAAATAGATAATTTGGTCACTCAATCCACGACTGTTTGTGGGACACTGCTGTGTGAATTGGCGTCTGTGTTTCTCAGGACCCTGTCAGGGATACCACAAAGGGAAGGAGACCTATTAGGCAAAAGCAGAAGTACTTTAAAAGCATTTTTGGAAGCTTACCCAGAGCATATAAAAGGACAACTTCACGGCCCGAAGCCAGGAAGGTTGTTGGAGAAATGAAGCAATGGATTGCGTCACTCCATAAGGGGACATAACTACACAAGAACAATCCGAAATCTTTCTTCCACTGGCTGAAGTCTGTCGTCGATCATGGTTGGAAGGGTCCGTCTGGGCTTGTGACAGTTTTGACAAGTCCAGTGTTCCACAACAAGCCAATGAAGGTATCCTGGAGTCCTGTAGCTCAGTGGTTAGAGCACTCGCTTTGCAAGCGAGAGACCTGTGTTCAATTCCAGGCAGAGGGCGAAACCTTGGGCAAGTTTCCTTACTCCACACAGAGCCTAATAATAATCCCTCCAAAAAACAATAATTAAAATTGGTCATTTTCAATCTATGACTGTTTGTGGGACATTGCTGTGCGCAATTGGCTGCCGCGTTCGCCCACAAATATACAGTCAATTCACTTTACAGTGTGTTCTGTGAAGCGCTTTGGGACGTCCTCCCGACGTGAAAAGCGCTATATCAAATGCAAGGATTATTATTATATCCTTGGGGTCTAGGGGGAGCATTGTGTGAAATTAGTGTCTGATCCAACAGGAGGTATCAGCGATCCATCTGCATGGAGAAAGAAAGAGCTGGTGTGGAGCAGATTTGTGCACCCCCCACCCCCCGCCCCCCTGGCTGTACTCCCCATCCTTCGCTATTCACACTCCATTCTTTTCCCTTAATGCCTTCCCCACCTTCTCTCCCTCCTGGACTTTTCCTCCGCTCCAGCCTGGGCATTCTCCATCAAGATCATTGATGCTGGTCACTCAGAGCAGCCACCCCGAGTACGTCCTGCCTCCCCTGTCTCTGGAAGGTAAACCCCACCCTGTGCCCTCTCTCATCCATATCCACACACTTCCCAACTCTCTTCCTCCCCTTTCCTCCTACAAACCCACCCTTCTGCGCCTGTCCCCATCAGTGCCGCTGTTTGCATTGCCCTCCAAAATGTCCACTCCCTTTCAGACAAAGCTCTCGCGAGCCACAACCTGATCGATCTGGCTGGATGAACAAATCAATCTCCTTGGGCTCACGGGAACATGACTGTCCCCTGGAGAAGCTGGCTTGTCAGTGCTGGAAATTAGGAACATTTCTGCTTCTGGTTACTCTGTGCCTAGAGTAGCCCAATGCTCTCAGTGCAGGATGCTTTCTGACAGGCTTCCCCTGACCCTAACCTGGCTCTTGTTTTTTTTTTAAAGTTCAAACAAGGCAAAGTGGGACCTGATGGCAAGGAATTAATCCCTCAGGAGTCGCCCAAAGTAAACGGGTATGGATTCATGGGAACACCTTCACCTGCTCCAGGTAAGAATGTATTAATCAGAAGAATGCAATATAATTGAACTTGAATTTATATCACAACATTCACATAGGAGAATGTCTTGGGGCACTTCACAAGGATGGAGTCAGATCTCAAGTGAAAGGGAACTGGGAGGTGACTGTAAACATGGTCAAAGTGGGGAGATTTTTTAGGTAGGATTTAATGGCAGATAGAGAGGGGTAGAGGGAGGAAGTAACGGAGCTTAGGGGCTGAGAGCTTGGTATGGATGGTGGTATGGAGGAGGCAGAGGGCATACAGCAGGTCTGCATTAGCTGGGGTTAGTGAGATGCAACATATTTAAGGATTTATAAGAGAAGATTGTTCTCCTTAGAGCAGAGAAGGTTAAGGGGAGATTTAATTAGAGGTGTTCAAAATTATGAGGGGTTTTGATAGAGTAGATAGGGAGAAACTGTTTTCTCTGCCGGGTGGGTCAGTAACCAGGGGACATAGATAATTGACAAAAGAACTAGAGGGGAGATGAGGAGAAATGTTTTACACAGAGAGTTGTTACTGTCTAGAATGCACTGCCTGAAAGGGTGGAAACAGATTCAATAACAATTTCAAAAGGGAATTGAAAAGGAAACAATTACGAGGCTATGGGGAAAGTATGGGGAAGTGGAACTGACTGGGTAGCTCTTCCAAAGAGCCGGCACAGGCACGATGGGCCGAATGGCCTCCTTCTGTGTTATAATATTCTATGATTCTAAGATCAGAGCCTTGATGTCAATCCATAGGGAGCCAGTGGAGTCTGGTGAGGGCTTGGGTGATGGGCATTTGGAATTATGTATGGGTGAGGATGTGGGCAGCCGGGACTGGATCAGATGGAGGGTATGAATAGTGTCCGTCGTTCGAAAATTCAATACGAGGTAATAAAGATGATGAATACCCCATTTAAATGATATTTAAATAAGATTTGTTTTGATCAGTTTTCCCATCCTTTTGAAATACTAATCCCCAAGCCCAAGAACGGTGTGGATAATAATAATAATCCTTGCGTTTGATATAGCGCTTTTCACGTCGGGAGGACGTCCCAAAGCGCTTCACAGAACACACTGTAAAGTGAATTGACTGTATATTTGTGGGCGAACGCGGCAGCCAATTGCGCACAGCAATGTCCCACAAACAGTCGTAGATAGAAAATGACCAATTTATTGTTTTTGGTTTTGGAGGGATTATTATTAGGCTCTGTGTGGGTAAGGAAACTTGCCCAAGGTTTCGCCCTCTGCCTGGAATTGAACTCAGGTTTCTCGCTTGCAAAGCGAGTGCTCTAACCACTGAGCTACAGGGGATCCAATCTATTCCTTTTCTAGCATTAAACTAAATCCATTAATATCGATTAATATTTTATAACTCGGTGGGGTTTGTTTGAAAAATACATTACAACAATAAATTTGGATTTAATGTCTAATACTTTGGTGTGGTCAATGGATATAATCTTGTGATATTAGTTTGATTGTGTTTTCGAAATAGAAAGAAAAAAGTGCAAAGGGTTTTCTGCTTGCTTGAGCTGTGTTTATTCAGTGAAAAGGGCATCTTTGACTGACTGTTTTACTCACTGTAGGTGTGAGTGAGTCGCCTTTAATGACATGGGGCGAAATAGAAAATACTCCATTTCGAATTGATGGATCCGAAACTCCGCATGTGGAACGAACGCCAGGCCCAGCTTTCAAGGTAAAAACTGACTGTTTAACAGTAGAAATAAAAACAGAAATCGAACAGAAAACACCTTCTATGGAGAGAGGAAAATGAGTTATGGTTTCAGGTCGATGACCTTTGATCATTTTCCTCTCCCCATAGATGCTGCCTGACCTGCGGAGTGTTCCCAGCAACTACTGTCTTTATTTCAGATTTCCAGCATCTGCAGTATTTTGCCTTCTGATCTACAGCAGGTTGGTTTGGGAAGTTGGTATTAGAGACAGGTGACAATACTATCCTAGGTTCTCAGTGTAGGAAATCTGGTCTCTTAATACCTTTGCCATTTCTGTTCGTGTCATTATGATGGGTTTCTACCTGCAGTGAGGTGCAAGAACATAACAGGACAGCTTGTAGCATGCCGGCCACCTTGATGTTCAGTGGTCTGATTCCTCAGTCAGGCGTGTCTGCAGTACTCCAGTCACTGCTGATGACAGACCAAAAGGTCTGGACGGCTGGCAGGACTTTGAAGACAGTCAATAGAAATGGGGATTCTTCCCACTTGGCTCCTATTAACTCTGGAAATCAAATTCCTAATGGGTAGAATGGTCCAAACTGAACAAGCATCAGGAAGCTTGCCAGATAGTGCTGTAAATGGCATGCTACACAGTTTTAGCTGTTTAAACTCCAATCTTATGAACCCAAGCCTTGGAATTCACCATTTGCACCTAATACTCTCCAGAATTAGGTAAACCCCAGGTTACCCCTTTGGGGAGAGAATGCATATTCCATTTCAGATGTGGAAATTACTGTGCTTAGATGGCATATGTGGAACTCTCAATTTGGTTTGGATCCTCTCATTATGGTAATGGGTTTCCATGCAGGTCAGACATGTCGCTGACCAAAAAAAAATTTAATTTCTGGAGCTTGCCTCTCATGGTTGAAGATATGTTTGTGGTTTGGGACGCTACCCTGCGTGAAGGGCACTATATAAATGCAAGTTGTTGTTGTTGAGCAAGAGGGGCTGGCAAGTCATCAGCAATTTCTTGGATTAGTGAAGAAAATGGATCCCCACACAGCTGTAAACAAAAGACAAAATACTGCAGATGCTGGAAATCTGAAAAAAAAACAGAAATTGCTGGAAACCCACAGCAGGTCAGGCAGCATCTATGGAGAGAGGAAAATGAGTTAACGTTTCAGGTCGATGACCAAAACGTTAACTAATTTTCCTCTCTCCATAAATACTGTCTGATCTGCTGCAGGTTTCCAGCGACTTTTGTTTTTATCTCATGTAGCTGTAACTTGCCCTCATAACCACTGTTTTATATTTGCATATGTGGAGTCTTGTAGCTTAGTGGTTAGAGCACTTGCCTCGCAAGCGAGAGGACCTGGGTTCGATTCCTGGGCAGGGTGAAACATTAGGCAAGTTTTCTTAACTCCACGAGCCTCTGTTTACCCAGCAGTAAGTAGGAACCCAGTTGTTAGTCAATTGGCAGATCGCTTTTCCGGGGGTAATAATCGCATCAAAAAAACAAAAAAACTAAAAAACTGTTTGTGGGACGCTGCTGTTGCAATTGGCTGCTGTGTTTTGCCTACAACCTTTACAATCAATTCACTTTACAGTATACTCTGTGAATCGCTCTTAAACGTCTTGAAGATGTGATTATTCTTATCCCTAGTTATAGGGTCTTCATTAACTTTTGTATTTCTCTTAATAATAATCCTTGCATTTGATATAGTGACATGTGATACATTACATCGTTAGGATGTCTCAAAGTGCTTCACAAGATATACTTTAAAGTGGTTTGACTGTATAGTTTGTAGGGGAAGTGTGGCAGCTGGTTTGCGCACAGCAATGTCCCACAAACACCCATGGAGTGAGTGACCAATTTTATTTGGGGGATTGTTGGCCGCATCAGGAGAAACTCCCTTCTTTTTTTGAATAGTGGCATAGGAGCTTTAACGTCCACTTGAACAGGCAGACAGGACCTCGATTTAACATCTCATCTGAAGGATCCAACAACACACCTTAGTACTGCATTGAAGTGTGAAGGCCGACATGAGGCTTTAACCCACAGCCTTCTTACTCAGAAATGAGAGTACTACCAACTGAGCTGCTACCCTGTGGAAGGGCCTGAATATAAATGCACGTTGTTGCTGTTAAGCCAGGCTGACACACTGAGCTAAACTTTCTCCTTCCTAATTGAGAAAATGGACAGGTTCCTTACTTTCACGTCTCTGCCACTGCCTCCCCAATCAGCTGATTGCTGGATGGATCTTTATCTTTTTTAAAAACTTATTGGTGAATTGGCTGGCATATGGGGAGCTCGTTGTGGAAACCAATACTATGTGGTACCTACCCAGTATGCTTTATGGCACCCCATAGGGTTGATAGCAGCAGATTGAGTTGACACAATCCCAGGATCTGCTTCATTGAACAAACAATGTGCATTGTTACCTTTTTGTTTGACAGTAACCTCTAGCTTTATTGTCACCTCACAGATTCTGGAACCGGGCCGGAGAGAGAGACTTGGGCTGAAAATGGTGAATGAAGTTGCTGCCAAGAATAGAACGAAGAAACAGGAAGCCTTACGCAAGGCGACTGAGAGTCTTGTAAGGTGAGAGCAGTCACGGTTTGAATTAAGAACCTGGTTTAATTCTTGATTTGAATAATTGTAGTTGTTCCCCCAGTGGTCTTTTTTAACGTTTCAGTGGGTCAATCCAGGGCGGTCCAACAATTTTGGCTGTTGCGGCCGGATGCCATATTTGAGAAATGTCTGGGGGCCTCCAATTGGATATTACACTATTATTCTTTCTGCTTATCCACTGCTGTGACAGGTGGGATGGAGTGGGGCAAGGGGACGTGGGGCAGGGGGACAGGTAGGCGGAGGTAAGATAGGGACACACGCAGGTGGGATTGGGGGTGGGGCAGGAGAGAGGCGGGAGAGGGTGGGACAGGAAAAAGCCGGCGGGGGTCGGGAGATGGACATGGTGGGAGAGGGAGGGGGTCGAACAAGGTGAGTAAGAGAGCGCGGGGAGAGAATTGGGGAGGGAGACAGTGGGAGAGAGGGGAGGGAGATGGGCAGCAAAGGGACAGACTCCGCCTTCTGCTGTCTCGCCCTAAAAACACCACATTCTCATTAAACACAAACAGCTTTCAGGAAATCATATAAAAATTTTTGAAGCAAACATAATTGAGCCAAATATTTAAAAAATTCAAAAAAATATATTAATCCATCCTAGGTATAATTTTAAAATATCTTTGGTCATGGACAGGGCAAGAAACGATGGTGTAAGAAGGATCATTGATTTTTTTTTATCTCTTTAATTTTCAGTCTTTCTCCACACGGAATCAGCCCGGTTATGTCACCAGCTTTGCAGCGATTGGTTAACCGGACCAGTAGCAACTTGCAAGGCAAGCGAGAGCGCAAACCATTCTACTACATGACTCCTCTATCCTGCAATATGAAGAAAGAAAAAGACACTTTCTCATTTTAGTCCATTTAACATCAAAAGATCTCTCTGGTTCAAGACTGTGAAAAAGATAAAAAGAAACCAGAGCAATCTGAACGCGAGAAACAATTGAGCAAAAACTTGCTGCAATTCCATGGCACTAATTTAAATGATCAAGGAGTTTCTCTGGGTTTGCTCGTCAACAATCCCCCAAATAAAACCTTATATCAACATTTTCATGGTGGACTTTGCTATGCTTATATAATCCACCACGATCACCATCAAAATACACAACGGTTATACTTTGGCGGTGAATGTTGTGGGTAGGGCAAACGTGAAAATGACAAGTCTATTGTTCCCAACCAAATCTTCTTGGGCACATTGCCTAGATTACTTGAAGAAATAAAAACAGAAGTGGCTGGGAACACTCAGCGGGTCAGGCAGCATCTATGGAGAGAGAAAAGTGAGTTCACGTTTCAAGTCAATGACCAAAGGACCTGCTGAGTGTTCCCAGCATCTGCAGTATTTTGCCTTTTGTTACTTGAAGAAATGTTATCTTAAACCTCTCCCCTTTGAGAAACCAGTTCAATCTCTTCAAATCCCAAATGGAATGGATCACAAACTGATTTATTGGTTTTAACAAAATACTGTAAATAGAACACGTCTCCTTTATCCTGTTGGCACTTCTAAGCCACTCAAACCCAAAGGCTGTCAATTCCTTCGGTCAAGCTTTGGTTTTGGTAGAACAATTCTACTACAGAACCAATTCAATAACTACCTTCCAAAAGCAAAAACATCGCACGACAGCAGGAGCTACCTTTTAAACGATCCCCAGGTTGCTATCATTTTTCACCACCATCCAGTAATGTGCATGTCAACAAGCATACAAGCAGTAATGTACACGGAATGTCGGAATCAAGGCAACCCTCTGTGGTGGTTTCAGTCGCCCGGTTCCTAAGCCAGCCAGGTCCAGAGTACTCCAGGGCACTGTTGATGACAGAGTAGTATGATAGGCTCGTTGGCAGGACTTTACGGGGGGTGGACCAGTCACTTGTCCTTGCTGGACAAAGGATAGGAAGTTTGCCAGACAGTGCTCTCAATTGCAAACTGCAGGAGTAAGCCATTATACACTCTCGGGTCCCCAAGCATAATATCTCCTAGAATCAAAAAAGCAGTGTGCGTCACTCCAGGGAGAGAGTGCACATTCTACATGGGGCAATTTCCATGTGTAGACCGCATACATAGGTGGAACTCTTTTCAAAGAGTCGGCACAGACACGATGGGCCAAATGGCCTCCTTCTGTGCTGTGTAATTCTATGATTGCAGCAAAAAAGCATTTTTTTTTAAAAAAACAATCTAATTACACTGGAAATGTAACTCCTCCTCATTGCTGTCACACGTAAATGAACCATTAATCAAACACCACCAACAGCACAGAAACAGATTCCCACCCATCAATTGACTCACGGGTACAACAAAATAGTACAAATGGGACAAAAAAGTTTTAAAATTACTGGTATTCATTGTTCTACAACATTGCTTCTTCCTAGTGGTAGACAATTAGTTTGTATTGTCAGTAATGTACTCTTGAAAAGGATTTGCTGGAGTCAGTTGGAAGCACTCTCACCTTCACATGAAAAGTGAAACAGAGATTCTATCTGCCTGTTCTTCGGGTAGGCACCAAAGATTCCTTGTCACTTTTCAAAAAGAAAAGGGAGTTTTCCTTGGTGACCCAGCCAACAATCCTCCAGATAATTGGTCATGGCTCTTTTTTGCATGTTGCAGTGCATAAAATGACTAGTGTTTAATTCCTCACATGCTTCCCTTATTGGAGAACAAAGTTTCAGCTCTAATATCCCTTACGAATTGATGGCCTCCAACAGATCCAAATAGTTTTTTTCCCTTTAATAAATACCGAGCATTGGACTTCCAGGCACCAGGATGAGTGGAGACTTGCAGCATGTTAACTAGTAAATGACTAACAATTAGGTAGCCACAAATTTGAGGTCATAAATTCAAGGCATGAAATGCTTCCTTTGAACCTGTCAAACAAAACATTTTCTCATCTTAAAAGGAGCAATACAATCAAGGAAGTTATTCAGTTAAGCTCCTGAAAACATAAGCACCAAGCCCTATATAAGCAACAACTTCTGAACAATTACAATTCTGTAGGAAACTTGACCTATTTATATATTCCTATTCTGTAGGAAACTTGACCAGAGTCACTGGTCAAATACTTTGCCAAAATTTGCATGTAGTTTATATTTATAATTTATATGTATTGACAGATTATATTTAAGGTCTAGGACATTACAATCTTACAGACCCCTGTGACCTACAGGAATTACACAGGTTTATCCTATTAGAACTGAACAGGACTGAGCCCTGGCAGCATTACAGAAGTGTAAAAACACCCTTAAAAGAGTAACTTCCTCTCCAGGAAAGATTTAAAAGGGTTTTGGGCAGATACAAATTTCAGACTTGGTTCATTTCACTTCTATTTTCCATACTTTACACAGCCTCAAACATCAGAGCTGGTTCATCAAAATGAATTTGCACTGGACTAAACATCAGGCTGTTATTAAGAGGCTCACTGAAACACAAAACTCTTGTGGGTCTCAGACTCTCACAAGCAAACCACAGAAATGCAATCATGCCTGTCCTCTTGATTGTGTTTTGAATCAATTGCGAGAATACTAAAGCCTCAATAGTTTGTGGTGCATTGCTTAGGAATTTATACCACTCTCTAGTAGTGATAAACCTGAAAAAAAAGTTTGCTTTCAGGATCATCAGACCCATTACCAAGCCTTCATATATGAAACAAAACAGCGTCCAGTCGTAAAGTAACATTCCTTAGCAGTATGATCAGATCTGCTGTCCCTCAAACAAACAACAACTTGCATTTAGATAGATAAAAGTCCCAAACCCCAGCATTATATAATGGTAACTTCTTTTTAATTGTACAAATAATTAGCTATTATACCATCCAACAAGTTCTCATATTTTCTATATTGGCAGCACTGTCTATCTGTACTGTGCTAATCAAAAGTTATATTCTACCTCAATTAAAATGCATAACAACAATCTGCATTTGCATAGCACCTTTCATGCAGGATACTGTACAGTGGCAGAGCAAGGGAGAAGGTGACCATAGATATTTACTTATAAATTTTATAAAGACCCTGAAATCTCTAATATCTGTTTTATTATTAATTAGCGAGTTTTATGCAGGAACAGACATAGAACATAACACAGAGTCAATACCACGTGCTTTAACCTTTGCCCCAACGTACTGGGGTCAATTACTTATTTTTTTCCAAAAATACTGCAGGAAAGATCTCATGTAGCACTCTTGTTCTTAATAACAAATCCATTAACCAGACTAATCTCAATTATATTCCACAGAGATGGGATAAAGTGAATTACATAAGATAATGGGCTATAAAGAACAATTTATTAAAAAAAATCACATCAGTTAAGGCCACAGAGGACAAAAGTGGTACATCATCTGAATTCCAACATGAAATGTTCATTGTGAGATCACTTTCACCCATTATACAAATAACGTTACTCATTTTGGATCACCCGTCAGTCAGCGTTTTGGGAAATCTAGTGACAAAACTAAGCGCTCCGAGACGCCGTTCGGCGTGAAGGGCGGCGTTGTTGTTGTTGACGAAGCTTTTACCATGGCCAGATGTTAATACCATTGGTGTGCAATAGAATTGTTGCTGCTGGATTTCTGAGGAATAATAACTCCATATATCTTACATAGTAACTTGGGACTCCCAAGTGATGCGACAGGTCTCAAGATTGAGCAATTTACCTTAAATCAATGAATCATAGACTAAATAATTCTTGATGTATGTGGACCATGGATTTGACAGTCAAGAGGTTGAATTTGTGTCTTCACTCAACTTGGACTGTAAAACCTCACGGAATGTTATTTGTGTCAGCACCCTTACCTGAAAATTAAACTCGTTTTAGTTATAGTTATTAGTTATAGTTCTTGGTGGCCCATTCAAATAAGCACACGATCACATACAAGGTGTGGCATTATACCAAAGGCAAGTATTATTAATGAAAATTATAATAAATAATAATAATCCTTGCATTTGGTATAATGCAACACCTTTTTTGTAAGGAGGACATCTCAAAGCACTTCACAGGATTCTTTGTGTTGCGAGCAATGGTATTTAATGTTTGCTTTAAAATGTTGGGAAAGTACATAAACAGCAAATCATTAAGTACAGAATCAGACTGTATGAGATGTTGTGCGGTGGTTTAATATAAACGACACATCCTGTAACAGGAACACACTCACCCACAGACAATAACAATACGCAGCTCTTGTGATACTCAATTCATTACGTTGAACTGCTCAAAACCCAAAGGAGACTTGTAATCTGCGGGAAGGCCGTGTGTTGTGTTGTTATTCGATACGCAATATATAATCTTACAACAAAGCATTTTTCATAATCACGTTCTGTGGATCTGCAGCTTATGCGGCACCTGAGGTCCTCCAAGGTATCCCTTACCAGCCCAAGGTGTATGATGTGTGGAGCCTCGGAGTCATCCTGTTCATCATGGTCTGTGGTTCCATGCCTTACGATGACTCCAATATAAAGAGAATGCTGAGGATCCAGAAGGAGCACAGGGTGGACTTCCCCAGATCCAAAGTGGTTCCTCCAGAGTGTAAAGAGCTCATCTACCGCATGTTACACCCTGACACAACAAAGAGGATCACGATTGAAGAGGTCTTGGAGCACAGTTGGCTCCAATTCTCCAAAACTAAGTCCACAGAATCTCACAAGAAATTGGAACAGGCGATAGAGAAAGAAGAAATCGACTCTTCATCCAAGGCTCCATTAAAGCCAGACTCCAAAGAGAACAAGAACGAATTGAAGACTGATTCAAAGAATGACCCAAAGTACCAGTGGGAAATCGAACCAAAGCA